GCGTATAGTGTATACCTACCCAGCAGTATAATACTAAATTGCATTGCATTGCCTAGTTGGTATGTTATAATATTTTGAACTGCTGTAGTGTTTGTGTATGAGATTTGCTGTGGCGGCAGCGTCAACACGAATACCGGCCATTTGTTCGTGGTGGACGTCGGACAGGTCCGATTATTCCGTCAAGGAGATCACGCGATGCGGTTTGGCTGTTGTGCGCCTAACAGTTTTTTAAGAGAATCTAAGTGGTACACAGTACGCACGGCACACCACAACTGGTGCCCGTCTGTAATTGCTTATCTTTTTTATAGCATTTGATTTTTACATCATGTCTGGTTTTTATAGTTGTTTATTATAGAAGAATGGTGTGGAAGAAATCGCTACCTATTATGGGGTGTCCGCGGCTAGTAGTTTACAGTTTGCTGTTGTTTGTTGGCCACGTTTTCGAAACGTACTTATATACATATAGAGCATTAAATTAAATATAAATAAAAAGTGTTAACAACCGCGCTATACTTAATAGTCTACTGCAAAATAAATTATACTACCTATACTTATTTGCTAATAGTCTGACTACGTCACAGCCTTGCGTGGACAACATGCTGTGCGAATGCAAGAGGTTAAGGAACGAAAAGTAGGTATTGTTACACATATTTTATAGCCGTCTAAATCACTGGAAGCCGACTCTGACCCTTACGGATCATTTTTTTTTTACTACTTCAAGATTCAGACCAATTATGGGTCGTTTATGACTTTTTGCGTTTATAACTATGTTACAATCGTACTGCCAATGAACCGTCTGAACGATGAAAACGCTCAAACTCTAATGCACTCTCATGTATGTCACCTAAAAATATAATAACTCATTTCTTATTTACAACAAATTATTGGGTGCATGTTTTTGTTGTATGAATGCGTGAGAGCTCTGTTAAATTTGTATGACCTGTAAATACATTAATACACAGAAAAAAATACAAAGTTGGTTCAACAAATTCACTATTCAACTATAGTCACGGTTTAAATTTGAATAGGTTTAAAAAAGTACTTATCCTATATGCAATAATTTTGAATATACAAGCGTTGGATAAAAACCAAAAATTGTATTGCAGAAGTTACCGGATGATTTTGTCAACTCGTTACACACTTGCAAGTCCACAAACCACCGACTGTCGATAATGTGCACAAATATAAATTAATCATGACGTTGATTTTTCGCAAACCATTTCTAAACGGCTGTAAGTGGATAGAAGGGAAACAAAGCGACTGTAGGTTAGCCAAATAAATGTTGGACCCCATGCGGAATATTATTTGATTACCGATTTAATAACAATACAACCCAATGCGCTCGCACGCACCAAGTGGGTGGTATTTTTCTGATCAAAAAAAAAAAAACACCCCGAGATTTGTCATGGATGTTGTAGTAACGTGTGTTGTATAGGAGGACGCAAATTAGAACGATCTGACGGGTCGTCGGCTCTATTGGATTGACCGAAATCTAATAATATAGCACAATCCCCACATCGCACCAGCGTATATTGTATACATATACTACTATAATCTCGATTCGATTAAAAAATATGCATTGTATACCGGAGTTTAATGGTAAACGGTATACATAATATATAGCAATACAACTGTAATTTATATATATGATCTGATTTGCGTGGCACGTTTATTAAAACTTATTGGATTACATGTCGTTGATTTTAAAACCGTCTAAATGAATCTGTAAACAAATACAATAACGCGTTTAATATGTCACCCGGAAATCCTCAGTAATTAGTAGTCTGGCCGGTCCACGGATATATTATGTATAGCATTATAATAAGCGTTATTGCTAACAGTTCATAGTGAATTCATTAAATTGGTAATTTTTGAAGGAGGTGTGCAGGTAAAAAATACAGAGGATGTATTTGAGAATAAAAAAAATTGGTATATTAAAAATTAAAGCTAAAAAAATATTTATTTAAATTAAAAAAAAAATACATGTTAAATATACCTCCAACTTTCATGGGTACCCCTCCCCACAAAAAAATTTGTCTTTTCTCCTTAATATGAAAATATTAGTAAAAAATAGCTATTTAACATTATTTATTGACGTCACTGCTTCTGATCAACCTGCAAATACAATTCTTGACATTGGTACTTAAAAATATTATTATGTTGGACCTATTGTTATTACCTAAGTATTAAAATATTTTGAGGTTATATCTATACTATTATATTTTAGTCAAATATGTAAGATCCGCCATCTCATCAAAGATGGTCAGATATAGAATAGTTCACCATATTAATATTATATTTTTCTTAGTTATTCTTAAAAATATAACTATTTTTTTATATTATACCTAATTTTGATATAAAATATTTATAAGGACCGTATATCCCAAAAAAAACGGTGGTCTATTAAATAACAGTTTCTCTTGATCTGCTGACCAACATACTTAACACCTTTTCGGAAAATCGAGTGGAAAGTGTTTGCAAAAATGTATGTAGTATACTTACAATAAAACATATGAAGCGCCTAGTTTTAAAACTAGCTATACATTTTTTGAAAATTTTCACAATACAACAAATAATTTCTTTAGATAAAACCAACCAAGATTTTCAAACAAACACTGTTTGAATTAGTTTTATTCCTTATCTGATATTTAATAACAGTTGTACATAACATGTAATACATTGTGGATACTTAAAAAACAAACACGTTGTCCAAATGTCTTAGGTGTATGATAGATCAATATATTTTGTAAACTATTTGCATATCGATTTAGCTCAAAAGTAAAACAAAACAACGTTATCTACAATTGACATAATGTTAGTGCCTATAGTGGGTGGTACTTTGTGCTTATAATGTTTATCTATGACAGCATGACTTTGTAAATACCTATTATTATGATTCAATAATATGGTAACTGTTAGACACAATACAATGTATATTAATTTAACCGTGCGAGGCTATCGTTCGTTCAACTTTTTTTTTTGTATAATATTATTTATTAATATATTGCTATAATATAACTTTTAGTTTTGTTAATGTTGTTATACACGCTTCGTGTTCGTACTTGGTACAACAGCAGTCCGACAATAAAGATGTAATGTTATATTGTGTTTGTTAACCAGATGACTCGACACCTTTAATACATTTTATTGTACTATTATAGGCGTTGGAGTAACGCGGCGCTTGTTAGGAAACGGGTCTAATCATTTATATTACTGCGGCTATACAATGTAATATTCTATATTATATGCCGTTATTATCGATCAATCAATTATTTACCGGCGAAACGATGTGAAAAGACATCCGTGGATTTCTAACAAATTCACATCAGACACACGAGCACCTGCGCAATGTATGTGCATTCTCGTTACAATATCTTCCTCTGCTTGTAGCACATTCATCAAAACGTGGAACGCGCAACACAAAGACATAATAGACGCAAAATGTTTTTAACATATTTTTGGTCGGTCTAACTTCGAGACCGACTTCTGATCTGAAATTTAAACGGACAAACTACCTTCAATGCTCAACAAGTGCGTATACCTACTCCACGATAATTTTGAATTTTTAAATACATATTAATATATGTTCCATTGAATAAGTCTGTAATGTGTAAACACTAAACATAATAATTATTGGGCTTTTGGAACGCGCGAACAGATCAAAGCTCTTGCCTCTTCAAAAGTTATTCTAAGATAGCATTCCCTTCACAATTAATTTTGATTTAATCTATATAAAAAAAATCATGTACTACTTTAAGAATATTACTCAAATGACCTTATCTTAAAATAATATCATATGTAAATTGTAAAACACATTAATTTAATATAAATTAATATAGATGTATTTACCAGTCACAATGGACCCACGAGACTCGAATATACTATAATAACTTGTCCATAACCTAAAATAAGAGTAATTGGTAAAATTTAACATTTGTACCCCTGACCCCGGTTCAGTCCGCCACTGCAGTAGTTAATGTCATTAGACGTAGACCCTGTGTATTCCGGATGCCCTAAACAATGTGCCTATACTGTCCAGTGTCCATTGATTAATCGGTCCGGTTGTTGATGTTTGAGTATTCGTGGAACAAAAGTGCCGAACACATCGCTTATACATAAGAATTGATTTCATTTTTACCGAATACAACCTAAAGGCTAAACTAAACAAATAAATCAACACACAAGCAAATTCATTACAGTAGTCAACAATGAAAATACTACCAAAAGATCCTCAGAACCTGGCATTATACGAAGCTGTACAAAGACTACATTTCCGTTAATTTTACTTGTAGAACCTTTTTTATTATTTAATTCCACACATAAAAAAAAAAATCAAAACTCGAAATGACGCCATCGTCTTTGTGTCCTCGCGTCATCACCTTTTTCTTTTGTTTTTCTCGGAAAACGATTAAGTTAATTTTAAATGTATTTAATTGCAGTCAATAAGGTCGTGTGAGATAATTGTAAATATAAATGGGACAATTAATGTGCTTGCAATTTTTTAATAAAAATAATCGACATCTATTATTTTAACTGAAACTTTTAATTGTGCACTGATATAATGATTATAATGCATAATATTATTATACCATTAAAAAAAAACTATACGATTATTTGGTTACTTTTATAACCAAAAAAATTTATACATTGTATTTATTACATTTATATTTATTATACTATATAATCATTTCACGACTGAGTTATTGATAACTAATTGTTATCAGTTGCTCAACCACTGGTTATATTATATTGCAACAACATTGTAATGACCCACGAATATAAAAAAAAAAAGCTTTAGGGTATTTACTAAAAAGAGACAACTAAGCCCTTTTCTATTCCAGGTGTTTTGCCATAATTTCAATTATTCCGTAAAAATATATGCCTAATCAAACAATTTTTTTTTTTGGGAGACTTCATCAAACTCAGTAGAATTGATTCGGGCGATTCGCGTTATTACTGTTTTTTTTTTTTTTAATAATTTCTCTTTTGCCTTTACTTACGCTCATTTCTCTTCCGTTCGGCAAAACGTCCACGGCTCCCCCGTTGCTTTTGTTTTGGCCGTGGACCCTCTGGTGGTGTTGCTGTTGCCGGTGGTCACTGGTATCTTCAGCCAAGGCGTTTCTGCGCTTGTCATTTTCTTCCATAACCCGCCCGGCAACGCACCGCGACCATAACACTTGCACGCCGTCCGCACAACACCCGCGAGCACATTTATCTAACGTTTTTTACTTGGTATGATGATTTACAGAAATCAAATCATAAAAAAACACACACACACAAAACAATAACGCGCGATGTACATATATATGTATATATTATGACAAATATATATTTAAATTTATATATGTTTTTATGTCGATTGACGGACGACGACGTTGTTTTTATCACATGGTTTTTTTGTTTTAAATAATAATAAATAAAAGTTCTTTTCGACACACGCGGCGTGCGACCGGTCGACGTAACACGAGCAAACCGTGTTGGCGCAAATCAAAATATAAGCTTTACGCTGTTTTTTTTTTTTTTTTTTATCCTAGTATTTTCTCTTACACTCGTTCGTTCCTACAACTAGTCGTCGACGTCGCCACGTATCCCACCACCGCCGTCGCCACGACTTGTCAGGTTTTTTTCCGGCGACCGTGTGTACCTCTATATTTTGGTTGTTTGTGTGTGTATTATGTCGGACGGTGGTTTCCGCCGGGCGACAATTATCTTCCCCTCGATAATTTCAGCGTTATTACGTACAGAATATAATATGTATATCTATACAACACACATACGTGGGTTTACTCATTCTCATTCTCTCTCTCTGTCTACCATTATTTTGCTTTTGTTTTTCGTCTTGTACGCGTGTTGTGTATGTATGTATGTGGAAGGTGTATGGAAATGGCCATAATATGGCGCCTCCCACTTAATGAGACCGGCCGACTCGGCCATCATGACATATACCTACCTATATAGGTACACCTAACACACACACACACATGTTACATTATACACGAATAAACATAACATTATACATAAAGATACAAGAGAGCGCGACGGGTCGTCAGATGCCGCCACTTGTCAACTCCGACAACCCGTTCTCGAACGGTGATCGGCTGACCAATGGCCATGATATTATTATTGTTTATTCCGCTAGGTATCCTGTAGCCTACCACAATATAGTATTGGTAATGAAAAATCTGTCCGCAGGGAATAACTTGTCGCGCCTTCGCAGACACACGAGACATCATCAGGTGCAAATCTGAGATTTTCTATGGTCTTGGAAGGGGATGCTAATAATTTTCCATTAGGTAATATTATTATGTGTAACCACGGGGAAAGCAGAAATTTATAATTTTTAATTTATAAGTCTCTTATTAAATTTTAACATTTATTACTTAAATGACCAGGGAAGTCAATTGGGCGTGTATTTTGTTACATTATAGAAAGCCATGTCCTCGCTTGGTTCCCTTCTTAAAATACACGTGATAATATTTACCTTAGAAAAAAAATACTTTTTTAATACATATATTTTTTTATTAATAAACACTGGTACACTTTACACAATATTTAAATATTAGTTCATCCTTCATCATAATAGTTTAAAAATTACAGTTTTATAGATAGATCAGCCCTCTAATGTATTTATCTTTTCTTGTAAACTCATTGATTGTAACGTTGATGAAGTCAACTTCTATATATCTCCATGTTTATCTGCTTTATCGTTATGAACATTTTTAATAAAGCTAAACCGTTCAGTCTAAGCTTAGACATTGTTTGGGAGCATATTCATCAATGTATTCACTTCTTTATTATCGAGTTCAGATTTAATGTGAACATCACCTATGTATAAATAAATAATAATAAAACTGTCAGCAGTGTTAACGTTTTCTGTGGACTATTATGAGTTATTACGATTTGCAGTTTGAGTTATCATATTGCCAACATTCAGCTTTTAAGCAACCTCCCCCCCTAAATCCGCCACTGATTGTAAAAACCAATACGGAATACCTTAATTCTCAACTTGTAACTTGTAACTAAGACTGTTACAGTTGAAAATAAAATGTAATAATATGTTTCAGGTCTCCTGGAGGTGGGTTTTTTCAATTATAGTCTATAAATACAATCGATAAAATAATTATAATGACTGAAGAAACTCAATACATTTTTTTTAAAATAACATGGTTAATAATTTTAAGGCGGTAGCTTATTTAGAATGCGCTTTAAAACATTTCTGAGTTAATGCTTATAAGCTATTCCATTATATTTTGTAATTGCATTCACTGTTACTCGATTATAATCGTTAGTTGTTACCATTGGCGCAAATTCAGGAGTTAAAAAGGACAGGTGGCTCCTACATTACATTAGTTAATAGTTTCGACTACAATAAGTGGGTAAGACATCATGACTTTTGCTTCTCCCTTATTGGAAATGGTATAGCCAACTGATCGCTACGATACTCAGAATGTGTGTCAATAACCCTTAACTAATAACCGTATAAACAAAGGACGGCCCTGACTAAATAATAAAACCATCTAACCACACGTATCTTGTACTGAACAATTATCATTACTTCTCTTGATGGCTGATAAAAATAGGTTACACTACTAATCTAACTTGCCACAACTCTATTTTAACAACAGTTTACACTTGATAAAAAATATTATTTTTTCAATACATCTAGAATGTATTTAAAGTTAAGAGGTTTCAAACATGCAATTAACATTAAATAAGTAATAATAATGCAAAGGATTAAATTAAACGATGGGCAATTAGGCGAGGTAGAGTTCCGGTGGTAAAATTAACTGAAGGTATTTGGAAAATTGAGCAGGTGAAAAAAATATACCGTCCTACCTACTCGCCTCTGTTTCAAAACTGCATTAATTGGTTTTGACATTTAAGTAACGTAGTATAACCGCTATTGGTTTATAATATTACAACTACCATTAATTTGAACCTAACATAACATGCAAACTATTTACCTAGTCAATGTTAGGTATTATTAGTTGAATTAATGTTCAAACTTAGCCGAATGTATATACCTATATATCTTAGACATTACAACTACTAGAACCGAAAATGTATACCAATATTAGTCAATCCTTGGAAATTGGTATCTAACAGTAACATTGCATTTTATGATATTCATAACAACAGGTAAAAAAAATCATGTTAATATTTCTTGTAATAATTTGGATTTAAATTACCCATAAAACTTAAAAGTTTATTATATTTTGTGGCACGTATAGTGGATATTGTACGGACAACGGTGTATCTACTAATCTACCCTATAGGTGCCTACCGCTGATTATATTCATTATTACAATTATAATTTGTACCTAAGGTGGTTGTCAATGTCGGTAAATAATTATTCTACATAACAAACCATTGACTAAATTGCTACAAACCAATAATATATTATGATTTATACGATACTTTATTATCATAATTATAGTTTTTTTTTTCCATAGTTATAATATCCATCACCTTTTCTCAATACTAGCGTATGCTACTGATTGGGTGTATGTCCACCCTCGGGTTGCAGCTGCGCAATTTCACTTAAAAAAGTGAAGGGCTTAAACATCGAATATATCTAAAGCCTCCATCCTAAGTAAAATTCCATCCCGACTAAATGTAAAAAACCTAAACAATTTTTGGAGGTGCTACTTTCAAAAATGGGGGTACTAAGAACACCCAAGTCCTCCTCAAATTGCACACGTGCAATTTATACAATATGTTAATATACATTTTCAAAATTACTCTAGTTGCCATAGAAACGTTTCAATAGAAAACACTACTAGAAAATATGTGCACTTTTCGATTATATACATTATTTTAACTAAACCAATGTATAGGCAATAATCGACGGCCCTGTATAAGGGTACACATTTAAAATTATGCTGTAGTAGAATATTTTCCGAAATAGGTGACTTAATAAAAACAAGATTTAGACTATCGATCAAGATAAAAAATTTATAAAATTTGGGTCATTAATGTTATCAAGTGGTATAATTAATTTTAATGATTTAATCCGTTATTCATAGTAAGTAATAATAACTGATTTTCGATTTAACGTTTTATGTGGGCTGTTCCCGGTGGTACTGTAAATTGTAATACCGGTGAAATAAAAAACGGGCTCCAATTAATTATTAATTTCTAAAACATCAAAACGAACCAAATTCTATAAATCTATCACAGAATTTATAGATACCGCCCATTGTAATCCAAAGTGTTTGTAAAAGGTCTTTGAAACTTATTGATAACAATAGATAACAGATTCCTTATCTGGTCTAAAACTTTTATCATTTATCAACCACGTGTTTGAACACTGAATTGTGGTAAAACTTAAAATGATTTAATGCAATTAAAATATATTAACGAAGTTTTTGGAATCATTTGATTTTTAAATATGAAGACTTCGAATCAAGAGCAAGCTACTCATAGACCTGGTCCAGCAAAGCAAGATAATAAAAAACATAAAACTGGACGCCATAGAAGTAAAGGACTTCTTGAGGTTTTAAAAAAAGGTAGAAGTAACGTCTTTATATTAAAATTATTAAACAATTTTTAATTATTATCTTTAACTTATATTGTAGGCCGTACTGCACAAAATGCAGCTAAATCCAAAGCCAACCATCAGTTAAGTCGGATTGAAAGAAGAAATCAGGCAAAACTTCATCGTAAAATAAAAACTGATAATGTGTTGAACGAAAAACGCCGTTCGTTGACTGTACCACATTTAGTCGCTGTTATTCCTCTAAGCAACAATGTTTTCACCAATGAAAAACTGATGGAAATAATTGATATATTGCAAAAGTCTGATGTAAAATTAACCACTAAATGTGCCTCTGAAGGATACTCACATTTATGGTATTGTTTGTTATAATTTATATTATTAAGTTTTTTTTTTTTGGGATTGAATATTACATACATTTTTGTTAATTTAGGATTGATCAGTTTAGACAAGCGTTTACTTTTATAAGGCCGGATTGCAGTAGTGTTTTTGGATTGTTAGATGCTCTTAAAGTAGTGGATACAATATTATTTATTGTTTCGGCTGAACGAGGATTAGATCAAGACGCTGATTTGCTAATGACTTGTATATTGGCACAAGGTTTGCCGTCTACGGTTGTAGCTCTGACAGATCTTGATAAAATCCCACTTAAAGTAAGCTATAGCACGACTTTTAGAGGCAGCACTTAAAATATAACTAATTTAAATTAAAAATGTATAGAAACAAAATGAAGTCAAGCAGTGTATTCAAAAAGATATTGAAACATGGTTACCCGACGAAAAAGTTGGAAAACTAGACACGTGTACTGACATATTAAATATTCTTAGACGTATTGGCTCGCAGAAAAAGAGGTCAATAACATACAGAGATAAAAGAGCACATTTATTAGCTGAAGAATTGTCTTTTGTCACTGAAAATGCTGATGTAAGTAGCGTAATATTTTGATGCGCAAGAATTATAGAAACAATTATGAGCATAGTTTTTAATTTTTACTTTAGGATAAAGTTGGCACAATGAAAGTTAGCGGGTTTTTACGCGGTCAAGCACTTTCAGTCAATTCCTTGGTTCATATTCCCGGATGGGGTGATTTTCAAATGAATCAGATAGATTTAGCACCTAATGAATTTCTTGAAAACTTTACTGGAAAAAAAATACAGCAAACTGTATTAGAAGTTGCTGATCCTAAAGTTCAAGTCTGTGTTAAATCATTTTGCAATTTAAATATATTCCATTTAAAAACAATTATATTATAAATACTAGGAATCCTTAATCAGTGAAAATAATCCTGATCCTATGGATGCCGAACAAACTTGGCCAACAGAAGAAGAAATAAGAGATGCCGAAGATAAGGTAAAAAGTAAACGTATGATTAAACGTGTACCAGAAGGTATGTCAATTTATCAATCTGCATGGATTCCTGATGAAGAATCTGATCACGGTACAATTATATTTTTTTATGCGTTTAAGTATTACAAACTATATTTGAACGATGTTTATTTGAGATTAATTGGATTTTTACAGACGACGATTCAAATTCAGAATCTTCTGAAGGCTCGGACGACTTTTATTCGATACAAGATGAAAATTCTGATTGTGAAATGAAAAGTGTAGTTGATGATGATATGGATACCATGTCCGTAACTTCAGCTGTTTCGGAAGCCCCACTTGAAATGGATAAATATGACTTGCAATTTGATACTAAAGAAGAAGGAAATTTACTTGCTAAAATAAAAGGTATAGTTCAATATTTTAGCTAATCACATCAAAAATTATTTTAATATTCAGATTGTATTTAGGACATAAGTTTTGAATGAATAGAAGGTTAGGTTAGCTTAGAAGGTTTATATTGTAATTCTATGTAAACAATAATCCTTAATCATCTACGAAACTCATATATAATTTAAATTAAAAACCAACAACAGGCTGAAATTTTTATTTTCTCATAAAACTTTATACTGGCCTTTCTGAGCCAAAATAATGGAAATGGCATTATAGAAAATTTCTGGAAAATAAACAAAATGTTTATCATTTTTTCAACATCAAATAAAATTTAAATTAAAAATTGGCAAAGAGGTTCCTTGATGAAGCCTGACACTGAACAAAGGACATGGATTTTTTAGTACCATTTTTGGCCATGAAAAGGTCACAAGTGTATCAGTTAGCACTGAATACAATGAATACTGAAAAACTAGATCCATAAAGGTTAAACTTTTTTTTACACATACCATAGATCTTATACAAAATGCTTTCCTGATTTTTCTAAAAAAAATTAAATCAACTTGATTACCAGATTTGAGTTTTTGAAAATTTGGGTAATACTTTTTTCAGTTATGTAAAACTTAATCGTCACTAAAAAGGTCTTAAGTGTTTGTTTAATTAATATATGCTTTGTTTTAAATATTTGAAATAAGTAATTTTTTTATAACAACAAAACATTTATTTTTATTTTGTAAACTGTGTAAATTTTTAGAATTAGTAATTCTTTAATAAATAAATATAGTTTTACTTCAAACAAATAATGTCTATACTTTTTATTAAAAAAACAAACCTAAAATTAAATTTAAAAAACAAAAATAGTATAACTTTTTATGCTCGCGATCAGTATAACTACAACTGACATGCTATTTATTTTAAAAATGAATATTAATACTTTTCGGAGTCAAATTATAGTCTACCCATAATGTCATAATGTAACTTATAATAAGTTTGAAAAAAAAATCAATCTCATTTTTATTAATTACAAATTATTATACATTCAAAATTTGTATCAAATAATATTAATTATATTACATAATTATAATTGTTTCCATGGTTATTTTTTCTTTTTAGAAGCAAAAGCTGATCAATTGTTTCCGGACGAAGTAGATACACCATTTGATTTGCCAGCTAAAATACGTTTTCAAAAATATAGAGGTCTGCAGTCGTTCCGAACTTCTCCTTGGGATACTAAAGAAAATTTGCCTATTGAATATGGTAGAATATTTCAATTTCAAAATTTTGATAGAACAAAAAAAAGAGTATTCAAAAATTTAGAAAACCAAACTGGAGCTTTAGTAAGATTTTTATCATAAAATATACCTTTAATGGCCGTTCTCAACAGTTAAGCTTAAAAATGTATCTATGATTTAATATAGAAATTTTAGGCTTAACTTAACCTACATGTTGTTAAGTCAAACTGGTGAGTAAGGCCATTAATTTTCTTTTAAAATGTCTGTAAAAAAAATATTTTTATTAAAATGGATTTGATCTTAATCTTGCAGCCTGATTGGTTTATTACCATTTATGTTAAAAATGTTCCGTCTACTATGTTTCATTCGAGAGATGGCAGAAATCCTGTGGTAGTATTTGGCCTACTACCGCATGAGCAAAAAATGTCTGTGTTAAATGTGGTTTTAAAACGACCATCATCTGTAGAATTTGATGAGCCAATAAAATCCAAATCGGATTTGATATTTCAATGTGGTTTTCGTAGGTTTACTGCACAACCAATTTTTAGTCAACACACTAATGGAAATAAATTCAAAGTAAACATTTATTGTTTGTTGAACATACTAATAAAATTGTATTTTATTAACGATAAATTACAATTTGTTTAGTATGAACGCTTTTTTCATCAAGATTCTATTGTTGTTGCTACCATGTTCGCACCAATCGTCTTTCCACCTTGTTCAGTTTTAGCAATGAAATATTGTAAAGACGGTTCGTATGTGAGTATTACTATTTTTTCGGTAGACATACTCTTTCTCTTAATCTAGGTAATTCACATTTGAAATTAAATTTATATTTGCATTATATTTTAGCAAGTGATAGGAAACGGAAATGTGTTGTCTGTAAACCCGGACCGCATAATTGTTAAAAGAACAGTATTAAGCGGCCATCCATTTAAAGTGCATAAACGGTCAGCGGTTGTCCGATTTATGTTCTTCAATAGAGAAGATATTGAGTGGTTTAAACCTGTGGAACTAAGAACTAAATATGGCAGAAGAGGACATATTAAAGAACCTCTAGGTTTGTTGTATAATTTTTAAAATTTTTTTTATTAAATAAATAAATATAAATTTATAAATATAGGCACACATGGGCATATGAAATGTGGATTCGACGGTCAAATCAAATCTCAAGACACAGTTTGCATGAATTTATATAAAAGAGTATTTCCAAAATGGACCTATAATGAGTTTTACAATGTAACAAAATAAAAAATGTTTAAACTAATAACCTACATTCACGATTATCTATTGTGTTCCAATAATTTATGTACATCCTTATAAATAATTTCCAAAAATTGTAATCTGGGTGCACTTTTTTGAAACAAAATTATTAATCCATTTTGGTATGTTTTCACTGCTAAATAGAAAAGAACTTGTTGTGTATGGATAACATCAATAATTAGTATATCGCTGATACATGTCCAAGGCAGAGAGAATACCATTTGACGGCCCGTAATGTAAGTTGTGGTTAACTGTAAGCCAATAGGTGCTGCAATGAGTAATGATTCATTGTGAACTTTAGAACAAACTCTTAAACTCAACAGTAATGAAATTGACAAGGTTATAACAGTATTAAAACATAATAATGTTATACCAGTTAAAATTGTATACATCACTACAAATAAAATTATCACAATAACAATATATTCTACGTTGGACATTTTTTTACGCTTTTCCACACTGTACTCTATACAAGAATGTTTCAATGGCTCGTGTGTTGACGATTTTAAAATTATTCGGTTGTCCACTTTTATAATATTCATTTTCATCTGAATTTTCCAAAAATAAAATTACATTTAAAAAAAGAATTATAGTTATTCACGCAATATCTTCAAAATACAGCTTAAGCAGAAAACACAACGTACCGTTGACATTTATAAGTATAAAATACTCAACACCATACATTTATAAAATTTATTTCAACGGTTTAATATTTATATTACTTTTTAAACGATATAAATCATCATATTAATGATAATAATTGTAATTTGAATAAACATGTTATATGAATCATAATAAAATAAATATCTGATAAGATAAATTCAAAACATTATTATCAGTGTATACACAGCATTGTCATGTTGGTCAACGTGTAGGAAAAAAGGACCATTCAATGTTGTTACCACTTACCAAGGTGGATGTATACAGCTACTTTCGTTGTTACATGGCAATGGCAAGTAGCAACTAACATAACCTCAAATCATTTGGTGTCAAATAGCTTCTACAATCTACAACCGTAGCGGAAGACCACTCTTTCGGCTTCGTTGGATGTAATTTTTTTCCTTTGCTTTGGTTTTCTACAAAACATTTGATCTTGTTTACGGAAAACGTCCACTATTTTTACTGTATTAAAATTAATTAATTATTTAATTTAATACAAATATGGGTAAGTTTAACCAAATATTATAATTATCCCTAGTTTTTAAAAATTTAACATATTAACATTAGCAACCATGTGGTTGGTGAATTACTCGTACGTCTCTTAAATGTAAATTAGTTAATCCATTAGAGTTATTTATTAAATGGAATTATCTTATAATACAGATGACCACTAATGTTAACTATTAGTGATGGGAATTTTCGTTCCTTTCATGGAATCGTTACTATCGGTACAGATACATTAATGTAACGATTCCTAATAGTACTTAGGTACTTTTATAATAAAATCTTCATGTTACTAGAAACCTGGACTTGGACTTTGACATCAATATAATTTATAGTTACTATTATTTATTTTATCCATCTACCACATAGGCTAAAGAGTTAAAAGTACCGTGCAGCCTCTAGTTTTTTCGTAAGGGAGTTACTATTAATGCCTTATACCTAGTTAATTATTACCTACTCAGTACTTAATACCGTAAAGAGTTAATAATTACTGATGAATCATTTTAATAATATATTTATAATTAATAATACAGTATAGTTAATTGTTAATAATTAATTAGTATGCGAACGTTACACAGTGGCCACTAGCCTGAACTCGCTACCCAGTCATCGCCCGGTCGGCGATGCGTTCACATTCCGCATAACCAGTAACAAATTAGGCAGTAGTGAAGTGTAGCCCGGCGGTCGTTGTATCATGACAACTCGTAACCAGTTCACAACCGTCAGTACCGCCACTAATGAGAACCATTTTGTAGTAAAAAAACTTTGTACCAAATACCTATGGAGCGAAAGTGAAACGATGAATGTACTTGTTCCACCTTTGTAGTCATTACTTTGTACCGATTAGAGTAGTACCGACCCACCCCTATTAACTATTACTCTTAATACATTGAATTGATATTAAGAGCAATGAAATATGTATTAAATAAAAATTGTAACTATTTTATTTACGAGACGATTATATTTTAATTTTTTAGGTAAACCTCGTGGTATTCGTACGGCACGTAAACATGTTAACCACCGTCGTGTGCAAAAGTGGGCTGATAAAGATTATAAAAAAGCTCATTTGGGAACAAGATGGAAGGCCAATCCTTTCGGAGGAGCATCTCACGCTAAAGGAATCGTTTTAGAAAAAGTGTAAGTAATTAGTAAGATTTATACATATATACCAGTAATTTCCGACCATACAATTGTTGATAAGATACTAAGCTATAAAAATGACTTACATGGACTGAGTTTCGGTTCGCAGGCTCTGAAAGTGTTTAAATATCTAACAAATCTAAATAACAATCCTATGAAACAAGTTGTTTAAAAAATGATTGAAGTTTTAAAGGATATAGTGTAGGACTCAATATGCAGTATACCTGCGTATAATGGTAACTAGATACATGTACCCCCTTTAATAACTAAAAAATTGTTTTATGTACCTATTATAATTAGTTAATTCTTTATGTGTGTATATTGAGTAGTGGACTATTGTGTTAGTTAAAAATGTAATTGCTATTTTTAAAGGTTTTATTCTAAATTTGTTTTATTTTAACACATTATTTTATTAATGATAGGAGTATATTAATCATTAAGTATGCAATAGTACATTAATCATTTAAGAATAAAATATAAATATTTATTATATTACATAATAAATTAAAGAAATTTGTTTTTAGTATAAATATTTTTTCCAATTAGTAAAATTACATTGTTGAAATTTAATTTCAAGGTTATATTTTCCATGTATCGTAATTAATTTTATCCTAGTTCTATGACATCTTATACAATAATTAAATATTTAAATAAACCCTAAACCACAAAAACAATCCTCTTTAGTGTATACATATTTTGGCAGCAATGTGACATCATCAGCGCATACAACAGACTCTCTAACAATTAGGATTATTTTTGTAATTAAAGGTTTATTTAAATATTTAATTATTTGATATGTCGCTTTATTTGTTTCTCTAATCTAATAATTATTTAATATTGTTCTTCAGTGGAGTTGAAGCCAAACAACCAAACTCTGCTATCCGTAAGTGTGTCCGTGTACAATTAATTAAGAACGGAAAGAAAATCACTGCATTCGTTCCCCGGGATGGTTGTTTAAATTATATTGAAGAAAACGATGAAGTTTTAGTAGCTGGATTCGGTAGGAAAGGTCACGCTGTTGGAGATATTCCTGGTAAGAATTTTGTTGTATTTTTTTTATTTGTTGACAATTTAATACTTAATAATTTTTTTTTTTAGGGGTACGTTTCAAGGTTGTCAAAGTTGCAAATGTATCATTGCTTGCTTTGTACAAAGAAAAGAAAGAGAGACCTAGGTCTTAAAAAATCATAATATTGGTAACATTTTTTTTTTTTTTGTATGAATAAAGCTTTACAAAAATAACTAGCATTCTAACTTCATTATTACTACAAATCCTTAAGAAATTTTATATTCACACTGAGTACTTGTATTTTATCTGTTAGTTAATATATTCTTTATATGAATGTTTTATTAAAAAAATGTAAGTATTTTTTGGGCAAAATGAAATGTAATAAGAGTAGAAAGATTATTTTTTAATCCTTTTAAATATGTTTAATGAAAAGGTATGATTTAAACGACAACCACTATGCCTCCTTCAATATTTATTTTTCTAAAGAGAAGTACAAGACAAAAAATACTTATAAATAGGTGAAAGATAAGATTATTATCATAGAAAGTTATACTAACCAATAATGTCGCCGATTAAGGCTTTCAAATTTCCAATTTTTTTTCATGTGTTAGGGTTGGGTATAAGAGAAATTCATTTTTCAATTTTAGAGGGAGAGTACATTCCTATTATAAATTAGGCTCTTGGAGTCTTGGTGCTATTAGGAAAGTGACAAAATGTTATTAAATTTATTATAATTAACATAGTATAAAAAAAACTCTGGATGGGAACTAAATGTATGAAAATCTGGCCACTTGAAGCATCAACTCCCTCGAATATTTCAGGTACTAAAAAACATAGTTAAATGTATTTAAATAATAAGTTTTAAAAACTATTACATTGTATTAGATTTATTTTTTCAATTTGTCCACCACAAAATTGAATTAACGACCATTTTTTTAAAATAAATAAGAAATTTGAAATTGTATATACTGGATAGGTATAGTTAAAAAACATGTTTATTCTTTAAATAAGAGTTTTATTATTTTTTAATTTTATATTTTATTATGTGGGGCTTTGCCCCCTCTTACTAAATATCAACTTCTTTAAAAAAAATTTAATCTTTATATTAGAATAAAAAGTAAAATACATTCATTGTTTTTGCAAACAGAAAAAATGTAATTAAAGTTTTATAAATAAATTGAAATTATAATGAAATATATATGAGGTACCTATACCACGTGAAATCAATAATCTGACCCCATGGGATTCTGATCAATGGACTCTATTTATTTTTGCCTAAAATGCGCCCAAACATTTTGAACATTTACTTTACGAAAGTTTGATTTTCATTTTGTTTAGGAATAAATGTTAAAACGAACAATAAAAACGTTTCCTAATTTGAAAAAAATAGGAACTTATACAGCTGGCACCTTATATAAAATAAATTATTTACTTAGCAAAAATACAAAATTATAATATTTGTACGGAATTATTTATTACAACTAAATGGGTTGGAAATTACAAACTACAACATCGCTATTAACTCTTTCAGAACTGACCTTTTTCTGCTTAATAAAAAATTATTTATGCTAATAATTAGCATGTTATTGTTCATCCATGAGTTGGTTATTCCACGTTTGAAAAAAGTTCGGAAAAATATTGAATGATTAATGATTATCCTTGGATACCTCCCTTAAAGTTGGGGAGTATAATCTTTGGTAAGTTCGGTATAGCATATTACATTAAATAAACACAGTAAAGATTTACAGGTATTTTTATATTTAAAAAATTCAAATAGAATACACTCGGAGTATTATAAACTAAACCAAAGTAATACAAAATATGTTCATTGCCAAAAAATTATACATTAAATGGATTACATATACAAATACGACAAGGAAGAATTTACAGGCTAACCATTGGAAAATAAATTCTTCATAATGAATCAAACGATAATGGCACCAGGTTAATTAACTTTGCGATGAGAGATGTCAAGAAATATGAAGTATTAAGTAGCACCACATTTCCACAGACATGGATGTCACCAACCGTTCAAACGAAGAACCAAATTGACCAGCATAAGAAAAAAAATTAAAATTTGGAATAGAATTGAAATGAAAACGACCAAATGCGCCAATCAAAAGGAAAAACACAGAAGCTCTAAAAAAATCAGGAGGTTGAGTTACAGTATACAAGAATAGACTAAAGGAAGCATTTAAAATATCTAACGTAACAGTCAACAGAATGTAGTCAAATTATGAAAGAAATTTGAGAACTCGGTGATGAAATTCGTTGCTGAAGAAACGCTAGGATTTGAAGGAAAAGCAACAAAGAATAAGTGGTTTGTGTAAACGGCCAATGACGGAAAGAGTTCATACACAGACAATAGTGATAAATGAACCAATAGTAAGGACAATAAATAGCTTTTGAGTTCTGGCCAGTGGCGTCATTTGGGGAGGGGGGGCATTTGCCCCACCCTTGATTTTTATGGGCTGGTCAAATTTTCGATACGTAATTATCTGTTTTTTTATGCAACTATCTACCTTTACTAATAATGAACCGTCGTCTGAACTGACTACCAAGCATAATAGGTATGAAGGTTTATAATATTTGTGTTATTACTGTTTTGTGTCTAAGTGTTTTGGAAAAAAATATTTATATTTATAAATGAATAGTGTAAAAAAACCTGAAATGTCACCCCTGGTTCTGGCAATCAAGTAAAAATAAACAAAATTAATAGTTATAAGAAGGGAATGGGAATTTCAGGAGAGAATTAAAAACAATGTAAAACTCTTTTTCGAAAAATCAAATGAAATTAAGGTTGATAAAATTTAAAAGGTAGGTCTATGAAAAGTGAGGAGGGATCGCTAATAACAGATAAAAAAAAAAGTTACAAACGAGTTCAAGAAAATGTTTGAAAATATGCTTAACCAGACTGCAGCTAAGTGCACACACAAATGGAATCAGTAGGTAAACATATTACAGTGAAACACAACTTTGATGCACCTACTCTGGACAAAATCTAGCAGTAAATAATATGCTACAAAATGGGAAGACCCAAGGAGAAAAAGGAAATATAACCGCGAGACGTCTGAAAAACAGAGGTAAAGATTTTATTAGACAGTTTATAGAAAATATCTGGAAAGACGAGACAACGCAAAAAAATTGGCATATGTCATTGGGTAAAGTTAATATTTTGGTTAACCAAAACCGATATACCTAAAATCTAAAAAATATTGAAACCCTGACCAATATGATTACATAATAACCCGTTACCCGAATAACCCAAATCCAAATATGTAAATAATTCTGGTTCAACACCCTGCTTCAATAATTGATTATGTTCTCGCTTCTATTTTAACGTAACACCCGTCGACAAACTTTAGTGTCGTCCCAAACGTTAAACGAAGATTTTCCGGTTTGGCACACTTATCTGACGGACGAAGACGATAAGACCTGACCAATGTGGATATGACGGTTTTCATTTGAAGCATTGCATATTTGATACCAATGCAATTCCTGTAACCAGCACTAAAAGTAATGAAGGAATACGGTTGGCGACTGTGACATGCTTCGGGCAAGAAGTTGTCCGGATTGAACTTTTCTGGTTCCGGATAAATGTTTGCATTTAAGTGTAAGAGAGCAGTGAAAATTACGAACGTTGACCCTGTAAATATTTTTTAAAATTAAGTTAACTTTGTAATTTTAAGCACCGAATGTGGCAATTTATCAAACAAATTTGTCTACGACCATACCTGCAGGGATTAAATAGCCTCCGATAACAACTTCCTTATCAACGTTTCTGCTAAACAAGGGAAGAATGCTGAATAGTCTCAAAGTTTCTTTGATTACACGTTCCAAGTAATCCATCTTTTGTAAATCCTCAAAGGTAGGTTGTCGATCCGGATCGCCAGAAGAAAATATTGTCAATAACTCTTCCAACACCTGTTAATGAGCACGAATAAAAAATATATAATTTCTTCGTTACTAAGAATACCTGTAATGTGTAACTTTAAGATTCATAAAACTGAAAACGAATTATAGTTTACTTTATTTTGTACATCTTGATGATGAGCCAACATAAATATTGAACACGCGTTCGCCATAGCTGTCGTGTCTTGACCTCCTAAAATCAAACTTTAATAGGTAGAACAACAAAAAATAAATACAGCTCTCTTTATACGCTTGTTTTTTGGAATTATTTAATGAAAAAGGCTTCATAATTCTTTCCTTTGATATGTCATATGCTTTAAAACATAATTTCTATTTGAATTTATAGCACTGGACCAAATTAAAGACTGAGTTTGCCATTTACGATTAATAACATAAATAAATAATTTATATTACTTATCTAAGTAAAGTCTACATGTTTTATATACGGCTAATTAATGTTTAAAAAAATGTCCAGGAAAAATATACTAATTTAAAAAATAAGATCAATTTTTGAAATTAAAAATATTTACTTGTCGTTTGGTACATAACTCATAATATAAGAGATAACGTAAAGTTATGACTTATGGCCATTATGTTATTGGTTTAAAATTTATTGAGGCATTTTTTATGTGGACACTTAATTCGACCCTTTTTACCCGTCTTCGGAAGTAGGGGTTAGTATGTTTAGGTATAATATACAGTAGAGAGTGTTCCATATAGGCAAGACAAATAAAATATCTTTTTGTTCTAGTGAATATTATAAACAATTTTTTTTTTTTTTAATTAATTTATACTCATTTGCGCTACAAGCACCACGTTTTTTACTACACAATTGTTTTACTTTTTTAAATAATTTTTTTGTTACTTTTTTTTTAAGATAACCATTTTATTCTGAATATTTTTTTAAAAAGAATTGGTTAAGCCATAAAATAGCTATCTTGAAAAAAAAGTTATTTAAAAAAGTAAAATAGTTAAGTGCAATAAAAAATGTGGTGCTTATAGTGCAAATTAGTATAAATTAATTTTAAAAAAACGATCTTAAAAATATTAACTAGAACAAAAGTTATTTCATTTGCCTTGTCTTTGTGGAACACTCTGTACATACGATTTTGATAAAACAAAAATGTAATCAATCTGTGATTTCCGGGGAGTGTTCTTCGATAAGTTTAATTCTATGGGATCTATTATAATTCTGCAAATACAAAAAAACTAGATCTTTGAATGTACCGAGATATTTTAAGACTGGTATTCTGTGTGTACGCAATAGTGAGATCTGGCGTTAACGCTAACCTAATGCAGTCCGCTGTGCGTGAACAGACTAATAAGTTCAATCCGCCTCCCTAACCGCGACTTCTTACCTTTTGCTCATTTTTCGGTCGGTTATTATCAAATTTTATCTAGGCCATTCAATCAATTCGATTAATCGTAAATATTATGATAATTACAAAATATAACACTTAAACTTTGTTATAAGTCTATAAGAGTCTTAACATTTTTAAAGGCCCCCTATAATACACATTCTCTCCAAATAAAATGTAAAAAAAAAACACGTACCAATCATAATAGTTATTATTTCATCCCGTATTTGTTTCAATGGCATCTGGTGTTCATTCTCGAGCAGTGTCTCAATAAGCGATTTAGATTTAAGACCAATACACTCCTCGTTATGTTCTCCTTGACTGTTTGTATTATTTTTCAACTCTGTATTTTTTTTCTGAATTAAATCTTCAGTGAAATTGTAAATTTTACTTTGACTAATGTCATGTTTACGTTTAAACGACGACAACTGAAACAGACTGTTGTTTAGAAACCACGGGTGTGTCACTCGGTATTCCCAAACCTAAAAAACAAATGTTCATTACAATAAGCTGACATTCCAACTCAAAAACATCGGTAAAGACGTAAAGTACTTCTAAATTACAAATTATACTTAGTAATAATAATAATTTGGGGAAGGGAGGGGTGCACTATTATAATTGTTCCGCAGAAAGAACCTTTTCGAAATTAGCTCACATAAAATCAGGAGAACTTAAATTGCTTGATCATATATTATCATCTGAAAATTACATTTTAAATACAATAATTGTGATAAATAACTCCAAACATTTGTAAGTGATAAATCAGGGATAAAAGAGTTCTAAAGAATTATAATTTATAAACTGTATAAACAATGTACGTATATGTCCTTACTAAAATATACAATTTTTTTCTTTTAGTGAGTTACCAAAAAGTGATACCTATTTTTTGAAACATTTTATAATTAGATTGTGTTTATTAAAAAGATACGGCATTTGTTTTTTTGTCAAATTTATCTATGGTCTCCTAAAAAATATCTGGCGCGGGTCTAAAATATTCTTACTTCAGTCCTGGTTTACAGTAATGTCGTTGTTATACATTGTAAGTATACCTTTTGGATGACTTGTAAATTCTCCACAAATACGTGTTTGGCGTTTTTCTGTGCATTAAATTTTACACCCAAAGCGGTTCTTCCAATCATCTCCATGGTCGCCATACCAATTGCACGGCTTATTTCACATTCATTTGAATTGATTTCCCGTTTCTCATACAATAGTTGGCTCAAGAATTTTGCTTCCTCGTAAAATGTTGGTACGAACGATTTAAGAATCGAAAATTTAAACCCCGCGGCTACCAATTTTCTGTAAGTACCAACAAATTAAAATTATATCTATTAGTAAGTAACTTCGAAGGTGATATAATTATCAATGATAAAAACTGAATTCCTAGCATTTAAAAGTCAAGTATTAATAGTTATCATTATGCTTTTAAATGTGTTATACATTTGCCATTGACGCTGTATTATTATTTTACGAATTTTGATGTTTTGTTTTTCCTATAATTATAATGATAAGTAAATGTAAGATTGAGATAACACTAAAAAAGTTCACCTGTTCTTTTTCCATTCAGGATATATTTTGGTTGTAAATATTCCATCGCCCATAATTGATTCGTTTATCACATCATATTCTTTAGATTTTTTGAACAGATCAGGATTGGTAAGAACCGCTTCTACATCTTCAGGTTTGTTAAGAAATATGTATAGCCGATCAAAAATCCACGATTTGTATAAGGAATTCTCGTATCTATATTACAAAGGCAACGAACAAATTATTGTTGCTCTCAAATTACTAGAATTTGAGAATACCAAAAGAGTAATGAAATGTAATACATAAACACGAATACAGCGTAATTACTTTCTGGAAATGTTATAAATATTCATCAATAGTTTTTCAGGTCCTCCAAGTAAAACAGGTAACATTCCCCATAAAAAGAAACCATCTGGACCTGGTATTCGATTTGCCAATGAAGTCTTTCTCCAGTTTACTGTTTTATAATATACAACTACCAAAATTAATATTACCGATATATGTATAACGATAATGTTATTTAGGCTTGTATCATTTATTAACCTTAACACCTGAAATTATTGTGTCCATAAATTATTTTTTTATTTATCATGGTATTATTTTTGTTGAATATAATTTTGTTATATAACTAAAAGATTATATGTATATATAACATTGTTAAAAAAAAGTCAAATCATCATTATTAAAATATCACTACATTTTTGTAGGAATAATTAATAGGTAGTGATGTATTGTAATAGTTATATTGACTTAATTCCATTGATAAGCGAAGTCGAAGATGTTTAATGTAATCAAGGGCAAATTGTCTAATTCATAAATTATTACCACAATGATTACCTATTGCTTTTTATAATATTTGACCTAAGCCGGTTATAATACATTTTGGCAAATGAAGGCAGTTCATTTGCCAAAATTTAAATTTCTACTTACAATAATTAGTAACTTAATACTCGAAAAATAGTCGATCTAATTTTCGATGAATTTATGTTAAAACCCAATACGTGTTTTAGTCTTTTTAAATTTAAGCCTACCGTTTGGTAAATAATATTTTAAAGTAAACTGTTAAGTTTCAAAATGAGAAACTAGCACAGTGTGATCGAGACATAGCAACTATGAGGAGGTCACATTTCTTGGGAAATTATTATAACTGTAAATACTTTAAAACAAATACTTCGATGCGAAACGTATGAAGTATATATCATTTTATTGACATTAAATGGGTAAATTATCTTATAATTTATTTTTTTCTATTGAATAGTAACGATAGGTACTTTAGAATTTTGCAAATTTGGAATAATCAATTGAACATTTTGAGTGGACGATTAAGAAATAAAAAAATCATAATACACATATGTAAAAATGATTTAATGGTTATAAAAAAAATGTTTTTTTAGTAATAAGGTAGATACATTAAACGTTTAGGTTAAGTTAGATTAATGACGATTAATAACGTCTATCTTTTCTTATAATTCGTTGCCACTATTACCAACAGGCAATACCACAATAAAAAAGTTTTTCAGATACCTGTTGACTGTTTATTCGTTTTCCTAAACCTACGCTTAAAAAAGTGAAACAGAGAAAAAGGTTCCACCCCTTCTAAGGAAAGAGTTATACTATTTGTTTCGTTAGACAATGTACCTATACCAACAATATCACTATCTAAAGTCCACAAATAAAAATAAAAATAAAAAAGAACTGAAAACTCGTAAACCGCTGAACCGATTTCTTCGTGTAGCAACTTTATAGATGAGAAATCATACCTGGAAGGTACTAAAGATGGCCAACATTTTAAAAAAGTCACCCTTTCCCCATCAAAATCGAGAAAAACATCCAAAAAATTTACAAATTTTTCAACTTAAAATTACGATGCTCTATAACTTTTTTTAAAATAGTCGAAAAAGTTCCAAATTTATATGAATTGTTTTTCAAACATAGTGCTATTGATAAACATTAACAAACCTAAAGAATATCATAAGCCCTTTCCCCTAGAAGAGATAGAATTTTTTTCTTTATTTCACTTTTTCAAGCAAAGTTTTAGAGATTTGGATCTGAAAATTAGACCGAAGGTATATCTAAAATGGAGCTATAACATAAACAATTTTCTCAAAAATCTGTAGTAAATTTTTTTTTTTTTAAGGAAAAACACCAAAAATAGAGTAAATTTACACTTTGGTCGTAGTCAGTTTCTAGGTTGCTATGTGTGTGTGAATCAACAGTCAACAGGTAATGAAATGATTTTCATTATATTGTTAACTACGATATATGGGTAACTATGACAATACATTTTTATAGACAGACGATCAACTCTTATCGTATCCACCCTGCGTAAGACTAAATATTACATTTTAAGTACATTATTGCTTGTCCTACGATATCTTCTAAACCGCTATAACTGGTTTGAACATACTATCCACAGATTCGCATCGAAGCGTTCATTTTTTTAAACTATTATTATTACTATTATAAATACACCGGAAAGTGATATGAAAAATGTAAAAACATAATTTTATTACGAATGCTATTGCAAACTTTTAAATTTTAGATATTAGATAACAGACATTGTAGAGGGACCTGAAGAAGATACTATTAGTATAATTATTATGTTATCATTAACCATTAGAAATGGTTTTTTTTTAAAGCGTGCGTAAATTTTTTTTTACTCTAACAATAATTGAAATGTTGAGCTAAAAATTTGTTTTACCTGCTGAGACGAAACCATTTCTTTTAATTGCATTTTCTATAAGATGAAAACTGGAAATACTTATACTATAGTCAACATTTTTGCCGTTATACACAATGACTAATTAGGTTTTTAATAGTTCTTAACATTTATACTCATAATATGTCAAACGCACTCTTACAAGTATTCAAAACAAACAAACAATATTGAATTTAGAATAGGTGTTATTTATATTTACGTGCACATACATAAACTGTGACACTCGCATTTTAATAAAAATATGGATTTTCTTAATGTGTTAATATAATTACTATAAGCTACTATTGCATATTCAACAATTTCATCACATGTTTTTACTGAAAACAATACTTTTTTATATTTTAACTGCCATGAGTACCGTGTTTGGTACTCATTAAACTCATATGGTTTGTATTCTAGGCTTAAGGTTCGTAGCATGCGATGTCGTATTAAGTAAGGTGTTTGAATATTAAATAAATCAAACTCCAAAATGAATACTTAAATATTTAATTAGTACTTGGAATATTTCAATAAAGTTAAAATAAAATATTACATAGGCTAGCGTGAAGATACTGCATACTCTGACTGACTAAATCCAACCCCTGCGTGAACTGCTATCGCAAATGCTTTTATGTGACAAGGGGGAGTTTCCCGGGTCACACTGACTTTTTTGCGCCATACAACTTGATTATTCTATATGAGAGGCGTTTCCAATTGACCAAACATTTACTGATAGACAATTGTTATTGTGGTGCCTATAATCTTATAATTATAAGAAAAACCATTTTTTCGAAAAAAAAATCAACAATTTTTTTACGTATCGGACTGATATTGATTATCAATACAGCTGTGTCGATTTTTTTATCATCAATCTATAGGTACTAGAACTTGTGTTTAAAGACATTTTTGATAATGATAGTACGTTAACAATTGTTAATATTTTTAAAGTTAAATCCTCGTACGAGGATGTCAGTAACGAAAGGGTTAAAAATAATGGGCGTTTTAGTAAATCTGTTTATACCTCGTTCAGTGGAAACTTGTTAATGTTGATGAGTTTAAGGGGTTTTAATTAATAATTATTATTACTAAATGGCGTCAGTCTGCTTACATTAATATAAATAATGAGTTTAATTTTAATTTAAGTCAATACCAGAGTATACAGCAAGTTTTTAAACATATATTTTTCAGAGACTTAGAGTAACAATATTGATACTCACTAAGTATGACTTCCAGGCTTTGGGTTTCATTTTGGTACACAAAGTTTTCTGTGGCCACACAATAAATATTGATAAACTTGTGACGGTTAGAATAACAAAGTTAATGAACGCCGTTATTGGTACTCACGGCGCCTATGACCACCACCACAAAATTAACTCGGCAATCAACTTGTTAAGTAATAAATGTTTTGTATTGTAAGCAAACAACTAGCATGATTGGGTGGGGGTCTAGTGAAGGCGAAGCATAACTGCATACATAGATACAAATCATTGTAAAAACAATAATGTGGTTAAAATTGTATTATTAACTTAGGGTTAATCGTCTTGTTTAATGTTTATTTCAATTTAGTGTCAACCTAAGCTAACGACTCGTTACTCGCTGTTTCGCAATTAACAATATAACGAAAAAATAATTCATCTGATACCTGTTGACTATAAATTCATTCACACGTGGCTATTTAAAAAAAGAATACGGTGCAAGTGTAATTTCATCCTTTATCGGGGTTGTCTTTAATAAAAATAAAGTTTGGCAACAGATTTTTGGGGAAAATGTACGTTATAGCCCCACTACTCTAAAGAGTTTAAGAATTCACCTTCAGTCAAATTTTCACACCATAAGTCCTAAATCTACCGAAAAAAGTGAAATAAAACAAAATGCTTTTAACACTTCTAGGGGAAAAAGTTAATTATATTTTTTGGGTTTTAATCGTAAATCGGTAGACTGTAATACAGTATTACTAACACTATATCTAAAGAATATCCTATACAAATAATTTTAGTAAGCTTTTTTTTGTAAATTTTTAGCCTAAGTAAGAAATTATTGTAAAAAAATACCTTCTCAGCTCTACATCAAATCTAGAATAAATAGTACTGTCAACAGCTTCATTGTTTAGTTTATGAAAATAAGTATTAAAAATAAGTATTAACTATTACGAAGTTTGATTGTTATAATAATCCCGAATTTCATGTCTAATTATGGTAATTAGGTACCTTATAACGGAATCTTTTCTGAAATACTGTCCAGTAGCAAAATAATCCTTTTTATTACCTAATTCCTTTACTCACAAATTGTGAATAACATAATTCATAGTGACTTAAAGTATGTAAATTACTTTATTAATTTTAAAAAAGTATTAGATTAAAAACTAGTTAGTTAAAGTGTACTTTATAATTTTAATAAAATGTCGTTATTTTGAATAAAGTAAATAATAATTATATTTTAGCATAGAATTACCGTTTCTGTAATAATCAATTATGCCAGTCTATATTTGAAGATCAGATTAAGTTTTATTAAGAGATATTTGCTGACTATTCAAGCTTGTAAAGTAAAAATCGAAAACACGATTTTAATTATGTTTGGCGTTTTAATTTCAACGCGAACATAGAACGTAATGTTCAAACAATGAAGAATTTTTAATTATTTGTATATTCATGGGTTTTTTATTTGGTTATGTCGCCTACGATATATATTAAACCACTGAACCGATTTGCGACACTGCACTGCCCATATTCCATTGTGCTAGTATTTTTTAAAGTTGGATTTACATTTGTTCTATTTGTTGACAGTATATTTTAACTGAGATAAATTATCTTTAATTTTTGAAAATGTAAAATAAAATGACTACTAAGTAAAAATATAGTTTAACCCAGCATAAATACCCAAGTACAAACTAAACCAGTACAGTGTCGACTAGTAGAGTCCAAACCACTAAAGTCCAACTAAGTACAGTATGGATCAGTATAGAAGTTAACAAAGTTTGGTCAAGTCAATATTTTTAAATCTGAATGTCACCGCAATCAAATGCTACGATGTGAATGTGGAAATAGTTAGAATCCAGCACAGTCCAAACCAGCTCAGTAAAAAATTACCTAAGTAACTTAGGTAATATTTTACTGAGCAGGTTAACCCCACTTGGGCTAAATGGGGTCTAGTATCCACAGATTCACATCGAAGCGTTTTCTAAAATTGCGCCAAAAGTAAATGGCAACAAGATTTTACCAAAATTTATAGATTTAACTGAGTTAAGACTGTTACGAAATCTAAAATATAAACCCCAAACCCATAGACGGGCATTTCTCATCTATACTACATAATATTTTAATCTATGGTTCAGTGTTTATCCAATAGAGCACGAACTACGTGATAATTGATAAACAGTAAAATGTACCGTCAGACATCAACTAATAACATAATGTCCAACAAATAGATATTATATTATTCCCAAATCACATAGGCCACTGACCATAGACAAGTATAGTATATTATTATTATGCCTCAAACGGGAATGTTGTTATCAAGTCTATGTGTATTCGTCCAACAATATTTCAACTTCTATTATCAATATTTATTATCATAACAGTAATATTTTGATTATGAGAAATTTTAGTTTACACAAAAGTCAAAACGCTTATTAAAACGCATAAATAAGTTTTAATTTATTAATTAATAACATCCTACTCTTGGTATTAAATACCCACAGCTCCTATATTGGATGAAAATCGAAGTATAAGAAAATCTATACTTAGTCAAGTATATCGAATTTGACTCACTCAATGATTTTTCGTCAAATACAATGCCAAGTAGTGTGAATTCATTCCGTTCAACATCGTCTTTGACATATCTGCCTACACCCGTAACTCAAAGGTAAAACATTATCTAGTTATTAACTATTTTTTTCTCAATATATAAATATAAAACTACATTTTTAGAACATGTATGACAGCAGCAGTAAAACGATATCGTTATTTGCGGAAGTTGTTGAATTTTGAACAAATGGACTTTGAGTTTGCACTATGGCAAATGACATTTTTGTTTATCAACCCACAAAAAGTGTATCGAAATTTTCAGCATAGAAAAGGTAATTTGTCTATTGTTGGAAATAGTAAAATTTCAATACAATTTTATGTTATTTGTATTACTAGAAACCAAATCGCAATTTGCTCGAGATGATCCTGCATTTCTCGTACTACTGGGCGGATTACTCTGTGGTAAATGATTAAAACCATAAAATCATTATGGTATATTAAGTAATCTAAATCAGTTTAATAATTTATTAATTTATAAATTTTTTTAGTTTCATCTATAGCATTCACGTTTGTGTTAAAACTTGGCATTGCTGCGTTTTTTAAATTCTTATTGTATATTGTTGCTGTTGATTGTCTATTATGTGGTATATGCATAAGTACATTATTATGGTAATATTTTATCATTTTTTATGTTGTAACATAATTTATTTTATAGAATACTTAAATTTTTTTAAAAATGCATTATGAATAAAATTGAATATTTTGTTCCACTATTTTTACATTACAAATTAAATAGAAAATTGTTAGTCCCATTTTTATATTTTAAGATAATAGACACTTTGAAATATATTATTACAAGTATTTATTTTTAGGTTGGTTACGAATAAATACTTGATTAAGTCAAACTACAAAGGACAAGACGTCGAATGGGCTTATGCGTTTGACGTGCACTTGAATGCATTTGTTCCTATGTTAGTCATATCGCATATTTTTCAATTATTTTTCTATCATAGTAAGTTGTATTACTTTATAGCCATTTAAGTTTAAGCTCATTGATGGATTTAGAAAAAAGGTGTAGTCAATAACGTGTATAAAATGTGCATTTCCTAGCTAATAGCAGACCTTAAACAACCCCGATTGCCCATTCCCTTCTTTTCATTCATCTTAAGAAAATTAATAATTATCACAAGACAACAATAATACTTCATCATTCTTTGTATGATTAAATATTTGATTGAATTTAATGTCATATAGAACTTTAATTTAAAATTAATGTAGGAATTTTCCTTTTTTTTTTTAAAGAAAAAAATTGAAAATATTAATGTACTATTATTTTAATAAATTGAATACATTAATTCTGAGACATATTTTTTCTAAGTAAACTTTGTAAATTGTAATTATAAAAAAAAAAATTGTATTAAGCTTTACAAAAAGCGCACAGAAACAAAACAAAAGTTGTTTCGTTTCCCAAGTAAATTTGGTAGTTTTCAATCCCTGATAAAAACAAAGGGTTATTTTTTAAATTGTTGTTGATTTTTATTTTAAACTTAAAAAAAGCGTTTTATTTTTGATTCAACATAAAGTATTATTGCATCTGTTCGAAATAAGACAAAGTGACATACCATTCTATATTTCTATGTATATAACTTGAGAAAAAAAACAAAGAGGAGCCATAAAATAACACTAGTTGATTATTAATCAATGTACTCAGTCTATGCCTCCCTAGTCAAGCATTGTGTAAACCCTTTTAATAGAATAACGACCAGAGATATAATAATTTAAAATTTAATTTTTTTAGTATTTCTGAGACATGATTGGTTTCTTCCAATTTTCATCGGAAATACATTATGGGTCATAGCGCTTGGATATTATCTCTACATTACCTTCCTAGGATATAGCTGTAAGTACATTATTATCAGTGGTGTAGTCGTAAGATTGTACACCGTATGCACCCAATTTTCACTTTTTGATTTTACATGATAATTATATACATACATATATATATTATGTTGTTAAAATATTATTATTAATTCAATTTTATTTATAGGTTTACCAATTATACAAGGAACACAAGTACTGTTGGCGCCATTTGTTTTACTATTTTTATTATATATTGTGTCATTAGCTGCAAGCTTTAACATGTGTCAATTGGTCATGGATTTTTACCACTACAGAGTGCTATGAATACAAAATATGCATATAATGTATGTGTGTGTGTGTTAATCTTATGTTGAGATTATTTTTGTATGTATATAATAAGTCAATCTATTTTTATAACCATCAGTTAAATATTGATATTAGTTTATGATCATATTATACTTTTGTACAAATAAAAAAAAACAACACTATCTGTTTATAAAGCTTATAGATTGTATGTACATGTGTCTAACTTCTATATTAGGGAAAATTTACAAATATCACTTAAACTAGTTGCTTTTATTTGATTTTTTTGAATTCTTAATGGCCTTTGTCTTTTCTTTTGGTTTGTCGTTGGTAGCTGGTGGATTTCCAGTGAAAAACGATGTAATCATTTCAGACATTTCGGGCATGTCATGCTTATAGCTGGTAAGTTGTTCCATTTCCTAAAAAAAGTTAACCAAAATAAAATAATTAAAATATTTTATAGCAAAAATATTTTGGCAAACCTTTTTTGTTTCCGGATCATTCATCAATTTTGGCAAAACCACAATGGCGAGGAGAGGCAATACCATTGTTAAAACCTAATTAGAAAAATACAAATATTGTAATACATTTGATTGTTAAAGCAAGTAATTAAAGTAAAAAAAAATCACCATTGAGTTAAATAGAAAGTCTGTTATTTTCCACTGTTCTCGCGAGTAGAAATACTTAGCAGGCATATAGTTAACAAACTCTAATGGGTAAGCTACTTGATGGACATGTGAAGACTGTATATAGTTTACTTTGCGTGCTCGGTATCTGCCTTTAGAATTAATTTCCACTCTGACAGGTTCGTATATATAATTGGGATTTATTACTTCCACGACATACGACCCAGATGGTACTTTTGATATGACGAAAGAACCATTTTTCCTATAAAAATGAATTACACTTTCTAGAAAACAGTATGGTTTTTGTTTTATTTTTTTTCATGCAAAAACTTCAACTTTTAAAAATAATACTAAAATTTAAACTATAACTATATAGATATATATATATATTAGATGTTATATATCCAAGTATATAATTATGTGTAAACATTTCCATCCATTATCTAGATCAAGTCCTTTTTGTAACCCTTTCGTTACTGATATCCTCGTATGAGGTTATAACTTTAAAAATCGAATAAAATATTAACAACGTACTATCATTATAAAAAATGTCTTTAAACACAAGTTCTAGTATAGATTAATGATATTAAAATCAACACAGCTATATTGATAATCAGTCCAATACGTAAACAAATTGTAGATTTATTTAAAAAAAAAAAAAAAATCCCAGGAATGAAAGGGTTAATAAATATTATTTACATTTGCTTCATTCATTTACAGTTACTCCAGTTTACCCTGATTGTTTTTACCTTAGGAAACCGATCGCTTCTCCGCCTTTTAGATGAACAACTGTTTCCGCTAACCAGGAAGTCGTCATGTTCGGTAGCATTACTGTTCCTTCTATATCATAAAGTTCTTGATTGGAGTCAGTTTGACCGTAGACGTAGTTTGAAGCGATTAAAATAATAACAATTGATGAGTAAAAGTACATTTTAAAAAGATTCGATTTCTTTGAAACGAGAAAATTGTATTCCACCGTTATCAATATTTTGCTTTGTACTTTTTTTTTACTTTCTTACTTACAATTTTACATAACAGTTCACTTAGAACACATAAAAATAAAGTATGGAGTATGGACTATACCTATTCTTGGATCCACAGATAATTGAATATCACGAATCACGATCGGGAATAATAAAATATTATATAAAAATCTATTGATAAATCTATTGATAAAAGCTTTTCCGGTTACCAAGGCCACGGTTATGTTTGGTCACTGAACTTATATCATAAACCTGGTCTAATACTTTGTGTTATCAAATAAAAAATTACTTTCTCAAACAAGTCAAAAACCGGCGTAATGAGTAAAGAGTAAAACTCAGTAGTCCTAATACTAATGTTATTACTTCATTTTTTGGAATTATATAGAACTATACATAGTCTGAATTCAACTTTTTTGTTAGTGTTTACTATTTAAAAGTTTATATAGATCGCCAAAATGACTGATGAATCGAATACTGAAGTATCTGATTTAGACACATGGCTGGTAATTTCTAATTATTTCGAAATAATAAAATATGTTCCAAGTCTTAAAAAGCCTTTAACATAGTTAGAAAATCCATTTTTGAATACATTCTAATGCCATTTTCTTTCATTGAGGAACATTATTACTTTTAACATTTTACAATTGTTATTATAAACACCCATTTTCACATAATGAAACAAATTTAAACACTATTATATTAATAAAACTAATGTAGTATCATTAATTAGTTCAATAAAAATACATTTTATTAAGCTATTGAGTATTACTCAAATTTTTCTCGGTTCCCAACTTTTAACTTGAATATTTTAATGAGTATTGTGTTGTTTTTTAAATAATTAATTGTAATATATCGATGTGGTAATATTGATTTTTATATTTATAGATTCGACCGTGTGATATTTACAAATTTGAGTATAAAAATTGCACTTCAATGATGTCAAGATTACATCAACTATTTATTTATGGAAAAACAATTGATTGTAGGCAGCACCACAAAGATTATCTTGAATGTTGCAAATGGAAATCGAAACATGACACTAAAGCAGCTGTACAAATAACTTAAATTCTTTTGTTATTATTCAATGTTAAGATTTATATTTAACAATTAGTTATTTGATGGTTTTTAGGAGGCTTTAATTCAAAGTGAAATAAACAAAAGAAATGAGCGATGGAAAAACCATTTCGCCAATAATATATGGGAAAATAGAACCACTCCACCAGAAAATTGGAACGATCCACTGCCAGATTATATAGCTGATAGAAAATCTTCTTTGAATTTTGATAATTTTGACTATGACGAAGCAGCTAATAGTAAAAAATGTTCAATTATGTAAAATCTTTATTGTAGTATAGCGTTAGGTAACAATAATTGTTGAGTTCTATTAAATATATTTGCTGTTAATTATAATATATATTTTTTTTTAGTATTTTAATTTTAGTTATGCTTTCTGATAGGCTTCTATGATACCTATTATACTATATGGTATAATAATAATACCGTATAATATTATGTTTTATGGTATTATTTGAAAATCCCTTATCATTATTATGACTAAACTTGATTAAATTTTTTTTTAAACATCTATTTACTATTTAGTTTTTAACGACTAATCTAATATCAAACATATTATTAGTAATATGAAATTAACCTCTTTTGTAATCTTTAAAGCTCTGGTATAATTTTTTTGTCTAGTATAAAGTATAAATTATAATGTAGAATTTTTTTTATTATTATTATTTAACAACAAAAATACATTTTAATAATACATTTATTTGACCTTATTTCTGGTGAATGTTTTATTGAAGTACTTTAAAAAAGTCTATATTTTTTCATATGATTTTGCGTTTTATTAAATAATATTACATATTTATTTTGTTTGTATTATATAAAATATAATCTGTGGTAGTGGTTATTACTCTACTATGTTTTATCTAGCTATCATAATATAATCATTAACCATTATGAATTATGAAATGTCAAGTTTTCTTTTCAGGGACTGCCGACTGACTTATCCTCAGTAGAGGTATGATAACACTATCATATGATATGATACTATTATTGATTATCCCTTTGAGGTCTGAGCGTAGATACTAAACAGTAGACCTCATTTAAAATTAAGATGACAAATTTTACTATTTACGTAATCATAGGATAAATTTTTTTAATTACCTTAACTTACCCAGTTATTTCTCCACGAAACCTAATAATTAATATGCTATAAGCATTTTCTTTATTTTCAGTATAGTGAAAATCTAATATTTTTTATTAGAGTTTTGCAATTATTTAAATTGAACTACATGTGTGATTTAAAAAACAATGAATACAAAAACTAGTAATAATATATGCTTAACAAATGTAGTAGATAATGAAATATTTACGTACCCGATAATATTACTTAAAGGATGTATACAAAACGCAAATAATGATAAATCTCAATTTCTAATTAAACATATTTCAGTTAATAACAATTATTGTGATACATCTTTATGGACAATTTATAACAACAGATTTAAAGTAATAATAGAATTAAAAATTGGCAATAACAAAATTATTTTTAAGTACGGAGAAGATTTATTACAAATAGATGTAATTTTTAAACCGCGAACAACTAAATATACTGTGAGTCCTGTGTATGTGATATGTGCTGATCACGATGGAAAATTTCAGGTGATAAACTTAAAATGTATTTTATAATATATTTTTTATTGCAGTTAGTTAACGGATTTTTTTTTAAATTTAGGCTCCAAACAATTATGACAATTCAGTAGAAATAGCGTGTAAAAAGATATTATTGGGCTCAAAGCTAATTCAAATGTTAACCGCAGAGAAAATGGATGAAAAAGGTTTCGGAAAAAAAACATTCTACATGGAAACGGAATGTCAAATAATCAAGAGTTCTCTTACAAGACAGATGGTGTTTAATATGAATCCAGAAAAATTATGGCAACACATTGCTAGAGAATTAACTGCAAATCAAAATTCAAAAAATAGAAAATTTTTGGCCTTCTTATCGTGCACATATTGGGATGGAGAAAATTTACATGGACATGTTGCATTAGGAGGAGGAGGATTAGCATTGTTTGGTACCGGATGTCTTTACACGTGGCCAAGTCAACTGAAAGAAGTCTTACAGTGTTTCACTAACATGAAAAAAGTCGATACCAATGTATTGTTGGACGACAGTTGCTTTAGGTATGTAATGTAAAACAGTGGTGTCCTAAGGGACAAGGGTGTATGCTATGGGTCTCACTTCCAACTGCATGTCCTCATCTATTCTATCTGCAGGTACATGGAAATGTTGGAGGTGAAACACACGGTGTTTATCCAATTACGCCACTGATAATTAACTATAACATGTTACTTTAATAATTTGGTATACATTTTTTTTTACAGGGGAAACTTCGGGGGATGTTTCAGTACAACGTTAGGGTCAGTATGGCATGAAATCGGGCATACATTTGATTTGGGTCATACAAAATATGGTATAATGGGCAGAGGTTTTGATAATGTTCATTTGACTTTTACATTGGATAATATAAATATGGCACAAGAAAGTATATCTAATAGAAAAAGGTATATTGTATGTATTGAAAATTGTATAAACAACTACAAAGCCAAAGAAGATTTGTCCAACAACAATAGTGTCAATAACAAAACTAATTTATATGCAAAATCAGACGAGTGTGACACAACAACCAATTGTTGGTCAAATGGTTGTGCAGCAATACTCTTGTTTCATAAGTACCTAAAATAACTTTCTTTATTAACCATTAACCATACATTCTAATATTAAAGTTTATTTTTTTAAATATTTTTTAGGTGGTTTAACAGTTATGATGAGGAAAAAAGTAATGGTCCTCATTATGTAGTGAAAAGGTAATATGTATATACTTTTTACGTTAAATTTATAACAGTTGGGTAGCGAAGTTAGACTGAAGTACCAAAAACAGCCTGTACTGTATATTTTCACTTAACTTTTTTTAGACAAATTTCTTTGAATATAAATTAAGAACTTTAATATTATTATTATTTTTTTTTTTTATTAAAGTCCGCGACAGCTGTGGCCATTGGACTGACATTATTTTACATTATTAATTAACAATCTTATACATTATACAATAAGTAATTTTATGAAATAAATAGTTACATTTTTAAATTTTGTTGATTAGTTTGGAATTATATATGAATTCTTTTAATATTATTAATAACCGTAGCTACAATTCGTTTTTTAGCCAAATTTGTACAAAGAAAGATGTATAATATTTAAAAAAAAAAAACAATTATATTTATTCTCCTTTTAAAACTTCTTCTCAACTATAAATAATTTCTAAAAAAATTATTTAGCTTTAACAAATTACAACATGAAATGTATTTTACTTATAGAAATTTATTAACATCAACAAAAGGGTTGAAAGTTGTACAGTTAAGACGTGATGATGGATTTGTCACACATTCATGGGAGTTCCTGAGAAATAATAATAAACAGACATTTATTCTTCCAGTACAACTAGCAACAATCGGCACAACAATTGTGGCTGAAGATTCAAATGGAAATATTTTAAAGCACTCAATTTAATTTTTTAGATTTTACAGATTTTATTAAATGTTAATTTGTCACTCAATTTATATAAAAATAACATAATTATTTTAAAATTCATTAAGCACCTTATAGTACGCCTAATATGCTTAAAATAAATAAAACATGACTTAATTTTAATGCAATTATTACTTAAAAAAACAAAAATGTTAAACTATTTTTTAATTAACAACACTTAATTTAACAGTATTATTTATATTTTAGTATTTAGAATTAGTCTACATAGTAACTTATGATCTCATTATTTTTATATATTATTTAATAGTTTGGACATCAAGTCACAGGCTGAAAAGATGCTTATAGAATAAATATTTTATGTTATTTGTTAATATAAAATACTTTTAATTAACGATCATGTACTATTAATTTTAAACATATGCATGTATAAACTAATACTATTTCTTTTACGAATTTAATTTTTTTTTTTTTGATTAAAGATGTTTATAAATCGTTAAAATTGATTTTATATCTTAGACTAGGTATCCATGTAACATTTTATTTGTGATACCTACAACCAAAGTAGAGAAATTATAAGTTTAATATAAAACTGTGTTTAATTACCTAGGAGGTATAGAAATTTTCTTTTTGTGCCACTGCAGGTGGTACGTGAATTAGTGAAAGATATGCGTGGTTCTGTCATTATCATAATGAGTCTTCCATAGGTTTTCTCTCGAATTAATATATAATTCTTTAAGAAATCCATTAGAAATTTAAGAAATTATATTATAATTTAAAATAATTATTTGCTATTTGAATAATAAGATGTAAATTACAGTTATAATTATTTAAAATGTATTTCCTCCTTTAATGTTCCTAATTTTTTTACAAAATTTCAATTTGTGTTCAGCGGCCTTTAAAACTTATACATTTATGTAAAATATTTAAAAAATGGTTAAAATGTATTAATTTATGCGTGGGGCTATAAAAAAGCCGAAAATATTTTGCCCGACCATAATTTTACCGAAAATTATTATAGCCGAAAATATTTTATTATTGCAACAATATCGTCAATGTTTTATTTCTGATTTGAAGTACAATAGATTAATCTTTTATTAAATTTAATTTTTTTCATATTTTGGAACGACCTCCCTGATTTAACTAAGACATACTGCATCCATGTCCTAACATGAAACCAAACGGCGCAATGAATAGGCAATTATGATGACTCCGTGCATTAATGCCATTTTTTTCACAACCAAACGCTTAAGGAGCATTGAAAAATATTCTTGACAATTATTTGTTTTGCTAACTTGTTAAATATTGACATTAAAATTATAAAAACTAGATGGAAATATTTTTCTGGTCTAAGGTTGGAAAGATAATTAGGGAAAATATTATTATCTAGGAATTGCACACCCATGATCCAATCCCGTGTAAAATTCGATTCATAAAAACACCTCTCATGTAAATCGTTCAAGAAAGGTAAAACAAAGCTACAAAATAACCAATTGTTTGATATCATATGGATTTCAATTTTTTCAACAATATGATTCATACTTACAAAATATACATGTCCGGAATGAAAGAAATTCGATCTTCATTAATCTGTAACTTGGTAATGCACCTTTTATGGTACAAACTTTTTTATCGTAATTTTTTTATCTATTGACTATCCTATTAAGTGTGCCTTTTTTTGTTTTTTTAATGTTTTGAAATTTGCTCTTAATAAGTAAAGGGTGAAGTTTCTCATATATAGTTACATATATTTTTATTTCTCAACGACCTTGCGGAGTTTTCAACCCTTTCTTTACAGATGCTTTGTTTTTAGGATGTTTATACACAATCATTTTTTTTGTTTTAGCTGCTTGTCGACTTTCGATCTCCTTACATGCTTCTAATATTTTTACTTTAAGCTTGTAAGCTTCAAAAATGTATGTTAGTTGGTCTTCTGGTTTTGGTAGAAAGTTTGGTAATTTACCATTTTCTTTTATGTATATCAGTCTATACATTTGAAATATCGACCCGAACACCTATTATAACAATATTAGTATAGTATATTATGTTATATTTTTAATGATGGGAAATATAAAAATATATTAAAATCAATAAATTTGATTTTATATAAATAAAAAATAATGTATAATTTTTATTACTAAAATAAAATTGCTTAAGTTATAATAATAAATTAAAACCAAACACATTATTAACAGTATTTATAATTGCCCTTAGACTATTCTCTATGCAAGTAAAAATAAAATTGACTGATGAATTAGATTAAGGTAAAAATCATAATAGAAAGCAGAGTTATTGTTATTTAGTATTCCTAACGTCATGTGTTACTTACAATAAGGTTTTCCTTTTCTTTGTAGTCTTTTATTTTTTTCGCTTCGAGAATGGCTAAGTCGAACTTTTCGTTTAAACGAGAACTGTTTTGATTTCCCGGTAAACTTGCTTTATAGTTGGAAGCCGTTGGATAGATTACTTTTTGTTTCTGTTTGTGTAAAATAAAATATTACATGCATTATTATTTATTTGTTATACAGGATCTACTTATCGTGAACCACTCAAAATCTCATAAGGTTTAATAAGAAATTAATTTTTTTTTTTCATAATGTTTTTATACAATGTGATCTCAATTTTTCACAATTTTTTTTGTTTTTACCCCCCTCCCAACTTAGTTTTTTTAATAGCAACTTTTGAAAACTAAATGGTAACTTTATTAACTTTTTAAATGGAGAATAATGTACTAAAAATGTTGACTGGTCGATAACCAGTTTCGGATAACTATTTTTAATGTTATAAGAGTTTTAAAGTTAGGATGGGAGAGGAAAAAACAGAAAAAAATTTTAAAAATTGAGATCACGTTGTATTAAAACAATATGAAAAAAAAAATGTTTTTTCTTATTAAACCCCATGATATATTGAGTGGTTCACGATATGTGGATCACTCTGTATTCCTTGAAAAAAAACCTTAAAATTAAGTTTTAAGTCTTACTCTGTTAAATCGCTTTACACGAAATTCTTCGCTAAATATTGTCTTTTCGGTTTTTTTTATGTCGTCGTCAGCTTTTTTCCTCAAAAAAGTCATTCCATCCACTTTTTTTATAATATCAAATATATCTCTATAATACGGCTCTTGGTCAATATACTCTCTTATAAATTTCTGAAAATTGTACGGACATTCGTTAATAGTATTGTACCTATTAATAATGATATAAGACTGTGACTCCTTCCCTCCAATCAATAGTAGCCTATTTAAATAAGAAATTCCTAAAATCACAGATCTTTAGCTTAACTTTGAATATTTCATAGTGAATATTTTTATTGCAATTTAAAAAAAGATTTTTAAACTTGAAATATTATTTTTTTAATTCACACTTGATATTTCACTATAAAAATTGTTATTATCAAGTTACAAACCCTCCAAAACTAATAAAACTAAACATTTTCTGAAAACAAAATTATCACGAAGTAGCAGAAGAAAGATGTTCATGTGCTATAATTTAGCTTTAAGTTTTTTTTTCAAATATAAATTAAATTAGATTAAAACTTTCCACGTTAAATCAAATAAAAAATAATCACGAGGGAAAAATTGGAGTTGAGCTAGGGATCTGAAATTTTAGGGATGTCTTATATGTACAAAAATAGAAGAAAAATAGTCATATATATATATATGGCAGTATATATATTTGACATGTATATATCTGTGGCTTGGAGCAAGAAGGGCCAACGTCAATTTTGTGCATAAACGATTTAGTCCGCTAATTGCAAAAATTCAATCATTCTTCATATACTGTGAAAAAATCACACTCTGAGGCTAAAAAATGAATTACTCGTGAAGAGTTTGATAAAAAAAATTAACATAGAGCCTAATGGAAAATAAAAACTTCAAAGCTCATTTTCCGAAAGTTGACACATTGGCTCTTCTTACTCCAAGCCACAGATATATATACAGTTATCAATATGTATACATATCGAATTACAGCAACAGTGTTTGAAAATTCAGAACGCCACAGTTTTAACAGTAAAACTACTAGCCTCTGTCTTCCAATGTTTGTACACTAGGCACGGCGCTTAGGAGAGTTCTCAAAGAAATGTCTAATGAGTTAGATCATAATTCGTCGCCCCGGTAGAACAATGACACAGCTGCAACAATTGAAATTTTACAGGAGAACCAAAAAACCAAATTATTTTTCACTAAAATGTTTATATAATTCACGAATGCACAATTAATTATTGTAACTACAGTTCCGTCGTTTTTCTACCTCATGCGTTCGCTATATCTAAACACATTGAAGCATTTAGTCCATTTTACAGTTGTGTCATTGTTCTACCGGGGCGGCGATATAAGCTTAGATATGTACTAGGGTTGGGCCTATCCGGATATTCGGATATCCGAATTATCCGGATATCCGCAAAATCCGAATTTTAGTCCCAACCCTAATATGTACACCCAGGGCGGTGGCCCAAACGTCGACCCTAACCATACAAACAATACCTCGTACGGTTCGCAATCTTTTATGCGTTTTTCTGCTAATAACACGGATTCTTGTTTTTGTTTTATACTTTGTTTCACCGATTCCAATTTTGTGCCGAGTACATTTTGTTTGGATTGTTCATCAGTTATTTTTTTCGAGTATACCGACGTTTCTTTTAAGTGCTCCTGTACAACGCGGTCGTACCAAAATTAGTTAAAAATTGCAATTCACACAACGCTTATTAACGTAGATCGCAGTTAATTTTCTACGGAAAACAACACTTTTTTGTTGATTTTTAGTGACATCATTTAAAGTGGTGATTTTTTTGTTTGTTGGCACATTTAATTATAGACAATTTACACGTTTGCTCACAGTTATAACAGGCGTGTTTTGAACGATGAAATGTTGTAGACCTTTCAACTCGTCTCCGTAATGTTCTTTTAAACCCGTTATCATTTGATCGTGGGTCTCTTTGAGTTTCATCAAACTTCTCAGCTCCTCGTTGGCCGCTTCTAACTTGATAATTGCATTGAGCAAATCAGGTTCGGGAATTTTATCGTATCTAATACAAATACGAATTATACCGAAACATAAAATTAGTTATAACTTATACAATGTTATTACTGTTATCGTTTTTCTAATAATACTTAGTTTTAGACTTAAGTACATAATATTGTTGAAATTGTTACAGGCTGCCTTGATTTGTCTGTAAAGGCCACCGTCTTCCAGCGGATTGATTTGAATTGCGAATTTTTTTTTGGATTTCATCGCGCTTAAAATACGAGCGTTCGAAACAAGAATATATTTGTAATAATTGTCAAAGAAAATCAAACAATATTTTTAAATTGGGCGCGTAACAAAAGTTTAGATACTTTAAACGCCGTCTATACCTAACTATTTATTAGAGACCGGATTTATAAATAAAAAAAATAATAATTTTAATTGGCTTGATTATCACACAATCTCTGACGTTTTTTTTTTTCACAATAACTAATACAATTTTTATTTATTTTTTAAACACTTTGATTTCAATAACAACGAAAAATACAACTTGTTCAAGTTTACTCTTCATCAAAAAAATATGATTTTTATCTACCTTTTTTCTTATCTATATCTATATAAATACTTATTTATAAAGACGGTGCAGCGTTTGTTTATACGTTCACGCAGAACTCGAATGGATTTTTACTATGCTTTTATTTAAAACCCTCCGAAGAAAATTGATATTATGTATCTTGCTGCTTTTCGTTATCATGATGTAAAAAAAAAAAAATATTTCCGAAAAAAAATGTACTTCAAGGTTGACAACAAAGAAACAGCAGGTATCGTTATTAGCCAACAAAATTAATAAAATATTATTTAGTAATGGATAAATAAAATAGAAAAATTTAAGTAAGTTCGGGTTCAGTAATTTAAGTGAATTAGTAAACTTGTTATTAACATTAACTCAAAGCCATCCGGACTTTAATATAATCGTTGAACTGGTTTCGAGTACTGATTATTTAAACTAAGCACCCACTCATTTAGAACCGTATAATGTGTATGGTATATTTGAAGACGTTATCTTAATTAACGCGATCGAGATTTTTTTGTAAACAGTAATTCACTCATTCTATCTTATCTAACGTTTTAAGAAATAATTATATTATTATTTCCTTGATTCAATAACATTTCTAAAATTATTCTGCGAAATATTAATATCGTTGTAACAAAGCCGGTGTAATAATTGTTCATACTGTTCATTTATATGTCATTAATATTATTTTATACACTTTATTGATTAATGTGGTTTTGCCACATTCAATTAATTAATAAAGTGCCTGGACCCTCTTTCTCCCGCTGGACCGGGCCACACACATTTTTTTCGACAGCTACTGTAATGTAGACGGTGACCAACAGGACAGATAACGTTATACTGTGTACAATGGCACTGTACCGGGTGAATGGTTAACTATGGACCAGTCAATAACTTAGAAGATTAATATTAGACTTTTTTAATTATTTTTTTTTATAATTTTATAGTTATTAGTTGGGACAAATTTGATTACGTTACTATTTAAAAAAAACTCAAATTTATAAAATTGTAATATATAAGAGACGGATTTATAATTTAAAAAAATATATTTAATTTGTCCCAACTAATAATTGTAAAATTATAAAAAAAAATTATTTAAAAAAAGTCTAATATCTTCTAAGTTGTTGACTGGTCCATAGTTAACCAATCACCCGGTATTTAATATAGTATAACATGACAAAGTGTATTATTATATTATGACATGTTTCGTCGAGGCGCGCGTACGACGGGACGGGACGGCGACAGCTGAAAGTTGGTGGGGATGCTCGTGTTGAGCGGTACTGTTTGGTTGCCGGCGTAAAAACTGTCAGTAACAGTTTGGCGCCATGAACGTGTATACGGCGGACGCGGTAGACGCGGTACCGGGCAGACCGCTGTTGAACGTGCCGTACGCCGTGCTCGAGGGCCTGGTGGCCGTCGGTGCGGCCCTGGGAAACGGGTTGGTCATAGTAGCGTTCCGCCGGGAACGCAGGCTTCGCCGCCGCACCAATTACTACATAATATCGTTGGCCGTCGCCGATCTGCTAGTGGGCCTGGTGGGCATACCGTGCGCGGTGTTGGCCAGCGTCGGCCTACCCAGGCACCTGCACCTGTGTGTGTTCTCCGTTTCGCTAATCATCGTACTGTGCACCGTGTCCATACTCAGCTTGGTAGCCGTGTCCGCCGACCGATACTGGGCCATACTCTACCCAATGGCCTACTCAACGAATTCCAACACCAAAAAGGCAGTCAGTACGTGTGCAACCCCTAGCAAAAATAATACTTTAAAATACGTTTCCCCTTTTTTTATTACTTTAACAGCGGGGGAAAGTGAGAATCAAAAAGTACAGATAACATTTTGTTCAAGGATATATTTTTTATTATGTACATTGGAATAATAATTAATCAATATATCATCAGTTAAATTAAAACAATTCTATTCTTCTGTAAATTGTTTTAAAAATCTCTCGTGTCCTTTTGGTTATCATCTTTTTATTTATCAACAATGATACTAACAATTTCAAAATAACAAAGCGTTTTTTGAGAAATTTCAGTTATGTATAGCACTAAACACCTTATAACTTCTTATTCATTGTGTACTAATATTGGAAGCCAGAGGCTCGTGCTCGGTAATAGAGGTTATTAAGTTTATATGATATGACGTTGTAAAATTTTCAAATATAGTCCTTATAAAATGTTTAAAAAAAGTTGACTTAAGACATCTAAACTCTAATAACTTTATATTAGGTTTTAAAATTTAGGACATTTTAATAACATTATAATAGTTTTGACTCGAAACCACTGAAAATGTTTAGCAAATTACCTTAATTTAAAAAACGAATTAAATGTTATCGTTTAAATTTCAAAAAAAAAACCCTTTTCCCAAATTTGGCTCCTGACTGAAAAACTACAAAAACTTTATTGTTGTTTGATAAACAATTTAAATTAAAAATGTTTCACACAGGTAATTTTTTCAAAATGTTAGTATATCATCCAAAAAATCAGAAGTACCATCAAATTCTGAATATCTTATATGTGTGTGTAATTATATATATATATATTATATCAGGGTGGCCCTTATGTGGGATTTGTAACAAAACATTTCGAGACGCCTCCCAGTCGGTTATAAATGATGAAAAAAATGTTTGTCAAATTGTTTCATATTTTTTCCTTTCTCTCTCCATCGTCCTATTCCAGCAAGAACTTTTCAATAAATAATGAACATATTTATTTTCTGTTCTTTGAATGTATTCGTTATTTATTATACAAATAGGGGACGAAGAGGAAGAGGAAGAATTTGACAATTTGTTTTTCATCATTTGGAACCGTTTGGATCATTTATATATATCATGTTATAGAACAATATGCATACCTAGATATTATACGGAATAAACTGTGGCTTATAAAAACCTCCATAAATCATTAGCAAATGAAATGGATACTTTCGATTGTATTAAAAAAATACTACAGTAATAAAATGAAAATAAAAACAAGTGCGTAACAAAATAATATGTAGGTATTTAACATATCTAATGTCTAATGACATATACTACATGTAAAGGTACATTTATGCAATGTACCCATAAAATATTCAGTGTTGTTTTCTAGTTAAGACTTGCTTAATAAAATATTAAACAATGTTCAATCATATATATATATATATCTTCGTTGCCAGTATTCAGTTTGAGACAATACATACGTTACTTCTAACTCCCTTAATCCACACTAAATACCTAAAATTAATGAGTATGTTACATTTTTTAGAAAATAAGTACAATTTATATAATTAAGTATATATAACCTTAAAAACACGCGACTGCATTAAAATGCAAATATCACAAAAGTGTGAAACGTGGTTTTTACCACAATCAAAGGTTTAATTTTCGTAATGTATGACAATTTTAACAAATAGGTTTAAAGTATCAACATATTTTTTTTTTAAATATCAAGGTTGTATAATTGTTATTTCGTTTGCCTTATATATAAATAAAACCATACGATTAACAGTTAAAATATTTACTATATATAAAGTATGGTGAGTTTACATGTTTAGTTAAACCGCGTAAATTAATTTATGGTATTTTTGTGCAGTTCGTTTGCGCAAATGAACAGAGTAAATTATTTAAGATTCACACATTCACTTTTTAATTTTTAACTGTTCAATCTTCCGATTTGTATTTACATGTGCAACCCAAAATAGGTAGTAGGTACGTACAAGTTTAACTGGACGTGTAAGCCAACTTTAATAAGTAATAATAATTATTATTATTAAAAGAAAAATATCGATTCACTTCGCTTGGTGTAATTATTAGTTATGTACTTTGCTGTAACAAAAAATAGGTTTATTGTTATCTATTTGTTTCCAGACACTATAAGTAGTCAGTCATTGACGTTTTTTTTTATAGTTATTGAATTTTATGAGTGGTTTAATATATAAAAACTCATACTTATTGTTAATATCTTGCTATACTAGGATCCTGAAACTTTAGAACTGTTGATTGACAACCTGTGTTATTATTATGTATTAAAAGACTTGAGACTTCCATATAAAATTTTAAAGACTTAACATAATACATGGCTTTAATGCGACAGACTATTATGTCAGCTGTTATAAATTAAAGAAATAGAATTGACTCTGCTTACTATTACTAGGAGTGGGATGTTAAAAATCTAGATTTAGAAATACACTGTAGATGCTAATAATTTCAAGTCTTGAAAAAATGCAATTGCATAGTTAAACTAATGGTTACATAGTAAAATATTCCAAAAAATATAGTATAATATGGACGAGAAATTATTCTAAGTTTTGCAAATTTCCTAAAATGTCACATTCGGTATTGGCATTTAATAATTTTTTCAACTTAAACTTTAAATTTTAACACATATTTATAAGCTGTTTCCAAAAAAAATACATTAATAACTCTTTTATGTAGCTAGAATAACGGGTTATGTGTATGTGCTATCCTTAACTCACACTTTTATGTTATTAATATAATAATACTAAATCATATACAAGACAAATTCATATTACTAATTATAACCAAATTGTACCACAACAAGTAAAAATTGTCAACTGGCGGTTAAAAAAACGTGTCTTTAACACGTCTCAAAAAAGTTTTTAAATACTTTTTTTTAAAAATTTTACAAATACATATTTGTCAAAAAAAAAAAAATACTATTAATTAGGTATTACTGTTTAACATAACAAACAAAATTATATATTTTTTAAAAAGATCCGCCAGAGCCAAGATAGTTATTATCCTCTAGATAATAAACAAGCCCAATTATAAAAAGAAATTGTTAATACTAATTCGTGGTTAATGTGAATCCGTTTTTATTTATTCCAAACGTTATGAATATAAAAGAATTAGCGGGTCGGTACCTACTACCAATGTTAACTGACAATACTTGGCCTTTATTTAATGGCATAGCCAGCTAATTTGTTTTAAATACATATCGCTATGCTTAATGCTACAAATATAAATATATACAAAAGTACTTTGGCAAATGACAACACAATGAATACATCTCGTACCTATATTTGATTCGTTTTACTTTTAATTACTTCCAACGAAACCACGCTTTGAATGCTAACGTCGATATTATTTTTAAGTACAAGGTCTGGTAAAAAACCAATTCTGGCCGTTTTCAACTGACCTCAACAATACTATTAATGATTGTAGGATTCAAAAATCGACCATGCTATATAACCGTCACCTGGACACATCGCATGGCATTATACTACATATTTTTGTATAAGAAGGCGCCACGCGTGACACGTTCTTAGATACGATTTCAAAACGTTTATGCTGATTTTTCGCCATTGGTAGCACCTATCAATTAGTATGGGTTGACGTTCCTCGCATACCAACAATAGCTTGCTGATCGCCAACGTATACTATTACGGCAAATTACCGATTTATAACGTCACACGGTATTTAACGAATGTCAAAAGAGACGTGATTCGAATAAACGTAAAAAAATCAAATTACATTTGACTACTTGAATAATGAATAACATTTAGAATGTGGACGGACGATAAAATATATAGGTTAAGGGGAAAACAATCAGATTTTACGAAATCAAAATACACTACACTTGTGGATGTACCACATCCTGATATCCTGATCAGCAAATTATAAATTATTTCATAAATATCGTGAAAATGTTTTTAAAATATTTTGCTGCCAATAAACATAGTTTGAAACAGTATTATTATATTTTTTAAGTATAAATATATTGTTTTATTCTGTTTATTATTTTCAAATAACTCAAATGTACCTACATTTATTATATTGCAGTTAAATTATATAAAACATATTATGCATGATCCAATTTTTCCATGAGCGAAAAAATGAGCAAGTTTTATTATTATTATCTTAAATTATTAAATTATTATTATTTAATTATTTAATTATTATTAAATTATTTATCTTCTTATTTATCCGTTTGGCTTTCTTCTGTGTAACCACCTGAAACCATCCAATACCATCAATTACCGTTCATCTGGCCAACGGTAGCTAATGTAATTTTTCAGTATTATACGCAATGAAGTAATAAATTATCATTTAAACTTAAATAATTATAATTTTTAATAGACAATAATTAATAACTACGGCCAATCGAGACTAGCATGGAGGGTTTTATTTTATTAGCGTTTTATGTGTTATTATTATTTTTTTTTTAATCAGGCATAATTTGCGTGTGCTGGATAATGGGAATACTGATAGGATTCATGCCCCTGATGGGCTGGAGGGCCAATAACGGTGCCACGTTGGAGGCTTGCATGTTCAGCCGCGTGATGGACTACAACTACCTGGTGTTTTTATACTTGGCCACCATCATACTGCCCGCGTTATTCATGGCCACCTCCTACGCTCATATCTACACAGTCGTACTAAAACAAGTAAGCTACATTATAAATGATATACATTTTTTGTCTACACCATCAACACGACAACACCCCCAATTCAAATCCTTGGCAATCGTATGTATACAATATTCCAATATGCAAGTAGCGCCCAATTATTTAGAATATTAAGCATGCGTTAATTCCACATTGACCCTTGGTGATACCTCTGGCGATATACACTAAACTCTAAAATATTGGATAACTATACATACTCACCCTAGTGAAACCTATTACTACATATTTTAAAGTCTTCTATCATCCTACCATACTCTAACGTGTATTTCTAAACGAGTAGACATAACATATTATTATTGTATATAAAAAGTAGTAGAAGATCCTGCGTGTTTATATTATTCTTTTTGTATAGTATAATATAATATGTTTCACTAATCAATGAAACCACTACATGAAAAATCGGAGCTTAATTTTACTTTTTTTTAACTCGTCGTTTTCAATATTTGTTTGCATTATAACTAAAACTACGATCGGTGTTTCAAAATAAGATGGTCCCATCAATTTTCATAACAATCAGTATATTACGCATGTATATTGTTTAGATATGACTATTTTATTAGACAGTATAGATACAATTAGACGGCGCGATGATATAAACAAATGTGGCAAATATAAATTTATTTTTTACTATAAATATTTGCTCTATTGACATTATCAATATTTATATTGGTATATTTCGCCTTTCGGCGTCTCGAATGTTATGACTATTAGGTATGTTCGATTAGATTTTAATAGGAAACTTTTAATCACAAGAGATACTCGCTTTAAAATAATTAAAAACAAATTATTTGCCGGTTATTAGGAAAAACATTATTTACATTTGCTCCATTGGTTTATAATGTTCTTCATAATCGGTCAGGCGACGAATTATGGAAATGTTTGCTTTAGCGAATTATTCTGATTCTTTGCGAAAAGAAAAAGTTCTACATAAAATATGTTTGTTATCTTACAAACATAAAATTTTCCATTAAATTCGGTAGTATTATTAAACTATAATGATGTTTACAACTTTTAATTATTTTTATCGGAAATTGGCTGCATGCAGTTTTAGCGTGGGACGCGCTTTTCTGGCGATAAACTGAACGGAAAAAGATACCAAATAATTGCGTGTTAAAAACTGATATACTAGTAGGTAATCACAATTTGATGCGACTTGTGACTATATCGACAGTTGCAATTGCCAAAAAGCAACATTAGAATGTTTACTCATAATTATAATAGTCAGCGTTGTTTCGAGTACCTAAAAGCAAGTTCCATGTTCAGTTCGTCCTTCCTCCATTTTTTTTTTACACTTATTTAGAACCGGTGTTCCGATTATGAACCAATTAACGACTCTCAAAATACTGTCTATTAATGTTTCTAAGCATTACCTAATATGTAAAATTAAATAACAAATCGTTTTACTTAACATTATTATTGTTTAACATACCCTAATGACCTGACACAGATAAAACAGATGACGCTGTTGAACGGCGTCCGAAACGACAGCCCGACAAAACTGAGGGTTCTGGGGGCGGCCCGCAAGAGCGAAGTGAAAGCCACGCAGAATCTATCGATAATCGTCGCGTTCTTCGCCGTGTGCTGGATGCCTCTTTACACGATCAACTGCGTCCAGGCTTTCTGTGCCGAGTGTCCGGTGCCGGACGCGTTGCTCGACGCCTGCATCGTGCTGTCGCACCTGAACTCGGCCGGCAACCCGCTGCTTTACGCGTACCATCTGAAAGACTTTCGGAACGCGTTCAAGTCGCTGTTGCTCTGCAGTGACCGGCGGTCGTCGACGGGCAAAGACTGCAGCGTTGGCGGAAGCTCGTTGACCCATTCGGCGGCGGCGGCGGTCACGGCGACTACGGACTGCGGTAGGCGGCCGGTGGCCGGTAAAATATCTGGCACCGTCTCGTTGTCCATAACGTCCATCCGCCATCTGCAGCGGATACAGCGACGCCAGAAGAAACCCGATCCGAGAATACCCGTACTACTATCGGTCCGTCAACTAGCAGAATAATACACTGCAGCGGTACGTATACTGTATACACACTAAAATTCCAAGTACACTTATTGGTATTGTCATGTAGTATGTACCCAGCAATATAGGATATCGATGGGTTAATGATAATTCGGTGTAAACGAGTCAGGTTGACAGCATTTTCCATCAACCAGTGTTTATTTATTCTTAATACAGTCCCGAAGGTATAAATACTGTTATTTGTAACAATAACAGTATATAAAAAAACACACTCTAATACACTGCCGGCCTTAAATTCAAATACTACTATAATGTTAAAACATCAAGTATTACTGAAATTAAATGTTTTCGTTGACACATAATTTTTTTTGTTTTTCATAAATCATTAAGGCCACACGTAATATTTTTTTGTATTAAGTTTATAGATTTTTGGCAAAATCTTAATTTAGAGCCAAAATTATTTAAAATAAGATAGTAATGATTAATGAGGATAGTCTATTAATAACTAATTGTTTTATCAAAGCACTAAGACTATCAAAGCCTACGTCAATGATTTTGTAAACAAAACATTTACTTCGTTCTTTGAAAAGAGGGGAACTTCAACTGTGTCACCTCGAAAAAAAATTTCAATTATTTTAAAATTTAAGTCATTACTTGAGTTCTAAAAAAAAATATTTTAACTTAGGGTAAGCCAAGTAGTAATCATGAAATTAAAAAACAATTTTTGTCTTGATCTTTTTATTATTTTAACATCATGTTTAAATGATAAACAATATGTTCGGAAATGTTTACAAAATTCTAACCCTATGGCCTATTTTACATAAAAAATGGCATGTGTTGCATTCTCTTAACAATATTATAATATGTTTATAAGAAAAATAAATTATTGTAATCCAGAAAAATCGTTACTATTTTTAAAGTAAGCTAAAACATCATCTAAAACATTTGAACGGCAGTTTAACCATCCAGGGCCTATTTCGTAATATAAGTTAAATACCTTTCAAGTTCAAATATACCTACTGTCGGTACATAAGTACTATTGACCTCTACGGTATATGTGGTTCTTATACAGAATACTGTTGGACCTTGGACATGTTTACAATTACATATTTAATATAATTGGTCTTCAGAGTTGCATAGACATCTGTCATAAAATCTTTGTAACGACAATATAGACAAAAAATTAATTTATATAGACAAGGTAATACTATTCTAAGGGGTAGTTTTTCTATTTTTTTGTAGGTGATGGCCCTATTCAAATAATTCCGGTTAGATGAGCTATTAGTAAACAATAATAAAGTGAATGTAAGTTGTAACAGCACATTTTCTTTAATACATTTATTTTTAACTTTGTAGGTAAAAATTGTTCACAAGTTCTATACAGAACGATGAATTATTTCATTTAAATTCATACCATTTATTTATAATTACAGAGAAACTATGAAATGAATAAATGGCCATACTCTTCACATGATATAATTATATGTTGCTAAGGTCCTCACATACTAAAAGTTACGTCTGTTAGAATTGCCCTTATTCTATCTGTGTCGCGTTTGATTGGTTATGCAAACATCACTATTGGTGTATAGACAAGGGCATGCTTTCTATTTAATATCATATAATACAATTTATTTATTTTTAATTAAGTTTTCTTTTATAGAATATGTTTAGCTTGTATTGTAATTTATGTAATATAGTAAAATGTATATTGTAAAATATGTTTAATAAATTAAAATAAAATTATAAGTTCTTATAATGACTATTGCTTATTCACGTCAACACTAATTTTAAAAACACTTCCAAGGCAAAACAACTTAAAGATGGCTTAATCATTGTCTCAACTCGACAATAATAATAAAAGTGGTGTTTTATGTTTAATATTTATTCATGTTGGTAAGAAAATGGTTTTAAAATATCTAAGTAGATACTTAGCTTTAATTTTGTGCAAAAATATTTTTTTATAATTAATAAATACGTTTATACTTAGAATAATAAGTACCTATAAGCATAAATTTTGCAGTAGAAAATATAGCGTGCCCTCAGCTTTAGTCACGGCACGTTTACAGTACAGTAACCTATGATTCACTTTTTAATAGTGTTATTGTAGTATATACTATACAGATAGTTCAGTAGTTATACTAGTTAGTATACCTACTATATTGTATTGCAACATAAATTATACACGACAATACACCCATTACTCACTAAAACAATAACAGGCAGACGGCAGTGACAGTCTATATTCATAGTGTATAGTATGACAAGTTAAACAGTATAGAAAATAACAAACTAATAATGTTAAATGCTTTATTAGCCGAAAATTAAGCCAAGACCCAAGCTCATCTTTGCCTCGAATCATGATCAGCTAATGTCTACACGAATTCAATTAACAATCGTCCGAACTAAAATTAATTTATCCATTTATTTTTTATACAAAATACATATATTTATTTATTTTAATTTATATTATCATACAATAATTATCTTCATAGATTTTACTTAAAAAACTATAAAATGTGTTTTATTTAAATCATACTTTAATCATTTTAATTAATAATTTTAAAAATTATACTTTGTCTCTTGGAGAACAGACCATGAACAATAATTCATTAATATTAATTATAATAATGTGCAATCGAGAAAAGAAACATTATTTGGTTTATTATGAATACTCCGGATACAATATAGGCAATAGAATATAAAAAGAAATCTCACGCATCAAGATTGCATAACCAGAGTGCCGTTTTACTTTTTAATAAAAATATAGGTTAGTGTAATTATGATTTAAATACATCCTACATTCAAAATATATTTTTGTGGTATCTATTTTTATAAAATCTAATGTTTTATTCTTTTTTATGATAAATATAATAATAGTATTATTGAAATACATCTTTAATGGCATATTTAAGGTAGATTAATCGTCTAATATATTGGCTTTACGGTAACATTGTCGTTAACTTTTGTGAAGTATTCTAATTTATATTCAATTTCTATACAGATGTCAACTAAAACTTAATTTCTTAAAATATTATGTTTTTGTAAGTTGTGTTTTACTTATATTTTATAAAAATATTTGTTTTGAATTTTTATTATAAGTCTTAACATTTTTAGTGGATCGATCGAGTGCACCTCTGCAAAGTTAAAAAGGACTTTTTAACTTTATTATTTAGCTACCACATACGAATCTATTGGCGTCTTCAGATAACTAATGCGGTTGCCGGTTAAGAAGTTATTGGTATGGATCGTATAATTGAAATTTCTAAAGTAACCCCATACATGGGTCGATGGCGGGGTGCCATCCAATTAAAACTTGAGTCTTTATCAATTTACTGTCCTAACCTAGTCTTTATTTTAATAAATACAAGTATATTTAGCTGTAGTTATTTGGTGTTTTCTCCTCCGGCTTTAGCAATTGATAGTAATTGATGATCATATTTAGTCTTTAATCGTATTTATTGCGTAGTAATAATTTAGTTTAACGAGTCGTGAAATGGCTAAACATATTGCCCAAAAATGTCTCTAAATTTGTAACTGCCTTAGATTTCACGTCTTTCAAAATAATGTAACTTCCTCTTATAACAAACGCAATAATTGATCTGCATAGTAAAATAGATTGTAAACCTAATTAAAAAAAAACACAAAATATTGCTAACAAACTTACAGAGAATGTATTGTTGGTTTCTTAATTTTTTGTAGTTAATTTATTATAAAGGTATTGACAAAATGTATACAAAGGCATTTTGTGTTTGTAGAGTATTAGAATAATTGCATAATGCTAGAATATTGTGAAGGGCGAAGCTTATCACGAGTTTATTTTGACATCTGACTGTAATAATATAACATTCTCATAGGATACGCCTATGTAAAACCATATTGCGTGTTGTGGCTTAATTGCATTTATTATTGTACTTGGTTTATCATTAGAAATACACAATTAAAAATATAGATATATATTTACATACTTATATTCATAGTCATTATGATTTTTTTTAACTTAAGGCCTACTTTCAGTCATTACCACCATACCGATAAAAGTACCCTTACAGGAAAATTCTATAGGACTAGGTTACTTCACAATATTATGCGATTTTGCAGCCAATTTTTACTGTGCGAGACGACGATTAATTATGTATAAATGTATGTTCAGTGTTCTTTCATAAAAATACCGAAGTCAAAACAAGCAGGTGAGTCAACGACCAACGTTTGAATATTATTTTATCTCGAAATAGACAAATATACTATGTGTTAATAACAAAATAATAATAGCTTAGGCATTTAGTTAATATAAATATAATATACAATCCAACAGTGAAACCAACACTCAATAAAACTTGAAAACAGTTTTTGTTCGACACTTACTACACTGCACTAGTCAGTAGCCAATGAATAGGATTCGTTATTACATACATATACACAGTTAGGCCAGATAATAGAGTATAAATTGGCGTTGAACCGTTGTTTGTAACACATAATGGCACGCATTATGTGTAACATTATTTTAAGTTTCTAACACATTTATCGTTTTCCTACTATTATTTAAATCATTTAAGGTTATATATAATGTAGTCTCTGTATAGACAGGCATATTACATTAAAGCCATCAAAAAAGCGAATCGACCGGACTAACAATTTCTCGTGCCGCGATTTTATATTTAAATCTATAACCTACACGTCCTCGGATCACGGCTATGATGTTGCAGGCGACGTTGACATCACAATTCCATGTGATTCCGCATTTTCGACAAAACTGGAACGACTATGGTCGACGCCACGTCCGTCCTTCATCCCTGCGTGCCTGGGCGGCATGGACATGCGTTCGGTACACCGCGAACAACTCTGCGTCGTCATACGGTGGTGAAACGCCCGTAGAGACGAGCGGACGGCAGGCTTCGGATTTTTACCATACGACACGCCATCCGCCAAAGATGCGTCACTCAAACCGACTAAGGTGTTTTTATCGGCATTTTCGTACGCCGGGTGTAACCGCAACAACTCGTTCACAAGTCGGTCTCCCGCCTGGCGATTTTTTATTTTCGTGTACCGCGACAGGGCCGACAACTTTGGTCTTGGATATTCACGTTGGGAGGCCTCATGATGCTGCCAATCTGTATTGAGTGAAGCGCAAGGCCATGGCCCAATTGCCCACGAAGTTCACCACGCCAGGATCAAACCCGAGATACCCCGTGTCGTACGCCGACTTGTCGTCTTCCAATATTATATTATTTTTCCATATCTTCTTGGGTTCAACCAAATTGGCCGCGCCGTACTTGTTTATGCTCACGCAACAGTACGAGGTGAAATATAAAAATAAAACACAATTGGATCAGTTTAACATTGTGACCCTATACTATGAGGTAGTCCCGCCCATATTATTATTTATTACCTATGTCCTAAAATGTTAATATAATATATTATATAGATATGAATCTTTTGGAAAACATCAACGTAGTGCACGTCAACTAATTTAATTAACTTATGCTATATAACGCCGTTGGCGGTTTTGAGTTGCTTAATTTATCAAATTCCAATTAAGTATTTATAATATTATTGTTTAGTTATTATCGTCTCAACTGCTCCAGTCGCTTCAAACAACACTATAATAAATACGAGTATGTTTATTATAACTAAATTATAAAATATATTCAAATTAACTTATTAACGTTTACGGCAAAAAATTACTTTTAGATAAATGGAAATTGTAATATTATAACTTGGCTATTCATTTATTAGGTGTACCAGTACATGTTTTTAAATAGTGCATTTTCGTTTAGGAATTGTTCTTTACGTTATTTCTGCTACTGATGTGTTATATTCGGTTGCATAACGCTTGTATGGGAATTACCACAAGCCGCGCAAGTGTGCAACAACGATTAAAATATGGAAGCAATACGATCCGTGTTGGATGACCTGAGGGCGGTGCACCTAAGTTATTCAACTGGAAAAGTTGTTGTTATTATTTAAACATCATCAAGTAAGATAATACTAATACTATGATGCACAGTTACAGCATTATTGCAACCTAATGCCTACTATTAACGCGGATATAATTAGTATAGTCATCAGTTAAAAAATATAAAAATAAGTCAAAATGTCATAAAGACCACCGCTTCAACAACCGCGCAATCGGTAAAATATTTATATTAATTATTATTTTGCAAATTCACGATTAAGTTTTGTATTGCGCTCAACCGAGTGTTGGCTTCATATAAGTCTGAAGATAAGTCTAACATATTATACCTACAACAAGTGTAAAATACACTTTGGAACTGTTCACGGTCAAACGTAGCACATATGTTATTTAAAAAAAACATTCTATATATTTATATATGCTGGCGAATACTACTAATATAGGTACATGTGTATTAAAAACGGATTGTTTATAACGTAACTGTTATTACATTTGTATCACCGCACCATTTCAGTGTAAAACAACATATTTCTCCAAACCGTTTTTGCTAATTTTTCCTGTTTCAAAGGATTTCTTACAGCTAATACAATATGTATAAACTGTATTCTAAGGTTTATGTGTTGATGGTCGTTGTGTTGATTGGAACAATGCGCCAGTCAGCACTACATGAAGACGGCTGGAATTTGACGATGGACAGCCATATGCACTGCAGTGTAGATATGATTTCCTACCCGGGTTTTTGCATGGTGTTGCCCGAATTCAAAAGCCTTGACAGAACTTCACTTATTGAATGCGGAAAACCGGATTCGTCGAACCTGCAGGTCGACACCCAAGTAATAAACTTCTCATAGAAATTAAAATATTTTGCGCTTAAAAGTTTCTCCGAAATCAATTAAAATATAAAATACCTCTCTAAAATAGTTATATAAGGAAGAAGAAGTCAGTTGGAATTTGACGATGGACAGCCGCCATTTGCACTGCAGTGTAGATATGATTTCCTACCCGGGTTTTTGCATGGTGTTGCCCGAAGTCAAAAGCCTTGACAGAACTTCTCTTATTGAAAATGTAAAACCGGATTGGCCGAACGTGCAGGTCAACACACAAGTAATAAACTTCTCTTAGAAATTTACATATTATTTTGTTTTTAACAGTTATATACCTACCCCACCGACCAGAACTTGTAAGTGTAAAATTGATTTTTGAAATTTAACTCTATCGCTGTATTCTTCAAATACATTTAACAGGTTGTTGGAACGACCATTCTGACTGGCATCCGAGAAATAGGCAAAGGCCTATTCGCAAAGGTGCGTTACGCAGTTGTGGTCAGTGCAGTAGCTATTGTGCTGCTTTTTGCTAGCATTGTAATTTTGGTTCTCTTACTCACGGCTATTGGACCTCTGCTGTTACTATTGACTTCTTTTGCACTGTTCCTGAAACTACTGACTATTATGGTATTTCTGCCGCTGTTTCTAGTATGGATAATCGTCAGTGTCATTGTAATTTATATCGTTATTCATTTGAAACGTTCACATATCATATAATGTTATCATACATTAACAATTTTCGCATAACTTATATTATTATTGTATAAACTAATTGTATTTACTCCATGCAGCTGTACACCACAGCCATGGTGCGTAACCCGTCTTATGCAACTTGGAACACAAACTATATAATATTATAAAATAAATGATTTTGTATTTCATAAGTTTACTGGTTTGTTTTTTTATGCAAATGTATTTTTTAGCAATATCGCATGTTATTGGATCGTTTTTATTACATAAATATATATATTACTAGAGCTTCGTACTAGATGGGGGCTCCGCCCCCAGGCCCCCGAGTCGGGCGGGTAGGTCACAGATTCCCAGTACTGTACCCGGCTACGCCGGGCACGCTCACGTCTCCTCGCTGCAATATATTTTCGGGGAGGTCACAGATTCCGAGAGGGGTGCCCGGCTGCGCCGGCCACGGTACGTGGGAGTCAGTGCACAGCCGTTCCTAGGGGGGTGGCCGGCTGCGCCGGCCACGGTCTCAAGCCATCGCAATACGTCTTAAAGGAATGTCGTTATAATATGCTGTATTTAGTAATCAGAATTCATATCTAGTTTTGGACAAATATTTTGCAAGCTAAGTACTGATTAAGTGTAGTGTAAGTCTAGCTATGTCATTAAATGATAGCTATGCTATCAAATTGAAAAGAATAGTCTAGAAGTTAGACGGTTAATAAATATCAAGTGTCCGGTGCTGCTTACTTGGGTTGCTACCACTTTTACCAAATTGTATGAACTACCAATGTTCAGTTCCTTATCAGCGGGCGGAATTCGTGTTGATAACTGATAAGGACGGCAGGTCTCCAAGTGTATTGGCACTCGCTCGGCGCCGTCGCTTCGCTTCGCCAACTAAAAATATCCTAGGTTTGTAGGCTACAGTCTAAGGGGAGGTTACAGGTTTAAAATTAAGTTTAAGTAAAGTTAAAGAGACTTGATAAGAAGCTGGCCATTGGGAAAAAGTGTAGAATGGAAATTGTCTTTGGTAAAAGTGGTGTCATCCCGCTTAACTTAATGAGTTGAAAACAGATAAAACTGTCTAGAGGCCAGTCAGCTAAATGTCTGTTATAGTTTACCTTTGTGAAACAAAATTTGTTCAAACGTAGTATGTTATATGTCTGTACACAGCGGTTCCGAGGGGAGTGCCCGGCTACGCCGGCCACGGTGTCGAGTCAGCTCATCGCGATGATATATTTACCTATATATAATACAGAGCGGAATCCCACTTTTTGGTAGAGAAATTGTGAAAAAAAAGGGTGTCCGGTAAAGTAGATTTATACCATAAAATGTAATACATTTTGATTTAATAAATAATTAATCGTACTATAGAAAATATTAGGCTATAGATTACAGATTCAGCGAAGAAAAAAAATCGAATATATTTTTTTTATTATTATTCCAAATAAAAGGTCAAATAATTGTAGTAAGGTAGGTACCGTGTAATGGAAGCATCGCATCGTTGTATTTATCGAGGTTGCTAGTAATAAAGTTAAAAGCATTAAATGATTACTTTAATTTAAAAAAATTGATTGGCTCATACGAGGAACGTATCGAAATCGTGTTCTGTCACGATAGTAAACACATCCTTGTCAACATTAAATACATAAACCGAAAATTAATGTCAAAATAATTAAGTAGTGATTAAATAAAAGCCTATTACTTGGTCTTAAATGATGATTGTAAAATAAATTGTTATTATTTCTAACTTATTATACGAATGTATGATAGTATCACCATCGTAATGTATCTATTTAAAGAGGTATATCAAGGAAATTGAAAAATAATGATTGAAAAAAGAAAATAATGAAATATAGATAAATAGTATTTTAATACTAAGTATATCAATTGATTGTACATTTTTAGGGCGCAGTTGATGATTAAAGTTTTGAATACCATCATGAACAAATTAAAAGTTCAAATATTATGATCAACATTTAAATTTTATGTGCCACTACTAGAATCAAGATATAAAATAACTTATTGAACTGCTAAATAATTCTTTTAAAGGTCCAATAAAATAAATATTAAGCAGGGCAACAATTTTCGTTTATTTAGTAAATAAAAAGGTTAAATGACCAAAATCGTTATATTATATTGAATAACTACGAATTAATTAGTAACTTATAGTAATAGGTAACCTGTAGGCTGTATGATTGTGTGCATAATACCCAATACAAATTTTGGCTATATAACTTTTTATTTAAAAAATACAAGATGATCGGTTAACAGCTTTGACCTATAATCAATACCTAGATAATACTTTTTAATTTTTTTATGCTTTTATAGTTGTTATTCCGCCAAGTTCTAAAACACTAGTTTTTGAATTATTTTAATAAAAAATACTAAAAACCTAAATTTTCTAAAAACATTAATTGTTATATTTAAAAAAATGCCACGTTTAAGCATATCATCGTTGCCACGAAAAAACCTCCCATTTGCCCATTTTGAGATATTAGTATCCCTGGATACAGAAAAAATAAGCTATCATATGATAAAATCTCCAACGTGCTATCCTATCTCCATTGTAGAACAAATGAAAAATAAAAAATAAGACCTCTTATGTGTTATCGTTTAACACGTTTTAGTGTTTCCTGACACTACAGGTTTTAGGCTTTAGCACGTGGGAGTTTTTTAGTGGCAATATATTATATTCTCTAGACTCTACGATTCTTATATGAAAATTTGGCGAACTAAATATACATTTTTACTTTTTAAGTTATAATTATCAATTGTGACTTCTCCGACTTTATACTATAGGAACTATTATGTAATTTAATTTTTGTTTTACAACATTTTAACGAAAACAAATTTGTGAGGGGCTGGGGCAAGAGCCCACTCCTCAAATGTCCAATTTTACTAAGAAAAATCCGCCACTGTATAATATTAGGTGGATACCTATAAACCTAATATTTCTCGTTGACAGCAGCAACTCTAATAAAATTAAACAATTTTTTTCTTACTGACGAGCCTATAAAGTTGAATAGCTTACATTAAGTGTACTCAAATAATTTCTATTCAAAAAATCACAAAATAGTATAATATTTGAACAACTTCAATACTGTGTAATCCGTGGAGGAAAAATAGAATTAAGATTATTTTGTACCTTTAATGCATATCTAAGAAGGTATTAGTTTTGCAAACTTCAACTTGACTCACAGAACTGCAGAAATATCATTTGAGAATTAACTATAAATTATATTAAATAATGCATATATAATTATATAAATACTATGTGTGTAAAAAAAAATGTACATGAGTATCTTAAATTAGAAAATATTTATAATGTAATATAATATATTATATATATATATATATATATAAATGCTACTGTTGACTAATTTTAGGAGTACTACTATTGAATAAAAATTCTTTAATGGTTTGAGACATCAGTCCACACATTATTTCAATTGTAGTTTTATTGCTGTCTTTTGTGGCTTTCACCAACTTGTTTTCTGGTTTAGATCGATCGATGGGTTCAAAGAATATACGACTTAAAGAAGTATCTGCTTGTTCCAGCTTATCAGAAAGATCATTTATTTGACCAGTTAAATAATCTGCATTTGTGATTAGACTGGACGAACTCAATGTATTCACCCAGTATTTATTCCATAAGGAGTCTAACAAACGTCTATCAAGCGATGATTTGAAATAATTTACTTCTAATGAGTAATATTGTTTACAGTGTACACCAAAATCTTCTATTTTATTTAGAGGGATTGTCTGGTACTCTGAAGGCTCTTCGTTAGCCGGTTTGTAGCCCTATGATAAAATATTTATTAAACATTATTAATATAAAAAATATTAAAGGTACTAGCCTTGGGATATGTTCGAAATGCTCCCAAACAAACTTTGCCAGCCGAGATGGTTCTGACGGGATCAATAACTATTGCAACAAACGGTTCTTGAAAGTTTTGATTCAGCATTTGAGTTGAAACGTCGATACCCGATAGCCAGCACCCATAACCAGGGTGACTGTGATACCAACCAATTGCATTTTCTTGTCGCCCTACCTGTATGTTAAAAGAACAAAAAAATAACTTATTTGTTACAAAATTGAATTGGTTTATAACATACAACTTTGGCCGATTCTATATAAGCAGTCATATATTCATAGGCTTGTGCTTGAGCGTTAACTCTAGTTTCTGTTCCTTCTACAGGAAGTGCAAATGAATCCATGACAATCATAGTATTTCCTTCTACTTTACCAAGTAGCAGACCCATAATTTCTAAAATACCACCGGAACGAGCATGCATAACCATTTTTAGCAGAGCCAATGCAGATATTTTTAATTCTTTGAAGTAATGTGGACTGAAACCGAAAAAAAAAATTATAAATATACTCTATATATTACCTGTGTTTAATATTTTATAATATTATGTAAGTAAACAACTACAATTATTATGATTTATGAATAATTACGGGATGCTTAAAAACACACCAAACGAAAAGCTGTATATACTAGCCGGTATAGCTCCACCTCATATTAGACGATCAGTACAAGCAGATTGGGAAAGAACAAAAATGGAAACAGACACTAAACATGTCATGCATGGATCTATAATCCCAAAAAACCGGCTCAAGTCACGTAATAGTTTTCTAAAAGGAACTATTTATAAGCTAAACAAAACACCATGTGAGTCTAGACTCGACAAATGGGGAAAGGAAGTCACTTCCGAAAACCAATGGATACAACCAAAGGAAACTCTACCACCTGGCTATAAGAATAAATGGCAGATATGGAAGTCCCTGAATAGACTTAGAACTGGTGTAGGACGCTGTAAAGTCAATTTGAAGAAATGGGGACTACTGGGAGAAGAAGACACGATATGCTCATGCGGCCAAGAGCAAAGCATGGTGCACTTACTTAGGTGCCCAGAGAGCACACACACTTGTTTCGAAAAGGACCTTATACAGGCGAATCAAAAGGCCATTGACGTAGCCCAATACTGGGCGAACACTGTGTGATTTTATAATTAACCGACCATGACAATACCAAAACATACTGTGATTTATATTATATTATTTATACAACTTTATATATTACCACAATACTATTAGCGTTACTATTTATTTATTTATTAATTTTATGTATCCTATTGTTATTTTTTTGGTATTTATTTTTATTTATAGTTTATGTTGTTTTATGTTGCCTGACACGAAAAAAAAAAAATAATGATTTATAGGAAAACACAGCAATAAATAACAACATAAATAAGTAGGTATATTGATAAAATTTAAATTAATTAAATCAGCACAAAAGGAAAAACTCTTTTCTAGTAATGCGCGCAGATAAGAATAGCTCTAGGTGCTTACCCATCTGCACTTCACTTCCCATCCTACCTTTTAACCTTTAGTAACTTAAAAAGTAATTATCCAAATCTGGTTATCGAACAGTCAAAACGTTCAGCAAAATATTTTTAATACAATGGCTATCTTAAATTTTTTTAAAAAAAATTTAAAAAGTAAAATTGTTAAGTGCAATTAAAAACGTGGTGCTTATAGCACAAATGAGTATAAATTAATTGAAAACAATTTTTTTTTAAATATTCACTCGAACAAGATTTCATTTGTTGAGTTATTGTGGAGCACCCTGTATTATTTTAAAAGGCATTAATTAACTTAAAAAATTTTTTTACAAGTCCAAACTTAGTTTCATATATTCATATTAAAATTAATTCAAGATGTCAGTTATGATATAATAATATCACACTATTATAATTTAAAATAAGATTTGTTAAAGTTATTATTAAATTATAATTAAATAATTTTGGCTTGGTAATGTTTTTAATCCAGGAAATTCATATTTGTTTAAAAGCTTTTTGAAATTGTAAATACATCAAAAAAATATTTGAATTATGATAATAATATCATCACAATATATGATAATATATAAACATATTGTATTGTGTTGTTAAATAAATGCCCAAATAACGTTCCTTTATTAGACTGAAATAATATGCTTACTCTTTTTCCCATGGCTTTGCAACCAAAATGTCTTGTTGCTGTTGTCGGTCATATTTGAAAATATCATCGACAGTATTAATAGTTTGTATATTATTTTCCAATTCCCACGTCTTCTTAGCTATAGTTTCCTGAGAATCTCTCGAAGATGCCATTTTAAGGTTTTTACTGAAAACAAAATACTTTATTATATACTAAAAATAATCATTTATTAAACAAATATATAAATGCAATTATAAAGCAATTATACATATTACTATATTATATTATAGTTTAACCAGGGTAGTATTTAAAGCACAAAATTAACTTGTGTAAAAAATCTAACGTTAGGTGAGAGAGACTGCTTTGTTTTGTATGCTCCTTCAATATTCAAAATTTTTAAGTTTTTCTTTCAAATTCTACTATCACATCGGCATCGCTTAATCGTTTAGTTATTTTATCTCTTTAAAATAGTGGTTCATGGTTTAAACCAGAATAAAATAATGGTTTTATCACAGAATCGATTTATAGATATTGACAGCTGCAAGAGCAGCTGTTCCCTGTTGTTGATTCGTTAATTAAAATTGATAACAATAATTCTCTCAACTTGCCACTTGGGTTTGGTTTTGCTTTTGCCTTTTGGATCAATAAAACCAAAGCTAATAATATAATTTATTCAGAGAAAATATAATGTAACTGAATTTTAAGAATAATAAATAATACCTAGGTACCTTACAGTTACACTTCAATCACATTAAACCTTAGATGAAGGAAATACTGTTCTGTTTAAATCTATGTAAATAATATTGTTATATTATAATATCAAAAAAACTATTAATAAGCTCATCTACCTCTCTTTTTCTAACTAAATTTATAATTCGCGTTAAAGACAAAACGTTTTATAATTACCTACATCGTTCGTTTACTTATAAATAAAGTTATTTAAATAAATATGGGCACTCTGTCTATTAATATGTGGAAGAATATTAAAGGACTTGGCTGTGGTAATTCTTTATTCGTGTTAAATCGGTTCTGTTCAACTGTACCAAATGATCCATCACAGAATAATGATAAAATGTTGACAAAAGAAAAAGCTCACGCGTTAATCATGAATTTGAATATTGAGGAAAGAGAAAACTTAATATATTGCTTGAACCATCTTGAGTCGGAAGAAACAAAGGCAGAATATCGAGGTTTAGTACCAAAGTAGTCATATAATTTTTTAACAAGGTATTGCATGGCTTTTTTCTAGATTATTTCAATAACGTAAATAACTACAATGTTCTAATGTTGGTGTAAAATAATGTAAAGTTCTAATATAAATTGTAATTTATATAATTCAGGTCAGTTGGCAGGCTTTAGATGGCGTTCAAAATTTGGACGACCTAGCAAAGTACCTAAATTAGGAGATGTAGATCCAACTGGTTCTTTCTGTCCACTACCAGATGAATGGCTTAAAACAAAATATGGTTAGTATATCTACCGTGATATTAATAAAATATTAATGAGTTCCATTTAACTTAAACAAAGTTAATTGAAGGGCTGCGGGAAAAAAAGATCAATGTCAATTTTTTAACATTCTGAGAAAATCATGTTTTTAATTTCAAAACGTAATACATTTTGCCTGTATGCCTAAACTTTCGGCGGTCGTTACTCTTGACTAATCTATTTTTTTCCCTGGTTCGAGCGCATAAAAGATACAATACATCAATACAAATAATTTGATACCAAAATCTCATTTTCAAAAAAAATTGACATTGATCTTTTTGCCCCGCAGCCCTTCAATTATAATCTAAAATCGATATGGGATTTTTTTTATTTTTGCTTTCTATAACTCAGTGGAAGAAAATCCTGGTAAGAAACAAGACTATATTGTTTGAAAAACCTATAATGATGAATGTAACATACTAATATATGTAATATGATTTTGTTTTATTTAGCTGAAGCCATACCAAGACCAACTAGAATGCAATTATTCAGAGGTATTCTGTATAGCAGTTATATATTTAAATATTGTTTTTAACTTTACGTATCAAAAATATATTTCAGTGGGATTACATAACGCCATCCCGTTTATTATGTTTGGATTTCTGGACAACTCCGTCATGCTAATTTGTGTAAGACTACAATATTCTTCTATCTACACATACATTAACGACTTCTTATAATTTAGGGTGAATCAATTGAAAGAACAGTAGGAGCTCTAATAACAATTTCTACAATGGCCGCTGCTGCTATTGGAAATACTTTTTCAGACATACTTGGAATCGGTTCTTCATATTATGTTGAACAGTTGGTAACCAAACTTGGTTTGAAACCGCCCAGCTTAACACCTATTCAGTTGGATATGAGTTGTAGTAGACACGCCGCTAACTTGGTAAGATAAATATATTTTTTTTATAAGAAATATCTATGAAATTAATCTTTGTTACTTGTTGTTAAAAAATATATTTTACTCGTTACAATTAATTTATTGCAGGGAAGAACTTTAGGAGTGACATTAGGTTGCATTCTAGGAATGTTTCCTTTACTTTTCAAAAAGGATGATGAATCCAAAGATGAAAATTCTGAAGATATAACTGAAAAATAATAACAACCAAGTCTAATTTACCTTATTTAAATAAAACCTTTAATCATTAACTCTTCCATTTTTTGGATTTAAGTATTATTAAGAATTAGTGTGTTTTCAATATAATACCACGTTCTCTGTATTGCTTTTACTATTTTAAGATTAATCATTATTTTGTTTTGTTTCTTATTCATTATTGTATTCTAAAAGATAGTTATTAAATTGTTATAAATGCTTAACATAATACCAATTAATTTTAGTCACAACTTTTTTTACATTTCGTTAATACCTTAATTTTGTTATTTTATTTAAATAAAAGTTTTTTTTCTTCAACTTGTGTGTGCATATTTTATTTAAACTCAAATATATAAATTGTACACATAACTTGTAGAACTTGTTAAACCATTAATTTTAAGAGTATGAATATACTACTAAATATTAAATAATAATACATTCAATCAAAACTAATACTATCAATACTTAATGGCAGGAATAGTGTTGGTAAATAATAGATGTAAAGTACAATAATATCACAAATTATACAAATATATAAAAACTAATAAATAGGAATTTAAGTATTCTGAACAAAATTAACAAACAAGTTTATACAAGAAGAATGATAACTATGAAACATATATTCTACCAAGTTTGTGTTACATTTGCATTTGCATAAATAACACACATAATTGTTGTCCAGTGTATCTGAAATCTAATAGGTTTATTAATTAGTAATATACCAACAAATTACTTTCATTTCTACAAGTTAAAATAAGAAAAAATATAAATACCTCTATATCGCTCGTGTTGTGAGAAATATTGTTAAAGTATACACTAATATTCGACATTATATCATTTAAATTTTCTTGCAGTGATAAACTTGGGAAATTCATAAGTAAACGCTTACAAATTTTACTAATCAAATGTAATTCTAAAAAAAAAAAGTGTTTAATAAATATTATATAATATATCATTAAGAGTATATATATCGTCATAAATTAATATATAAATATATTTTTGTTACACACGTTCTATATATTTAATTCCTTTGTTATGGTTTATCACTTCTCTTAAAACTTGTTCATTAGTAATTTTTGAAAATGTAGCATAACCTTCTTTTAAAATATCCAAACATTTATTTATACACTGAACCTAAAAAAAAAAAAAAAAAATTATAAAACTGAAAACAAAATTAACATTATGTCAGCATACTTGAATAGTATTGTAGTTCATACTCGTATCAATATTCGAACTGCTTAAGGATTCTTCTACACTCAAGAAATCTCCAAATTCGTCATCATTTGTATTTGTGTAATCATTGCTTTCATTATTTGACGGTAAAGGTTTTACAATTAAATTATCATTTTTTTCGTAGTCGTCAATTAAACTAGTTACATTAACAGATTCTGCAGCTAATGTTCTAAAGACCTCGTACTTATCATGCGTATCTTGGCAGTTAATTAAATCTTGTTGATTGTCATTTATAACATTTTCAAATATTTCAATTTTTTGTTCATCTTTTTCTACAAAAGAGATTTGATCAAAAGCCGATTGAAAATCAGTAAATTCATACGAGTCTATGTTAGTGTTATCAGCAACATTGGTAAACTGAGCGCTTTGGAAGTCAGAAAATTCATCATCAAATGTATCAAAATTACTGTTAATTGCAGACAAGTCTAATGATTTTGGTTGAGGACTAGCTGTTGTTATGGGAATAATTTTAGAAACATTATTTTTTGGTTCTTTAAATGTAACTTCTACAGGATCGTAATATTGTTCTGATGACAACATAGTTGTATTTGGTTGTTGAAGGTCGTTTTTAACTAAATTACTTGGAGGCTGATAATTATTCATGTTTGGGGAAAATTTATTTAACGTATGTTGAAACCTGCAATCAACATATGCTTTTCCTGTAGAACCATTGTGTTTTTTTTCAATTAATGCATAGTTTAGTTGAGGAATGATCGGTTTTTGAATGTGTTGTAGTAGTGAAATATTAGATACTGAATAGCCGTTCTGGAAAAAAAAAACCTCAAATGTATAATGTAAGTAATGAATTTCATATCACACTACGTACCTGAACTAAAGTAACTAAAGCTAATATTATATAGAGTTCTTGCTGAGACAGACATCCTTCCATACCGACATTAGCCATAGACCATAGTTTTCCAAGAACATCAACAGACAAACTACTAGTCATCAACAACTGGGATACTAAATTAGTGTCACAGCTCCTATCACGTTTATCGGTTTTGACATACTGCCATATTTGTTCATATAACGGGTGTACATAACCAGATTTAGGTATCATCCATTTTGGCAATTTCTAAAAATAAATATAATTTAAACAAATTGCTTAATTTTTAAATCCAAAAATGAGTTGGATGGAAACCCCTATTTATTACTATGTGTGTCTGAAGCAATAAAACGCTTTTAAAACTATATTGTTTTCAAAAAATTTCAAAACGGATTAAAATTCTTAAATTACCTAGATCGAGTGTTCAATCTTTAAATATGCTGTTTAAAATGATTTTGGGGGTTGCCACACAAAATTAAATACCAATTTTTGACTTTAAAGAATAAATAAAATTAGCATAATACCGAATACAATTGTTGATCTTTAGTAACGTTGAACGTGTCTTGTTGTGCAATTATGTTTCTAATCATAGAATCTGCATCAGTATTATTCTTCTTCTTTAACAAAAAAAAAAAACATTATATTATACTTATATAAGAAATAATAAACCAATAGTATTAATGTAGAAAGGATTTATTGTTTTTAGATAGACCTTTTAACAGTTTTAATTTTCTAAAATCCTTTGTAAAATATTTCCTATTATATTCAGTACATATAAAATAAACTTTTTAAAGAATCAACCAAATGTTTCCTTATTTTTCTTTAAGACTTACTTTTTCGTTTGAGTTTCTACTTGAAGCTGGAAAATGTTTATCATTTTTAAAATTGTCCATTCAGTTTTTTTTGCAAATAAATGAATAGAAGAAATTAGTTTCTTTCTATAGAATGGATGGACTGAACATAGAGCTTAATTATACAACTATTGATTATTGGTTGAAACTTTAATTTAAAGGAAAACCTGGTAAAAATTGCTTGACATTTTGACGTTTTACTTTTAACTAATTATCATTTATCTATTTCAACACGATTATACATTTATACATAATGTTAATCAATAATACAACATAGAGATAACACAAATAGAAACAGTTGTGATAACGTTATCTCTTATATTTCTGCAGGAATAGAAAGGCTTGTCAAGCGCCGAGCAGTTTGCATAATGAAATAACAATATTTAGCCTAATATAAAGTATTAATTATAAATATCTATATTCTAAAATCAATGAAACAATGAATTAAATGATCTATATGCAACAATTCACTTAGTTTTGAATTGTCAATAAAGATATATAATTATCATGAGTCTACATTTAAAACAAGTTTTTATAAAAATTATGTCAAGGTGAATCAAAATACCTTATACCTATGATAATATAATATGCTTTTTTAAATTTCAAGCCTGTTTGTTTATGACTTATGTATTAGAATTTAAATTTGAATGAAACGTACATACTTAACTAAATAGACAGCTTACTTTTAGTAACATCAAAAACAAAACGATAAAATTTCATTATTTTGCAACAAGTAAAACGAACGTGCTCTTTTCAATTTTACAATAGTTAAATGTTATTATGCCTCGGTTACTTTTAAAACTGTTAATTTCTCTAGCATAATAGTCGCGGTTTTAAAATTGAAACAAATTAGCATTTGTTATTTTAGTATTTTACGAACAACAAATTCTACTGCTTAATAATATCAACAACTCATGACGTACAATGATAATTAATATATTTTGGTATTCATATTATTTGTATAAAAAACGATTAATATATTATAGGTAAATTTAAGATTTTAATCACTTTTTTAGACTGTAAACGTTTAAATACAAAACACTTGGCTAGTTTCGAAAATAGGCGCCACAAAATGTACACATTTTAAACCTATATAACACTAAATTACTAAAAAATATTTTATACATTTTAGCTCCAATAGTGCTTTATATAACACATTATATCAGTATAATAATTATATATTGTTTTAATGTCATATTCCATATTTGACAGCTATTTAAAATTTCATAAACGAAAACCAAAACACGGTTGTAGCTTCATATCATTTTAGGAAAAACACAGAACTGTTTTTTTATTTAATTTAAGGTCAAATAAACAAATAATAATATGACTTGACTCTTGCCCATTAGGATATTGTATATTACTAAGTTTTACGTTAAAAAAATCCAACATAGGTATTCCGTATTATCTGTTGTAAGTATACATAAATACATTGTGTGTGTATATATATATATATATATATTAATTATTACCTATTGTAAAAAAGTATGACGTATGAAAAAAGTATGAAGTATAATGTTAAACGCTCATTACATACATTTTTAGTAGGATCTTAGGTTACAAAATATTAAAATACCTACTACAATTTTAGAAAAATAAAATAAATACATATGTATTTAAAATAGACTATTTGTGTGTGTTTACTGTTTGTATTTATAATGTACCTAGTACCTTCTACCTATGTAGGTTTTAGGAGTGCTGAACATTTAAAAGTTCAAACTTCAGAGTCTGCAACTAATTCAGATTTCAGATGTACAGGATAATATTATATTATTCCATTTAATTTATTATTATATAACTTATTTGAAAATTAGTATCACTGTATAAAAATTAGCTTACTCAAATTTGGCAATTACCAGTCTCTATCATTATTCTATAGTTTTAAAATGACAAAATATGATACATGAAATAATTGGTTACTTATAGTCAGGGTGTATTTTTACATCGTGCTTGGTTGCACCATAATATTTAATCTATGGTTGCACTTTGTAAAAAATTAAAATTTGTCCTCTGCCTTTTTTCTGTTGACTATTTATGTTTATTAAATTTAGGACCACATTAATTTTTACTACAATGACACCAGATAGACGTTCGTGGCAGTGCCTTTACTTGTGGCCCCAAACAGGTACAATTTATGACTATAAAACATTATTTTAGATATACCATTTATAGCAAATATGTCATGATAGGCAGTGCGTAACAAATTCATGTTTAGCTACTACATATTTTTAGTAATAATAATAAAAAACATTTTGGAACACAATGTTTATGTCAGAAAAAATTATAAAAAGGTCAATATGACAATACACAAAAGTTTGTAAACATGTGAGAAATTAGTCAGCTTGTAAATTTAAATTAAGACAAACGCTTTATCAATATAATGTATTGTAGTCATTCATTTTTAAATTAGCGTATTTTTTAAATATCAGTACAATGAGTGAATTAGTTCAAGGACATAAAAAAAATGAAGAGTTTTAGGCATGAAATTTGAATTAGCTTCGCTATCATGTATATTGTACTATATTCACTGTATATATGTAATGTAATTGATCAGCGATCTGCTTTCTGCGCTTTAGATTGAATTTGATGTGAAATAAAAGCAAAGCAATAATTTAATGTCATAATAAATCAATGAAAAAGATTTTACAATGTCACAAATATATGGTATATTTCATTCCCAAGTTATAAATAAACGGATAAGGTATTAATCTCATCAATCACTATTCGGAAACTTCCTTTTATGATAGCTTCGAGGTTAGGGATAGGGAAGTCTTTATTTATGAATATTTATTGGAATAGGTAGGTGCTATTAACTACCCAACTTTTACTATGTATAGACAAATTTACTCCGTTCGTCCAAAATATATTGTTAAATAATACTATTTTTGTATTCTAAACATTTGTCTTTACTCTTTACAGTTATTTTACATTATAATATTGAGTGACATCAAAAAACGCTGCTCGATTTGCCAAACAAGTCAGTCGATACACCGACTAGTGTTTTACTATGTAACTAAGTATTCCTAGTTTATACACCTAAAGACGTTCAAAAACCTTTTCATAATCAAAATCACATCATTAAATCTTTCGGTATGTTAGAATGAAAATTTACATTTTTTTTATCAAACTCTCGCCATAACTCATAGAAATATACTTAATACTTTATATGTTTTATAATTAAAAAATGAATAAACTTGTTTATCTTTAAATTAGTCGGCATATTTAAAGTTGCTACTATGAATACTATACACTATAGATCAATTTTTGTTAAATATTGTCTATCCTCGGCCCCTTAATAAACAAATAATTTGTCCCTCTTTCGAATCCCTATAAGGTTACGCACTCCTGTGTCAAAAATACCTTATTTAGTTATGATGTACTTTGTGCACAGTCAAAACATCGAGTTTTAACATTATATCCTTAAGTTTTATAAATCATATAGGTAAGGTATTTGTTTATTATCTCTATTCTTATAGTAGAACTAATCGTCTTTATAGATTATAGACAGCAATTAATTATTAATGAACATTAAGTAATAACTCATGCCTAATTAAAAGGACTAATCACTAATGAGTCTGAAAATAATATTATTTTTTTAATTTTCAGCAGGTATAATTGTGGTTTATTTATACACTTAATTATTACACGTCGTATAAAGGACACCCTATAAACGTGTTTATTCTGAATCAATTGAATAACGCAGCTGATTAGAATTTTAAGGTGTCAACTTATTTGTGGATAAATTAAAATTGGCATTTCAATCACTCTACAATATTATTAGGTAATACAATTTCATTATTCTAATGAAAATAAAGACAATTTTAAATAGTAAACGGATATTATTATAATATGCAATACAAAATAGTAGAATATATATATGTATATATATATATATGTAATAGTAATATTACTATTATATTATAAAGAATAGTAATGAAGATTCTAATTTCTATGTTAAAATAAATGTTGATTCTGCTAAATCCGTAGTACGAATCGCTGATCAGATGTAATTTCAAATAACCTATTGCAATAATTTTTATTTTATATTATACAAAATATAACAAGTCTTTGGCGTGGAAATAGCTTTACTGTACGTAGTACGTTGGCACTTGGATCACATTACCTATAATGAATTTGTATGACGTAAAATCAGTTACTATATTAGTAATGCATTTAAACTTATATGCGAAACGGTAGTCGTTTTTAAAATGGGGTTCAGTTAAAATAGAAATACTAAAAAAATATTTAATATTTATTTCATTTTTAAATCCGTATTATAAGATGCAAAAATTTATCTTAGAAATTATGTAATATTATTTTTACATTGGTAAGGCTCCGAGTATATAACTAATATTTAATATACTAATATATCACAGTATAAAAATACCTAATAAATGATTACAATATTTGTTTTTATATATCTGTGTATGTGTGTCAACGGTCTGTAACTATGTTGGCATTTTAAACATTTTACAGCATGTCTATTATCTATTAAAAATAATCGTTTAATATTCCTTCTACATTTTGTCACTCTTTTACTCTAAGTCATTCTTGCAAGTTGAAATTTATATTTGCATATTAAATATAACCTAGGCTGTAGGCATTGTACACAAACAAATACATTTTAATTGTGTGGTGTGGTTTCAGTGTGAACGGAACTCATTTGGACAGCAGACATGCGTTATTGTGGCTTTGTCCAGACCCTAGCGCTGACTAAGAAAATGATAAATAAGCCTGCAGTCAAACGGAATAGTACAACAAATCGTGCCAATAGTGTGTACATGCGCCAGACAGTTAGCTCTTGTATTACCCTAATTCTTCTTATTTTTTTGACATTTCATTGAATTAACTTATAGAATTGGTGTATAAAGTGGTTATCTATATTCAATTTTGTTTTCTTTTTATAAATGGTTAATAAACACTGTTTTTTGTTCAAAATAAACAGTAAGTATAACGTTTACATTTTAATAAAAAAATTAATATTTTAGTAAGTATCTGTGGGTTAGGTTAGTTGTAGTACAAGTTGATATGCTACTTTTCCTACTTTCGGAAATATACAATACTACATTTTTCAATAAATTCATACTCAAATTAAATTATTCTTTAGTTTCTAAAAATAGATTTTTTATGATATCAACTAAACACTACAAATAAGTGTGGTATTATTAGACAAGATGATACAAAATCAACATACGTTTTACACAAAATACCTAAAACTTAGTAAAGAAACCTAAAATCAGTTACTGGTATATAACATTTTTTATAATTGGTCAAGATACCATTATTAAAATACTCTAAGGCATACTTAAGTACACAAATGTAATCTGAAATTTAAAATTATTTCAACTTTTTATTATTGTTGGTTGTTAATGTATGCTTTTCAATTTTTGAGAAAAATATAACGTTTATGGACGATTACGAATAAGAGGAGCATGCGACAGTACTAATATAATAACCAGATATAAATTAGCTTGATGCAAAATGCAACCGAATAATTTAATATAGTCCTGACATAATTATAAGAAAAAAAAATTATTAAATTAGATAACAGTTGAATAGGCAAATTAATTAACTTTTTGGCTTATTTTAACATCATTGATAATACAAAACAATTTATTTTCTAATAATCAATATTAGTTGTTTAAAATTGAGACTTATGCATGATTACCACGATCGATTCAATAAAATAGCCTCTTTAAAAAATACACATGACGCATCATTTTTAAAAAATGATTTAACAGAATCCAACAAAAATGTAAACGAATTATTTAATGGAAAAATATGTGTCATGATAAGACCATGGTTAAAAATTGGTAGATTTAAAGTAGAGCACGTTAGAAACTACAGTAGTGGTAATACATTTCTCGGTGGTGTTAGACCATCAAGTTTTGTTTCCTTAGAAGGAAGAGCATATTATGTTATATCAAATTATTTTTGGTCATAAGTTAGTATTGATAAAAATAAATCGGTTCAGGAATAGGTTAAGAAATAAACCAAACAGGGCTGCCTTAGACTCTAAGGCTTAGACCAGCGGTTCCCAACCTGGGGTAATTACCCCCTTTTTTTTTGGATGGAGGGTATTTTTTAATATCTACCTGATTTATGGGTAATAGTCTCAAAAAGGTTGGGAACCGCTGGCTTAGACTATGCAAAGGCCCTCGGGCACACAGAGTTTGAGGGCACTTAAAGAAAACAAAGATGTAAATTATATTATCGAACCGGGGGCCCTGGGCTCGTGCCCCACGTGCCCTTAAGGTAAAAATGGAACTGAAACCAAGTCAATTAAAGATTAGATAAATAACATGAATAAGGTTTTATCTAATTTTTGGTGCAACTATATTTCCACAGGGTAATGTTTATTAGTTACTTGAAAAGGTTGAACAAATTTTTGTATTACAACAAAATTGGTTAGCGAATAATTATAAAATAAAATATTTTTACTAAAACAATATAATTACCTGAAAAATAACATAAAAACACAAATTTGGTAATACTCAAGCATACTACAAAAATAGTAGAGATATTAAAGTGGTAGGTATTTGTTTGATACCTATGTTTACATTATTTTTTTTTACCTAGTTATTATGTGCTATATAATACATTTATTATTTGTATACCTTACATAATACTGTAATTAAAAGTCATTACTGTTTTATTGACCATTGTGTTTATAATTACAAACTTGTTGACTTTCTTCTTTCCTTATAACGCACGAAAATATTATTTCGTACCTACCGGCTAAATAAAACAAAACATTTACATTAAGTTATTTGACATAGATTTAAATAGAGTTTAGTATGCCAAGCGACGTTTTCACCCTCTTCCCTTATTTGCGTGTTCGTCTTAGCAAAAGTTAAACACGAGTTGTACGCAAAGGAAGTTTCAAGTCTGCGCAAGTCTACTGCTGTAACATTGTATTCTGTATACTTGCTATATTTTTTAAATCAATTCGTACACAACTAACGTTTTAGCGTACTAACGGGTATAACCGAATGGAGTGCGTTGAACCGCTGAACTTATTGTAATAAAATATTAAATAATAACAAATAACAAATAATTTACGGAAAATAAAAATAATTTTTAAGGTGTTTAATTTTTTAAAACTTTTACTCTTTCGATAGATTACTAATCGTTAATTTTTATTTCAAAGTTGGTCAAAAACCGCGATAATTATAATTCAATAAATAATAATAAACTATAGTTTATATTTATAATTATATACAATATGAATTGACATTACTATCGCAATAGGAAATGAAAAACTGTGTATGTATCTTACCCTGTGGTTATAATATTATTATTATATTTATACTATTCTCTATATTTTATAGATAACGTGTTTTACAGTACCCATCTAAATTAAAATAAAATCCTACGTTAAATGTTTGATGTATCTGAATTTAAATGTTAAACTTACGTTTTGTTACGTCGAAAAATTGCATTATACGATATACTTCTATTATAAATACTCACCTGTCAAATTTGTACAATTTAAAAAAAAAAAGAAAAATCTAGTACTCTTACTTTCTGGACGTGCCTCGTAAAAGTCAAAATGAAGTAACATGTTGCCTACTTTTGATTTGTCAACTTAACGAACCCGTTGTAATTTGTAGGTTATAAATACATTATTTTGAAAGTGATGATATCATTTTCGTTTTAAACTCTCTAATACAAATCTATGGTTAGCATATCCAAGTAATCATTTTTTTTAGCCGTAAAAATTATTTTGTTATTATTATTTTTTTAATTAAATCTGCATAATAAAACTGTTGCTATACAACTTTCATGAGCTTTCCATGTTTTTTTTTTGTATTATAATATTACGTTGTGACTATCAAAAACACTAAACAGTCAAATGCTACGGGTTGCTCAAAATTAAAGGTAGGTATTAGAACATTTCAATGTAATTTAACGTTGTAATGTATCTGTAAGCCTCACATGTGTACGTGGTTTCTGTATCATTCGGGGGGTGCTCGTACAAATACACACACAGTACTGTAAACACGAACATAAACGCGTATTGCAACGTTTCACTAATCTAGTGTGTACCCACCTTTATATTAAATTGGCTAAGTAGGTAACTTACTATTTGATGTTCACGGAATTAACTTACAAGTTACATTCATCGTTGGTGCAACCCGGCATAAGCGTAGGTGTAATAAATTGTAATATAATACAATAATATTGTTGACGATTTTTATAATAAGTACACTGTTACGTGTTTAAGTTAAAACAAAACTACTCGCTTTTCCTTTTTGTTATTTATATTACTGGTATTATTATTTGATTAGGCTTGCAGTTATGGCTGAAAGAGAATACCAACAAAAATCTCGGAATGATGTGTTCAAAACAATAGTATTTATGTTTTTTATGACCACGTTGTTAATGTTTTACTGCAACGATGAATATGACCAGTACGAGGAAAACGTCTATTCTCAAAATAAAACTGCAGATCCCTTTTACAAAAACGGTAACGTAGTGTTTAGTTATAATAATATATTATAAGTAATATTCTGGTAAATGGTAATATAGTTATATTTTGTAGTGTAATATATCAAATGAAACAAATTAAATTATTTTACACTAGTATTCTTTATATTTAATGTTGCATTAAGTTAACCGTTAACGTAGTCGCTTTGAACAATAATAATAATAATTTTAGTTTTCTTTCCACGTAAAAATCGTCTCGGCCAACGTCGCATTTTTAATGTGTATACTAATTACGCGATTAGTAGATTATTTTAAAACATTAGACATCGTCTAACTGGCAAAAGGACAATCCGATTAATACCCGATGAGTGATGAGACTATGAAAGTCTTAAATTAAAATGTCTCATTGATAATAAATAATAATGTAGAATATAGAGAGTATAGGTAGTGAAAACCGTTTATATTTAAAACAGTGTTATCTATTCATTGGTAGTATCAAGTGGGCGTTTCCTTTATCGTTTAAATCATGAAATAATGACACAATTACTTTACATTTTACCAACTTAGTTTAAGTATAAATTTTAAAGAGAAAAAACAAAGAACAACCGTTGTTTGTTTTACATATCTTAAGATATCTCTGCTAACCTGTAATTGTATTCTTTATTCATGATTTAATGTTTGTCTTCCAATTTTTAAGTAATTTGTGTTTTTATTTATAGATTCTGTTTTGTCGTTGGAAAATAGCGTAAAGGAAGGATATGTTGTGTGGAATGACAACTGTCAAATACCCAATATCAGTGCCTTTGACGATTCAATTAAAAGTTTAGTGAAAAAAAATAAACCTCCGAAATGTTCCTCTTACCCGCCTTTGACCAGTGTAGTTCTTGATCCAAAATCATGGTCTTACACATTTAAAATTAACAAAATTAATAAAAAAGATACTGCGTCGAAGATATCCTGTTGTTATTCTTCAATCTATAGAAAACATATAAAAGCTAGGAAATCAGCAAATGACGACGATCGTTATACGTGAGTATACCTAGTAGTATGTGAATTTAGAATAATAATATTTGTGTGATGATTAAATAAAATCGAACACTAGGTAATCAAGCTTGTAAGTAAATTGGAAATCATTATTTTCAATGCTACGAATCCATAAACATAGTATAGTTTGATGAGTGGCCTTTTATTCGTATTTAATTAAAATTTTTAAAATGTAAAAAAGATTCCGGAAATGCACCTATTATTATTCAATGACCCAATGGCAAATATGTTAAATAAGAGTACTCTTACCATTACAAAACACCTGTCCCTGGTTGAAATATACAGGTTATTGCATAACGTCTCGAATTGTTATCTACAGAAATAAAATGCCAGCGTAGGGGGATATCAATTTTATTATTACTATATATTTTACTGTGTACGTATGTGTATACTTGATTTTTGCTCTCGTTACGCTGACATATTTGTTTTTATTAACGAACATTTGATGAAGAAAAGGGGTATATGTATGTGCAATAACCTTGTATATTTCAATCACGGAACTGTCTTCCTTCTTTTTTATTTATTTATACTCTGCTACAGTGTTTTACAGGCTCACAAACGATTACATCCAAATTAATTAATTAATGTAAAGGTCTTGTGCTACACGATTATCCAATACCTAAAAATACATTTTGTGAGTTGCATGGTGATCTCACACGAAACCAAGGTTGCAGTGTGATATTGACAAAACAAAATTTTAGATTACGGAAAATTGCGTTGTTAATAATGAAAACAAGCTCGAAACAACAAATACCTACATCTTTGGTAGACATAAATCATAGACTTAGTTTTCCTTATTCGATGTTTTTCATTTATAAACTAATGCCTACTGAAATAACTAAATAAAAAACAACAAAATATATTAGACAACGATGAATCAGATTTGATTACAGTGTCAATCATATAGTGGAGATAGTCTTGAAAACAAATATTTTGAGGAACACACTAAGATTTTTTATAGCGATGACAGATATATGTCAGACATCCACTATCCTATACATATATAATTAGGTAAACATATAAATAAATTTAGATGCAATAATGTATTTATAGATGAATTATCATAATATATAAATATAAAGGTTAAACATAAGGTTATGGTACTTACCAGTTACCAATATATTTATAATTATATTTAACATTTTTTACAGGCAAAGCCCAAGGTACAGATATGACATAAACATTTAATTATACTTATTTACTAAGATACAACAGATAGAATACATGTGACAGTGTTTAATAATTAAACGGAAGCGCATCATTTGATGAATAGGTTGGTTTCGTCCGTAATTGGTGTGATGGAAGAAGGGGACATAGAAAGAGGCCGATGAGCGAGAATGTATAAAAGGATCCCTAAAATTAACTTCGGATAGTAAATCGGGAGCATCTATAGAGTTATTTAAGCGTTTATAGAGAAAACTCAAGTTGGCAGTAATTCTGCGGTCGGCTAGACTATCAGTTTTAGACATTGTTGTAATACAGGAAGATAATCGTGAGGTGGAAGATCAATCTTCAGAAACGTAATTTAAAAACTTACGCTGAACTCTTTCAAGTTGAGCTGAGCTAGTCGCTGTGCAAGGATCCCATAAGACTGACCAGAATTCGACGATGGATCTAACAAGTGAACAAAACAGAGATTTTAATGAACACGAAAATTTAAAATCGGAAGAGATACGTTTAATAAAGCCTAGTGCTTTCAGGGCTTTGCTGCATATATGACCAATATGTGGATGAAAATCTAGATTAGTAGTGAAAATAATTCCCAGGTCTTTCTTAAGTGATACTCGCTCAAGAGGGGTTCCATATAGATTAGGTAAAGGATAAGAGATAAATGTGATAAATTTAGATACAATATACAATTATATTTATATATTATAATTTACAAAAAAAAATTGTATATTAAAGCAATTTTTATTGTAATTTGAACGTTTAACAAAATTAATTTAGTAGGTCGTTTTATGTCACTGACGCGACACAAAGTCAAATAAATATAAAATACTAATGCTTCATTTATACATGTTACTATGTTAGTGGGACAATACATTAATAAATAATGAAAAAAAAATGTTACATCATTGTTTAAATTTTAAACTGGGATAAGTATTATTATCTTTTTGTCTACTACCTCGCATAACTCTAAAGTCTAAACGATGTTTTTAAAACTGGATACTAGCCAGTAGCCAGTAGTTGTAAAAAAAAAGCTAATATTTATATTCTCTTATTTCTAATTCGACATGCTACCTAAGCGTTAGCACATGTTATAGAAGGTCAATAATGGTTATGTTTTAGCGTGATAATAAAAAAATATATAAACAAATTCCTTAACTTCCGCAAGGTTAATGAATATGGTAAATATATGTATGACTTTTTTATATGAAAAACTATCAATTGTGCTTGATTATAAATTTTAGTTGAAGGTTTTCAATAATATTATGTGATATTATAATTCAATACATATTTTAATTAAAAAAATAATTTTTGTATTTTAGTAAAAAAAATTGCATTTGCTTACTATTTTTTCCCCACCTATTATCTAACCCTAACGAGGTGTGTGGGTAATTTATGTAAAATTATCTATAAATTATAATTTATAATATGATATGTTGTCAAAATATTAATTTTTTTATCAAATAAAACTGTTTCAGAGACCTGAATCCGCCGTTATTTGAGTTAATGATTAGACATACTAAAAAAATTTTACCTTTTTAAAAAAAAAATTGGAATGTTAGGATAAAATCGCTAATCTAACTTTAAACAAATATTTTTATTAAATTAAAATGTACAAACAGTTATTTATTGTTCGATTAATCAGGTTAATAATACACAGAGAACCAGGGCCGGCGCAAGGCATAGGAAACATAGGTATATCGTATAGGGCGGAGTTCTTTTTACAAATTTAAAATACTTAGAAATTAACATTTGAAAGGCGGTAAAATTGGAGTTTGCTCAGGTTAAAGAATTGTCTAACGCCAATTCTGTATAGAACTTTATATTTGTACTTGGCTTTATATTTGCCTAGTTCTTATAGTGTACAAACAAATTGTAAACATACTAAAAAGCCACGGGGGACATTTTTTTAGGATAGAGGATGCGTGTCATCCGATCGGTGACTCCGAAGCGATTCCAAAAAACGTTGAGTTCATGGCAGTGACGTGTAAAATCAAGCGATTAGATCATCATCGGTTCAATTCGACTGTACACAAAGACGTGCACGCAATGGTGATCGATAAAGGCCTCAGACGAATTCGGAACACAGGTGACTTCGACAAGCCGAGTGTGCTGATCGTGGCCATCGATTCGCTTTCTCGTCTGAACCTCATCAGATCCATGCCCAAAACATACCGGGTGTTGGAGACTCGCGGTTTTATGTCACTCGAAGGGTACACGAAGGTGGCGGATAACACTTTTCCTAATGTGATTCCTATTATGACCGGCATGTTCGTCGATGACCAATTGACCAAACATTGTTGGAAGACCGTCAAAGACGAAATGGACCAGTGCCCTTTCCTGTGGAAGGAATTTAAAGCTAATGGTAAGCCTTGCAATTACTCTTATCCATCTCCACATTTTCAGGGATGGGCACTTTACCCTTTAGGGATGGGTATTTCTCACCTATCCTAACCTGGGAGAAGAAATAACTTAGCAAAATTATCATTCTGATAAAGTGCTCAGCCCTAATTTATTATTTAATGTTGTGTACCTGTTTGCTGTTGCCTCTTTTCACCTATAGAGTAATTACCCTATGCTCTTACTTCTCACCACATATCTTTCTTTTTTGCCTCCTCATCCTGATTGTTTTAATAGGTTAGACTATCCTCTCCTTTGATGTTTGGTGTTCCCTTTCTGTGAGCAGATCTTATGACAATTGGGTGTATTTTAATATTCTTTCCCATCGTGTCCACTATACAGACTTGCCTAAATGGATCATAGTCCGTAGACATGTCACACGAATGCAGAGTAATATTATAGTTGTAATGTTGATACTAACAGGTTTTGTAACGGCGTACATGGAGGACGAACCGTCGTATTCCACTTACAATTTCAACAAATATGGGTTCAGAAACGCGCCTACCGATTATTACTCGAGACCGCTAATGGTGGCCGCCGAAAAATTGTTGCCTGTGGTCAAGTTCAGCGGAATGAGCTACTGCGTGGGTCCTTCCGTTATCGCGGACCGCGTGTACCGGTACATAGAGGACTTTGTCGAACTGCACAAGGACCACGGTTACTTCGCCTTGTTCTGGTTGAACACGTTCAGCCACAACGACTTTAACGCACCGTTGGCCATGGACCAGCAGACGGCTGACATGCTCTCGCGGCTACTGGACCGTGGCCGCCTGGACAACGCGGTAACCATAATGCTGAGCGACCACGGCAGCCGCTTTGGCGACATCCTGGAGACGTACGTGGGCTGGCTAGAGGAACGCATGCCAGCCTTGTACATGCGCCTACCGCCCGGGTACGCGGCTAAGTACCCGAATAAGTACCGAAACTTCGCATCCAACAAGCACCGGCTGACGTCGCCGTTCGACCTGCACCTCACGCTCAAGGACTTATTGCCGTCGAACGGGACTAGTAAGCCTACCGCTGCCGTGTCGGCCGGATGTCCCGCGTGTCGCAGCCTGTTTCTGTTAGCCGACGCAAACAGATCGTGCATACAGGCCGGCGTCAACCCACATTGGTGCACGTGCGATAATTACATGGAGTTAGACCGTAACGGCCGTGACGCGCATATCGGCGGCCGGCACGTAGTGGCCTATCTGAACGCGCTCATCGTCAAGTACAAGTGGACCGTGCGGAAGGGATCCACGTGTGCAGAGATCAAGCTGAACAGAGTTATATCGATCAGGCACAAGGTAAACAAGCCGGACGAATACTTGCTGGTTGTGCAGACGTTGCCCGGTAATAGTAAGTTTTCAGTAACCGTCAAGCGAACAGGCGAAGAACAATTTGACGTTCTGGGCGATATAAGCCGCATAAACATGTACGGTTTTCAAAGCGTCTGCACGACAGAATGGAGATTGAAAAAATATTGTTACTGCATTCAGAAGCCGAGCAAACCATAAATTACCTAGCCACCAAAAAAAAAAAAAAACAAGACTGAACCATTTGGAGCACAATATGCATAAATTATACCATAAATATTGTGCAACAATAAACTGTGACCTTCAAATATTACCTACTATACATTTAGTTTCATATTACTTATAAAATTAATTATACATAACTTTTAAATATTTACGATTGGATCGATTCCTCAGCTGTTCGTCGCCATCCGTCTCTGCGGTCATCTTCACCTCTGTCACCATTAACAACAACCCAATACTTCAATTTTACTTAGTGTTTTCTTAATTAGGTAACAGGAAAATCATTCTCTTTCTTTTTTTGAGCCAAAACTGTATTTTTGATGTATCTACTACTAGTGACTATTTTGCTATAAAAAAAAACTCGAAATTCAATGTTTAAGAAATATTATATTTCAAAAAGTTGCATGTAAAAAAGTTGTTTTTGGATATTTTTACAATTTGTTTGAAATGTTAATTATAACTTAGGTATTCTATACTGTGTACATGCATTTTTTTTTGTTTATAATACTAGGAAATCTGAATTCACTTATTTATTGCAAGAACGACTCTAAATGTAGTGTTGTTAAGTTTCTTTTTAAAAAGAAATTCGTTTCAGATCCTAGTTCCTAATTTTTTTGAACAAAGTTATTTATAAAACTGCAGTTCATATAAAAAAAAGGAAACAACGTTTTGAAGTTACCTACTAATTTAAAGTTACTATAACCGATAGCCACAAAGTAGATTTAAGTATGATCATTGTTATTTAATTAATCCCCACCGGTTATTTAATTCAATTTAATATAGACATGGCTATAATAACTAGTTAAAAAATATACATTTATAAGAATATATTTTAAAGTAGCTAATTTTCGTTACGTTTCTAAAACAAGGAATTATTTCTAGTTCCTCATTCTTTTATTTTGAAGAAACATAGTTCTATGCTTTGTTCAAAAAATCAATTCCTTTTGAAACAATTTTTCCTTCTATAGATTGTTGAAAATTAAAAACAAAAAATAAAATGAATACAGTATTTTATTAATGTAGTAATAGTAATAATAATAATAATAATAATACAATAAAATAATACACAATAATAATTTATATTTTAAATAGTTAACAATAAAATAAACATTTTATCAACAAGTTACTGCTTAATACATATAATATAATATATATTATAGTTATGTATTCTTATACATAAAAAAGTTGCATCAATTAGGATTGCAAAAAATATGACATAGACATTACTAAAAAAAAAAAAAATAATTATAATAATAAAATAATAATAATCTTTAACTGAAATACTATTTGCTCGCAAACGTCACCAATGTTGGTACATAATTAGAATTTCACAACCGGTTTTTGATTTACAACCCACAGAAATGAAAATGTGCAGTTAAAAATTATCACATAATATGTTATATTAATAATATTCACCCGGTATTTTTAAAAATTATTCGGACACATACAAAAACACATTTTTGTAATACTGTGAGCTAAATAATAAGTATATTACATTTATTAAGTTCAATAAAAAAAAAAAAAGGTTATTAAGTCTCTTAATTACTGTACATATCATTTTAATGTCAACCCAATTTTGAAAATTAGCAGTTGGTACATATTTTTCTCAAGTAATTGACAAAACCTAAACAGTTATCACGTTGGGAACACTTACCGACTTATCCACAGCTGTCGGAATTACTTTAGCTGATTGCCAGTAATATTTTTTGTCATTGATTTTCAGACCATAGATCTAACGGGGAAGTTCCAAATAGTTCAGGTGGATTTGGAAAGTTATTGACTTCAGTTTGATCTTGCACCAGTATACCATTAGATGTATATGATAATCTTATTCTCATTCTCAGCTGATTCTATAGACAAACAAAATAATTAATTATAAAATACTAACTACTAGATATGAAAAATATATATAAATGTACATACACATACTATATTTATGTAACATAATATATAAATACATTTATAGTATATTATGTGAAGTATATTTTAATTGTTATTGAGTACTTATTTTTTAGTTTTAAACAAACGATTCACGTTAGTATTAACAAAATAATAGACCGATTGTAAGTTGAACAGTACATACTTTTGACGCATTAGAGACTCGCATGACTTGCGTCAAAAAGGAACCAGGTTCAATTGAATTTCCAGATGGTGGTAACATTTGTAATTGGAAAGTCTGAAATAATAATAGTTAAATATCATACTTTGTACATTAATATAAAGAATTGTTTAATTTTTTAATCGTCAATGGATCTTGTTAGCTTACTTTTGGAACAGCCGCTTGAAATAAAAACTCATTTATGGTAAATTGTCCATTGTTGTATGCAGCCATGTTTAACATATTTGTATCCATGTTTGATACATCTCTTTCTACTGTTATAGTTATCAGTAGACTATTTTGGTCGTAGGCAGTGACAGTTCCCGGTTTTTTAACATTGTTGCTTATGACGGGACCATCGTCTTCAAACATCAAATATCAACATTATATTTTTATACATTATTTTAGCAATATAAATTAATTACCTAAATTTAATGAATCAAGTAAACTATTAGCATTTACGCTGGACCCATTGGTAGTATTTTCGGGTAAAAGATTGTTTAACGGTTGCATTGGTTGATTGCTTAAATCTAATCCACCTGTAAAAATAATTATTAAATAGTTTTAAAACAACTAGTTAATCGTTTCCAAACATAATTTGGACAATATACAATTTTTTTTTAAATAACAATTTTTAAGGGCTTTCTATATATTTTAATCATTAATATTTAAGTCTAAACATATTTGAAAGAATATTGGTTTAATAAAGTTTGATATGTTACAAATGTACGATATTACACTTGCTGAAGTCTCGGTTTTTGGTTTAGCAAAAAAAAAAAAGTTTATGGTTGTCATCACCATTTAAGTTTAAAATGACAAAATTCTTAACTTAGGTCATTAGTGAATAGCATTAAATACATCACAAATTCTACTGGAATAGAGTTTCCTACCTAGGTTGTCATATTTTAGTGTAATGGTTTTATTTTTTGGAAGAATAACAAAATATAAAATACGCAGTAATAATTGATGGTTTGATCTAAATAACAAATTAAGGACAATCCGTAAATTTAAGTGAAATAAAAATAATTTTTTTTTATATTAATGTTTTGATAGGTTTCCACGCTTATTAGACAAGGATTGTGTAAGAGAAGGAAATTATGGGAGTTACGGTCAATAGCATGTTATTTGGACCAAACTAGCAATTATATACAAATTATACAACTTAACTACTGACTGGCATCAGCAGACTGATTAGATGGTTGATGTAACATGGAAAAAAAATTGAATATGGTAAAAAATTACAACTAGATTTACTAGAAAAAATATAACAGCAATAAAAATATTTGAAGAAAATCAGTTATAATCCAAAAATTATTGTAAAAAGGATACAAAAGAATACAGAATTCAATTTGACTAATAAAACAGTCCTGCAAAAAAAAAAGGTAGGATTTCCAACAAACTAGATTAGTTAATTCTTACGTATTTTGAGACGCTAAATCCAAAACCGAGGGTTGGAATTTTTTTTTTTAATACAAGATTTTAATATTTGAATTAAAATATCGAACATCATAACAAAAAAATATTAAAACACTGAACAAAACCAAATCCACAACAAATTTTAACAGTTTAAAATGAATAGAATAACCAACACCTATAATGAGGAATACTATAATTTAAATATTGGTGTTCAACAATTGAAAATCTGTGATCGTCACACTCGCAAAATAGAAAAAAAAACTGAAAACCAAAAAATTTTTAAGCTTGGAGCCCCGATTTTCAATTATATTTTTTACGACAAAAAATGTATTAACAAGCCTATCGAATGTGGACTAAATGCTTCATAATAAAAACAATAGCAGTCTTGTCTTTTATTAACCACTTATACAGTGTTTAACAAGTTTGATAACCATGGCATATAACTTAAAAAACAATGTACAAATACCAAGTAATGACAACAAAAGTCAAATTAAATTAATGAAATATTTAGGAGACGCATGGTGGTAAATGAATTTTTTCCCTTAATAAATTACCCAATAGATCCAATAAATCTTGAGTATCGGGCTTTATTGAAGAATTTTGAACTAAAGAATTCGGAACTAAATCTGCATCTCCGTTTTCGCCTCCCAACAATACCAGCAGTGCATTCTAGATAAAAATACACAAAATAAGCATTAAGTACACGTTTTGCATAAAAGCAGAATAGTTTAAACTGACTGAATCGTTTGTATCGGTGTTGGTTGTGTCGGTACTAATTAAATCACTAGGAGATGCAATGTTTTCATTGGTTTCATTCCACTGAGATTGTTGAGTACGGTTTGACTCCATGGCGGGCATTCTTTCCAATAACCCATCCCGCATTTTGTCGTATCTGTTAAAAAGCTGGTTGTACTCAATCCCACGTTGTTGGAGATCAGTGTGCATATGAGTTGTAAATGACGCAACCATTTCATGCACTTTACTGTTAAAGCAAATAAAATTATTTTAGAATTAAACATTTTTTTTTATTATACAATAATCATTTGAAAATAACACTCACTCGACATTGACTTTAACGCGAGTGCTCAATTTCATAAGAGAATTTAAAGTATATTGCTTGGTGACAATATTATTTTGGGGACTCCACATCAGTTTATGATAAACCCTCAGAATGTCTTCTTCAGACACCTGAAAATTATAAAATGAAATCTTTTGTAGAATTACGGTTACAAGAATATATCATAAAATGAGTGAGAAGCATAATAGCTTTTTATAGTTTAAAAATATAAATTAATAATTTATACTTTAGTACACTCTAATGCGCAATTGTAGATAGTAAAAACCATTATACATTAATTAAGTAGACAAAAAAATGTGTGTATTATGGGGGTGTCTCAATAAAAAAAATGTGACTGTAGATTTTTGAAATTAAAAAAAAAATGTTAACTAATGCACGTCATTATTTTATTAATTTTTATGTTGAGAATAGTCTAATTTTCGATCTTAAGCCTAAACCTCAATTTTAGCTACACCTAATGAAGCGAAATAAAGCCTTAAGTTTCTTCCCCTTCTGGTGCAAAGTTTGATAATATTTTAATGCATATTATTAGAATTATATTTAAGAAATATCCTCACATAAACCTGGAAGTAATTTGACTATTTTTTAAAAAGTTATAATATGTTATCATTTTATTAAGGAAATGTAGTACATTTTGAATTTTTAGAATTTGGGTCCAACAAGTTGCACAGATCTTAGAAACTTGGGTTTTAAAAAACCGCGTGCGTGATGATTAACGTAAGTTTGTATTTTTATAAGTCACACATAAAAACGCACATGTGTGAAACAGCCTAAATACAAACTTCAAGTAAGAGAAAATGCTTACTTTTACAGCTAAATCGTCAGATTGTTGCAATAACATATCGCCAAATTCACCAATGGTCCAAGTCGATACTTGTATTAACGGCTGTTTATCACTGGTATCCTTTTCTAATTCTACCCACAACTTTGAAGCCATATACCCACCGTGTTGAGCTCCCGACTCAGATACTAATTGTATTGTACTAGACACAACATCATCTCTTATGTAGTTACCGGCCTAAAAGTAAATTTCACAATTCATATTTGATACATTAAACTAAATTAATATATATTTTGTTTTACTTACAGCCACAAGAACTTTTATTAGCGTGTCCAAGTGCCACCGAGTGTTCGGTGCATATTTTTCAGCTGCCATAACTATACTAGATGAACACAGAGCTTTAAATTCCGGTTCCGACGTCTCCAAAAATGCTAAGAGTTCTTTAGTCATTGTTAACACATTGTGAGAATTAATTAGAGCTATGCTAAGTTCTAAAGCGCGTCGTCTTATTGAGACATCTGGATCTTGCTACAAGAGGAAAAAAAATCAAGTTATTCAATGTACAATTTGAATAAAATATTCAACCTACTCGAAGACATTCTATTATAGTAGTTCTGTGTCTTTGCACGGCCGTGATGTCCAAATGAATTGTTTTCAGCAGCGTATTCAAAGCGACATATCGTATATTTTTATCAGTGTTCAACAAAAATCTCCCCAAAATATTGATGGCAAGCACTCGGAGGCCAGATTCCGATTTGATGTCCATAATTGAAAGCACAGTCTCGTATAGAATGGTATTACCCACATTTTTGTTTGTTTCCGTAGTGGTAGCTACTTGTGCTAACACATCGTTCATAGTTTCAGAGGCTTCTGGATCTTTACGACCAAGTATTTTTAGCAACCTCAATATTTTTACCTGCAATAGAGTATTTTTTTTTTTTTAAATAAACATATAAAAAGTAACAAAATAATATTACAATCATGTACTTACTTGTAAAAACGGATCACTCACTCCGGAAACATCATGTTCGGGCGAATAGCCAGCTAATATTAAATTTTTTAAAATCCTTACTAGATTTGGCACAACCTACAATAACACATTATGATTAATAAGATAGGCTTTATATTATTTTAATATTTTATAACAAACCTTTTTGAAATGTTGTAAAGTATCAATACTTCTTTCACACATTTCTGTAATTAAGGTAACGCCAGTGATAAGTACACCATGATTTTTTTCTGAAAGCATCGATCTAGTAGCTGGAAGAAATATTTCCATTAATTCCGGCACTTTGAGCACAATGCGATATGCACATAACGCTGCCTTTTTTCTGATATAGGTATTAGGCGATTTCATAAGTCTTTCTACTTCAGTCGCAAGGTCCCTAGCCATTTCCGGGGATGCGATTGCACCAAGAGTACATAACGCTAGACCAACAACAAATTGAGTGCAACTATTCAAGTCACTGAAAAAATAAAGAAAATGTTATTAGTTTAAAACAATAAAAAATAAAAAGCTGTATTTATTAGGTTTACTTTTTTAAGCAATTTGTGATAAGTAGATGCACGTCTTGTCGTTCATCCAATAATAACATAGCGCCCAAGTAGCCGATACGTTTATCAGTAAACCTAGGGGACGCAATTAATTTCAAACACTCTAACTGACCAAAATGTGCAGGATATCTGTAAAAATGTATTAAGTAATTATAAAACAACATTGCAGTGTAAAAAAAATATGACATTCTAATACAAATTATTCTCCTTGACTCTTCTACTCTATACTCCAACAGAAAAAATTTAATTTTCCATCTCAGTTTTTTCGGCTATACCTTCCTTGTTTCCTCTTTTCTTTTAAACTCACATTGTCTCTCTGTTATCATCCTCCTAATATCCTTTCTTTCCACAGCCTGGATTTCTTATTTATTGTTAATTTTCTTTTGTTTTATTGTTTTTATAATTTGTTATATTATTATTGTATATAGATTCATAATTTTCGTGCTGTAATATTGTTCAAATAATAGCACATAAAAATATAATTAAAAAAAATACTAATTAATTAAAAAAAATTATTTCTGTAAAGTATTATCAGTTTATAAGATAAATAAATTATCAATAAAAATCACTTCTTTTGTTAGTAGTGCTTTTATCAATTGAGCGTTAACCATATTTAATATAAGAATTTGTCAATACTAACCCTAGCATATGAATATATAACAATTTAGCAATGTTTCGGCATCTCCAAACGCTGTCTTCATCACGAAACGATGTTCGTATATCAGCGCATTCTTTATTGATAACCGCTCTTTCTTCCGCTGCTGTTCGTGCTGCTCTTATTTGTCGTATGAGGTCCCTAAGTCTCATCGGCGTAGGCATTCGAACTAAAATTAAAAATATGTAATATTTTAGTTAAATAAGGCTTGTTATGCTATAACTTTTAAAAACAAACCTTTTTCAACAGCTTCATTGAACACTTGCTTAATTGTAGCAATATTGAATGCCGGATTAAACCTACATAAGTACGTACGTATAAATAAATATAAATATTTAAAAACAAAAAACAAATCTTTGAACATTTACTTACCCGGTATCAGAAGAACTATTCATGTTAAAGCTTTTATTCAATTTGATTGACAAATAAACTGCCTGCAACAATTGTAAAATATTATTATCAAAACATATTGAATTAAGTTAACGGTTTTTAGGTAGATTTTAGAACTTGGCCATTAAAATAATTAAAACTGTCAATAAAATGATAATAGGGGTACATAATATTATATATATATATACCACTTTAAAATTCAACAAACTGACTATATTATACTATTTAAAAATGTAATGTATAGGTGAAAATTAAATCTCTATTAAATCTTATCTCTGAAAAGCATTAACATGGTTTTCAAGATTGTACGTTAATCCTTTTTAACCGTGCAACAGATATAGTTTATAAGAGTAATTAGAGTGAGGAACAATTAGTCATATTAACGAGATCATACAAGTGTTTAGTGCCTATCAACACGAGCATTATCAATTCAAGTTTGGGTTGACTGTCGATGTTGGCTAATGCGAGTTCGTTCGGACATACGGGTGGCTAGTCGTTGAAAAAACCCAAAGTGTTGCGTTCGTCAGCGATCCAACAAAAACGACATGGAAAAATACAGCTGCAATAGATACATTTGCCGTATGGCGACCCGGCAAAACTGTGGGAATTTTGCAGAGGGACCGAAGAACGAATAGTTTGTTAGATAATTCACCTTCACTGCTTATCCTTGGGCGCGATATTCGAAGAACGGCTCGACAGCGGCAGTGCCCTTATCTTGTTTTTCTGTATTCGTGTCATGAACATTCGCTCGACACTATGTGTGTACTTGTGGGCCGCCTAGTAGAATATAATAATATTGCGTATACTTTGATGGTGGCCTCTGCAAAGATATGTCGACAATATTACTCGCTGCCCGTGCCTAAATGGTGCGACCGAACCGACGATTTCGGTAGTGGGTCGCCACCGTAAGATCTAAGAAATCACATATAATAATTTTATCAAACAGGTGCGAACGTGATACATTTTACATACAGCAATCAATCCAGCAGGTCGCAACTCGCGAGTAGTGCAGTGAGCGCAGCAGAGGCTCACAGGCCACAGCAGAAATCAAGTGACCCCACCTCCGCTCGCCCAGACGTCACCGTAGTCGTATACAGTGTGGCCACATGACGGCCGCTTTAATAAGTTATAGATACATTTTTTATTGTAACCAAACGTTCTCTGTAATGTTATAGACAAATAAATATATACATAATGCGTTATGCAATGTAATAATAATAATTAGTAGGTATCTGTCATTTGTACCTATAAGTAAGTACAATAAGTATATATATATATATACACATGATGATAATATTGAAATTAGAATGTTTGTAAAATGACTGTTATATTGCCTATATTTTCCCCCTTAATAAATGACATTTTCAGTTATTTTTCGCCAATTTTAATCACCCATGCCGTAGGCACAGCCAATCGAGTCTATATAAAGCTATGCTTGTAACCGAAAAAAATAATGAATTTTCAAAAAACTGTTACTATAAATGATATTAAAAAAACGTTTCCATAACCAGAATTAATGGCCTTACCTCCCAAGATTTATTAACCGGTTAAATAGGACTAATTCGATACTAAAATGTATTTTTTTATTTCTCAAGCTCTGTTTCAGCTTTAGTGATTTCGTGTGTTACCATAAAGTACATTATACTTAAATATTAATTGGTATTTTCTAGTGTTGAAGCTATTCGAATCCAAATACTTTTTAAGTAGGTAGCCGGTAGGTGGTAGGTATTCGAGTACATATTAAAGTTTTACAAAATAGTATTTAAAAAATGTAGTATAAATACATGATTGAAAAATACAAGGTTAATGCACATATAATCTTTCTTCGTCAAATATTCGATGGGAAAAAAAATGTTAGCATAACGGGCACGCAAACAAGTATAGTATATTATAGTAAAATTGATATCCTGTTACGCTGCCATTTTATTTCTGAAGATAACTTCAGTTTTTAATTTATGACTAACGCGTTTTTAATAAACAAAAATGATTTGAGCACTTGATTTCCGAGCACTTATAGATGCCAATATCTGTCTGTCAAATTGCCAAATTGTGATGAACACTATAGGTGTTCATCACAACACTATTAGTTATTATTATTGTTAAAATATATAATATTATTTTTCATACCATACACATGCAATGATTAATTATAAAAAGGTGATAGGGTTGTAATAATATTATTAATATCTAACAATAAATCGGCTCTTTCGCGCTTTAACGCCAACACAAAACTATCTATTCCCTTTATCGTGCTTTTTTTTTTTTATCGACAACGTTGCGATTCGGTTACCGTCCGCGTAGGCAGGTATGCGACATGTTAAAATATAATTACACTGTGCCAATCAGTCGCAATTAGTCCGCCACGCAGCTATGTCAGTTACTATTTTAACACTACTAGCGACCACGATAATATGCTGTACAACGGCCGCTCGCATCCTCGGTGTGTTTCCGCACCCGGGCTTAAGTCATCACCTAGTGTTCTTGCCGTACCTAAAGGAATTGGCGAGTCGAGGGCACCGTCTCCACGTGATCAGTCACTTCGAGTCCTCGCATGCCGACATCGTCGACATGTTAATCAAAGGTGCCAAGTTCAATAACAACTTCACTGCTCCGGACACGTCGACTTTCAGTTTAAAAGGAAAATGGGAAGAGGTGTTCGTCCTGCACGAATTCGCACGAGGTACAGAAAACCTGTTCGGTGTACGCGAAGTCAGAGAGCTGTTGAACAACGGCAGCGTCGAGTTCGATTTAATCATAACTGAGCATTTCAATAGCGAGCTTTCGTTGGGGTTTGTCGCCAAGTTCAACGTGCCGTTCGTGTTGCTTAGCAGCTGTGCCCTGTTACCGTGGACAGAGTCCGTTATCGGGCAACCACACCAAATATCGTACAGGCCCTCGGCTTCAAGCGGTCTATCGCAACGCATGAGCTATGTCGAGCGACTGAACAACGCTTTGATTGCACACGGCTGGGACATGGTGTTCCACGCAATCCACCGACCTTGGAGCCGTCGTGTAATAAAAGAGAACTTAGGGCTAGACGTGAACTTGGACTTACTGGCGACTAATGCGAGCTTAGTGTTGGCTAATACTCATTTTTCAATTAACGGGCCGTCGGCTACTGTACCCCAGCTGGTGGAAGTTGGCGGAATTCATATAAATCCTCCGAAGGACTTACCACAAGTTAGTAGTAGTTACCACCGTATCAGGTACCCGATACGGTGCATATTCATTGCATTTGAAAATATATAATCGAACAATTTTGCCTCCGGAGACCCTTACAGATTATTCAATTTATTTTTGCATTAAATTCATATTAAATTTTATTTATTTACTTATACTTATACTAGTATATTTTATTGCTGTAAATTGTTTTAGTCCATTGACCATTAGGTAACCATACATAAATCATGTTGTTTTGAAACCGCGACAACGATAATGTAATACTATTTAAGTTGTTCGTGTAAACGTTCGAGAGTACAACAGATCAGATAAACACTAATGACTAACTAGCCTAAGAGGCAGTTATTCGTGGCCCTAAATAATCGATAAAAAACTGATTCAATTTACAGTTTTCTGGCGGCAAATGACAATTCGTACGCGCCCATCAGATATTAACTACCTGTTGTGCTTCTGAGAAAATACTTATTTACTTCAGTCACGCTTTCCAATATAATGATCTAAGTATTTAATTTTGACATATGTCTTTGAACGTACAAAGCATAATAGACGGATAATACAAAATGTTTGTCTAGTATAAGCTTTGCCACACCTAACTGAACAGCAATTTTAATATATATCTTACGACTTCCTTTATATTTTAAATTTAATTGTAAACAATTATTATTTTCAAACAGCCTTACTAAGAATTTCGAAACCATTACATTATATTTTATAGTTTTTAAGCCTAGAAGTCTATAAAATGAATCTAATGTTGGAATTCCTCTCGAATACTCGAATCTCAATAATATGCGTACCAACCTAAAATTGTATGTTAATACTTAGGCTAATTTAGGTTAGCAATTAACATTAAGTAAGTGCATTATAATTAGAGTTTCCTACTTACACTCAATCTTGTGTTATCATTTTTTTGCATAACAGGCATTTTGTGTATTAGTAACATTACATTTTACTAACAGTAACAGTACTGTTAAATTAAGGACATTAGTTCTCTTTTACATAACATATTACACGCCAAATCATACCTTATTTGACTTTTGCAGTTCGGATCTTCGACAAAATTATTCGTAAATTGTAATTTGTACATTTTTTAAAATATGGACGATATTTTTTCAGTTGTTTGAAAAAATTATAATTCTTACAAGAAACGTTCGAGTTTTATAATAATATTATAATTTGTCACTTTATATACAATTTATACACATGTATGCATCTAATAAAAAGCATGCATAGGAAATATTTTAAATTCATAATCGAATAAGAAAAATCGTTAAAATTTTTATTTAATTTCATAGATTTTTTCTTTTAGTATTGTTTTAGAAATAATTTTTTTTGGTAAATATGAATTTTGAAACTATTTCTCGCACTCGTGTTAAGGGGGCTCCATACAGACCATTTTTTCAGTAAAAACACATAATTTTCATTCCATCGCACAGGCCTAACCAGTGATCCGATAAGCAATCTAAAAACAGATTTGAATTCGTTATAAAGTTTACTTAGGATCGGTCGAGGTACTTTTTTCAATTTTTAATTAAAACCCTTTCTAAATTTTATTTTTAAATATTGAAATTTTATAAAATGTTCAAACGTGTTTTATACATAGTAGAAATAAGATATCAAAAAAGTACGTCGACCGATCTCAAGTAAATTTCATGACAAATTCAAATCTGTTTTCATAACACTTATCGGATCACTGGTTGAGCCTGTGCGATGGAACAAAAAATGTATGTTATATTGACTAAAATGGCTTTTACTCATAGAAAAAATGATTTAAATTAAAAATAATACCTTGAAGCTTATACAAATTAACCGGTAAATTTATTGTCATGGTCGAAATTTATTTAAGCCAATTTTTTCTTAAATATTGCCTACACAAAACTCCTTAAAAATGGTCTGTATGGAGCCCCTTTAAAGAGCCTCTATACTAGGATTTATTTGATTAAGGCGCATTGTATAGTCAATATTTCACTAAACCTCAACATTTTTAAACGTATGTGTTACCATAGGGAAGTAGGATCTATTTTGTATTTAATTTTTCTTTCAACTTTTATACATAGGATCTAGTTTTGTACAAAAACAGATGTTTTTACTTCGAATAGAACTTATCTAAAAATACTGTGATTAAAGTTAAAAAAAAAAAACATTGGAATTATTCATAACATTTTCAAACTATCGATCGTGGCACAATTTTAAAATTATTTTTAGTTAATTAACTACTTCAATATAAATAATGTAAATTTTTAACTTTTTTTAACTAAAATAATTAATTCACAAAAAATAATGCCACGATTGATGCCTTGAAAAAATGTTATGAAGAATTCAAATATTTTTTCAAATCTTAAATCGGAGTATTTTTAGGAACAGTCGTTTGAAGTAGAATGAGTTGATTTCGACCAAAAATAGTTGTAGCCTTTAACTTAAAAAATAATGACAAAGATGTCACAAATCAAAATAACTGTAGGAATTTGATTTTTATAATAATATTTCTACTAGTTATATTATACATTTCAATTTGCGATTTTCACGATACACAGTGGTCTAGAATCCGACGAAGGCGATCGAAAATGGATTTTTAAAATGGTCATAGAGACCTAATTTAATTTAGTAGCTATTAACTAAGTACTGTATTATATAAGAATACCCATTTAACATTTTTAACATTGTTGACTGTTATTATAACTTTTTAAATACTCTATATTTAATATCATTTTTAAGATATAAAAAAAATATTTAAGGAACGTACGTTTCATTTTAGCATAATAACCCGCGTCCCGTGTTTAATTACAATATATTGTTACTCCCCCTCTCCCTCTTTTTCTGTAAAAAAAAACATTTTAAAACAATCATTATTAATTATGTTTATTTTATGAAATTTAACTCTGCAAACCAGGGGTATTAAGGCGTACTCGCCAAACTAACATTAAAATATACAATAAGGTGTACTTAAACAAGAAAAAAATTTAAGCTGAAAATACCTGCAATTAAAGTTATTGTGTTAGTTAAAAACTAAATAATTGCTATAATTGACGCACGCGGGGCGACGTTGAACACAACAGATGCCTAACCAACAAATAAGAATATTAATTTAAAATAAACTTATTTAAATCGTTAGTTCTAATTTAAGTTAAAAAATATAAATTTAAAACTAATATAAACAATATACATATACTATGTGTTTGTATATAATATTTTCAGTAATTAATGCATTTAAAAATTTTTTTTATTTTCTTAATCATTTATTATAAAAATTAAATTAGTTTATAAAACTAATACAATATTTAATTTCAGCGATATACTTTATTTTGAAATCATAAAATCCTCCGGCCTAAGTCACTTTAACTTCTAAAATAGGGAATTGATTTAAAAATAAATGTTCAATTTGCATTCAGCGAATTCAAAAACATATAATTTGGTGTGAAACTCTAGTGTGCGCTACAGAATTAGCTGTGTATTATTATTTCTAACTAATTGAGCTTATAGGATATACAAACGTTTATTGACGAATCAGAACACGGAGTCATTTATTTCTGCATGGGTAGTTTACTAAGAGGTGAAACTTTTCCGGCTGAAAAAAGAAAAAAGTTCTTGGACGTATTCGAAAAAATTCCTCAGAGAGTATTATGGAAATGGGAAGGCGAAGAATTGCCCGGGAGAACATCAAACATAATGATACGCAAATGGATGCCTCAGAGAGACATTCTAGGTGAGTGGACCCCTAATGCTTATTACCAATCATAGACTCGTTTTAAATTGTAGCTCATCCGAACGTCAAACTGTTTATCTCCCACGGCGGCTTGTTGGGTTTAATGGAAGCTGTACATGAAGGTGTACCTACGCTAGCAATGCCAATTTTTGGAGATCAAATGACCAACGTAAAAGCAATTAAGCATGCAGGCGCGGGAGATATATTGGACTATAGTAATTTAAAGGAAAACGAAATATTTATCAAAGTTAAAGACATGCTTACCAATCCCATGTAAGATCACCTAAATTTGTTTTATATACACTGTGTTTTAAAACCACAAAAAACTACATGATTTCATAATTAATTCATTTTTTTAGCTACACACAAAAAGTAAAAATGGTATCGGAAGTGTTTCGCGACCGACCCATCTCCCCAATGGAAACTGCTATTTACTGGACGGAATATGTTATTAGACATAAAGGCGCACCACATCTCCAGTCTGCAGCAGTCGGTATGCCGTGGTACCAATATTACATGATTGATATAATTTCTACGCTTTTGATTTGCATAGTTGCTATTATTTTGTTGTTGCGTTATTTTATTTCAAAAATCTTAAGTCTGTTGCGACCATCTAAAAAACTAAAAACAAACTGAGTAATATTGTAAAACGATGATAATATAATGACCTATAATGATAATACATGTTTAATATATGTACAGTTATATCTACCTAAATATATCGGTAGGTAACTACCGATATATGTTAATTTTTAAGCTTAATCTTATTGATGCAGGTATGTAAACTTATATCATATCTACTTACAGTTGAGTATACCTGCGTGCAGGTGAAAAATTGCACGTGAAGTGGTCGCTATCATGTCACCCAACATTTTCCAATATATGCTCTAACCTAATAGTAGCAATTCAAGTTTATTTTATACAATTATACAGGCTTTGATTTACACATTTTGAACCATAAGACAAAATATCTTTGGAGGCTCCTTTTCATAAATGAAATAAAAATTAAAAATATCTCCACAAAATTGTTTTTTCCGTTTACTATTATACAAGGTGGCCCACAATGATTTGACAAATGAAATAACTTTTGTCCTAGTGAATATTTCTAAGGTTTTTTTTTTTTTAATAATTTATACTCATTTGCGCTATGAGCACCGCGTTTTTCATTGCACTTAACTATTTTACTTTTTTAAATTATTATTATTATTATTATTTTTTTTAATTCAAGATAGCCATTTTATTAATGTTATTGTTTAACAGAGATATCACATTCCCCCATTTGGGGAGTGAGAGGGAGGAGGGTGGTTTAACGTTTAATTTCTTGTCCACCGCATTAAGTTTCAAATTGATATTAGTTCCACTCGCGTAAATCGGTGAACAGTTAGCTACATAACGTGTCTACAGACACATCAAAATAACAATAATAGAAACAAAGGTTTTAGCCTTATATCACCTAATATTTTATCTAATCTATAACATTATTAGAAATATGCAAATCCATAAGTACTAATTGTGGAAATTGTATTGATGGCAACCGGCACGGTGCGGCCCGCATCGAGTTTTGTAAAAAATCCGAATTAAATAAACCAAACGATGAAATATGATTTTGTATAGTAGATATTAAGAAAAACTATGACCCCCACCATACCGCATGCAATGCTGCTATTAACTTTAGATAATATTAAAAAAAAAGTGTGCGTGTTGAAGACAACAGTAAACAAGTGAGTGATACTCGCCAGTCGTCCGTTAAACACACACGTTATGTGTTATAATGTAATTAGTCAATTTTTGTACTCAGGCCTCAGCCATTGTATTAGTCGTGTTGTTTTTTGTTTAGAAATTATTTGCATAAAAAACAAGACTAATTGGATTCCAACAGTGATAATTCGACTAAACGTATTACGCGAAAAACATTGAATAATAATGTTCTCGCTTACTTTGATGACAAGCTTAATCATTTTCGTCGATTCCGCGTTTTCGGCCAACATTTTGTGTGTACTTCCTTACTTCGGAATGAGCCATCACATGGCTTTTTCGACTTATATCCAAAAACTCGCAGATAACGGACATAACCTGACCATCATCAGCCCGTATCCGTCGAATCATCCGAACATTACCGAAATATCGATGAGTGCAGTGGTTGACCCGAATTACAACAAAAGACAGCTTCCGGACAAAACTGGTTACAGCCTCGACCAAGCATTTAGGTCTTTATACCGATTCTATCAACGCGGCCAACATAACGCAGCCTTGTTTCAGGTGGACAGTGTAAAACGATTTTACACGGACGATTCGTCCGAATTCGATTTGCTGATAACCGAGCATTTCAACAATGAAATCCCGTTGGTTTTCGCAATGAAATACAACGTCCCTTTTATACTATTGAGCAGTTGTGGTTTGTTACCCTGGAGTCAACGGGCTGTGGGCCAACCTTACAACGTGGCCACCGTGTCCAGTGTGCTGGGGGGTTATAATAAAAAAATGAATGTTTTCGAGCGAGCAATGAACGCGTTTGAAGTAGTTGTTTATGTGTTGGGCTATGTATTATTTTTTCAAACGGCCAGAGACGAGGAAATCATAAAGACAAATCTCGGCGTAGATGTTTCGTTAGCGAAATTAGTTCAAAATGCAAGTATGATTTTCGTTAATACTCATTATAGTATGCACGGAACGGTGCCGGTAGTGCCGGCAGTAGTTGAAGTGGGCGGACTGCATATAAAACCAAAAACATCACTGTCGGCGGTGAGTATTACTAATTACTAATATTTATTATTAAAGAAAAATATACTAATTTCGCTTAATTCTGTGAATGAGATAATCGAGTAATCTTTAAACAATAAAACGACCTGGCTCTAGCGATTTCTAAAATATTGTACATTTTTACAATAACTAATTACCTAGCTAAATTGGTCATAGAAATCTATCGACTGCATTGTCAACTGTTTAATATTATTATTTCTAATGATCAAATCATGTTTAGGAATTAAAACATTTATGTTTTTTTTTTGTAAAAATTCCAATTTTATCTCTCTGAATACCCAGTGTCATTACAATGATATGGCTTTTAGAATATTTATAAAAAATAAAGTATTAATGCTATTAATTTTGGTGCTGGCTCGTTTTTATAAACAACTTTTGTAGATTATCGCAATCGTGTTGCGTCCGAAGTATAAATTTGATACTGTTGGTATCACAAATTATATACTTGTACAGCGCGGGCGATGTTTGAAATTAAGACCATAGATAAGTATATTTAATCAATGTTAAGTCTCATAATAATTAATATTATGTTATAAACTGTTTTACTTGTTCTCTTTTTAAAATGTTAACTTATACTGTAACGCTATAATAATGGCATAATATTAAGTTATACCATTGATTATGTAATAGACATAACATTACATAATCAATGGTTATACCCTTCAACGTCTAAGTGTCATTATAATTGCCTATCTTTTAACTTAAGTCCTGAAAGTAAAAAAATGAACCAAATTTGGGAGATATATTTCAAGATTCAATTTTGAAACTTACAACTCAGATACCTAAGTCAAAACATTCTCTTATCAAAGGGGATGGGAATTTATATGTATGTATCATTTATTTACTCGTAATTTGAAAACGTTCTCGAGAACAAAAAGTGCACGTAAAAAATTGAATATCCTAATACAAGAAACAATAAAAGTCACAACTCACAAGTTAATAAATATTTAACAAACCAATTGTTGAGATATAGTTCTGGACAAAACTCACATTTTACTTACCTACTAAAAAGAAGAAAAATTAAATATGTTAAAATCATTATACATTTGATACGTGAAACGAAATGTTTGACATGTTTTTTTTGTCAGTTATTGATTATTCTCGCTGGGGACCGCAACAAATTAAATCCATACATTTTTTTTTTGTGAGTGAGTAAATTTTAAATTTTAACAGAAACATTATCGGAACCCTTCCAACAAACTTTTTAATTTAGAAATATCATTGTGGAAAAAAAATCAAATTTTGACAAAATTGCATTACAATACATTAAGTCTCTATTATCTGATATCTCCCAATAGTTCAAGACAACCGCTAATAAATATAAACTATAGTGACTTGATAGGGGTACCCTCTAATATAATCATATATCATTATAACCCAGGTCAGGTTTAATAAGGTCATGACCAATTTCTAGTTCTAATAGACGCCCAAAGTAATTGGTACACTATAAACCTGTAACAGATACTATAATTGGTAGTTACAATTCGGAAATAAAAATTGCTCATCGATTTAATCGTATCATCTTATCGGTCGTTATTTTCTAACAATAATATGGTTCAGAGTTATCAAACGAGTAACGTCTATCGATTGTTATTTTTATTTATCATATTCATAATTATCTCGATGAAGTTTAAACCGAGCATTAAATACTAAATTAAGCGTTAGGTACTATTCGTTTCACTCTACACATCATATTATTATCTTATCTGCAAAGGCTCCGCGATTAGGTAACGATTTTGTTCGTGCACACTATACGCCGTCGTGGACCGTGGCTGCCGTAGTGCATGAACGTACGTACCTTGAGCTAACGCGATGTGTCCGATTGGCGTTTGCCGGCATATTCTGTTCCTTTGGCTCGTATGGGGCTCGACGGGTGTTCGGTGCGCCAACATACTCGGCGTTTTCCCCATCGAAGCCCGCAGTCACCAACTGGTTTTCGACGCGTACATGCTTGGGCTCCACCAAATGGGCCACAACGTCACCGTTTACACGCATTTCCCGGACGCCGGCGCGCCGTACAACCGTGTCCGAGTCAACAACGTGTCCCTGTTGAGCGAAAACTACTTGACAATAGATAACATGTACTCGCCGTCGATCGTCGACAGCTACAGGCACATGTTCCGCATAGTGTTGCTGGCCGACACGTACACCGACTCGGCCGCGATGCGCCAGTTGTACGGTCAACCGGAAGACAGCTACGATTTGATCATAACCGAAACGTGCAACACCGACCTTTACCTGGCGCTGGTGGCCAAGTTCAAAGTACCGTTCATCGCTTGGACTACGTCGCCCTTGTTCGTCTGGTCGGCCGACCGTGTGGCAGCTCCCACTCATCCGGCATATATACCCGTCCTGATGTCGCCGTACGGACCGGATATGCATTTTCTACAACGGTTGCACAACGTGTTTTTGCGCTCTATGGCTTTTGTGAAATACCATACGGACTCAGCAGTTTTCTCGCAAAGCGTCGCCTCCGAAAAATTTCAATCCTCGCCTCCGTTGACCGAAAGAGTGTTAGAAACGGCACTTTTGTTCGTCGACACTCATTACACCGTATGGGGGAGTCGTCCGTTGCCCCCAGGCGTGATCGAAGTAGGCGGATTGCACATCAAGCCTCCGAAATCCTTAGATAAAGTTGAGATATAATTTGCAAAACACTCTAAAATGTTAAAAAATATTTCGTTAAAATACCACATTAACCGGAAAAAGCGACACGGAAAAACTGATAGAGGTATACACGACTAGTAACTCTACTTTTTCTTCATCCCAACTATTTCAAATCGGCCACCTTGTCTTAAACTTCTACTCGACACAATCTTCCACGTCATCTTGGCACACTCCTGTAGTCCTCATATACTCAATATCATCCGACAATCTTTTTTTCTGTCTTTCTCTTACATTTATTTGTATTACCATATTCTTACAGCTTACTGGTTCCGATACTCTCCTCATAACATTTCAATCTATTTTCTCTCTTTTTGCCCGCTATATCATATGTTACCTCTCATGTATTCGTTTCTTATCCTATCTTCTCTCGTCACGCCACTCATCCACCAAAGCATTCTCAGCTCCGCTACACTAATTTTCTTTTCTATTTTTCTGTCTACCGTCCAACACTGAACACTCCAATAATACAACATAGTCGGTCTCACTACACTCTAGTAAAACTTACCTTTAAGTCTCATTGGAATTCTTTTGTCACATCAAACCCAATCCTCTTCAAAGCCACCGGTCTTTTGTTCAAAACATCCTAAATAAATACTTAAAATTCTCAATCTCGTTCACCACGTCACCGCTTATTTTCGTTGTATAATATATATATTTTATAGCATACAATATTGATAACAGTACTTAGACCCATTTTATAAATTATGGATTTAATAAAACCTAACAAAGGTAGACATTGAATTTGTTTGGATGGTTACACGAATATTAAGACACTTAAAGCTATATGCTATACCATTATTCAGGTTAGCATAGGCTAACACCGTTTGCTAAGAAATTACCCGGCTTGTTTTCTCGTAACCTTTCCTTGTCGGGTTTTTCCATGGCGTTTTTTTTATCATGTCGTACATTACCATGACACGTGTTTTCAATACATTTGTGCTCGCAGGACATACAACAATTTATTGACGAGTCGGAGCACGGAGTCATTTATTTCTGTATGGGCAGTCTGTTACGAGGCGAAACGTTTGCGGCTGAAAAGAGGAGCATGTTCTTAAACGCGTTTCAAAAACTTCCTCAGAGAGTGTTGTGGAAATGGGAAAACGACGACTTGCCCGACAAAACGGCAAACATAATGATACGCAAATGGATGCCACAGCGAGATATTCTAGGTGAGTGCGAACTTGGCGGCACGTTTTTATGAAGCAACCGCTTTTTAAATCGACGGCTCTGTGGCGAAAAGAGAATTGGAAGATTATTCGTAAATGAAGTATTTTCTTGATTAAAAAGTACGTGGGAAATTTTACAACACTCCGATTGTTAGCACTGCCATTCTTAAAAGAAATTCGGACGATGGCAGGGTTCCAAAATGTACCTACTATAACAAAAAAAAACACCTATTTTAAAATAAATATTTGTATATTCGTTACAATTTTATAAGTATATAACGATTTTTTTTTGTTGATATTGTTGAAACTTATAGACGGACTGTCCATTTAATACATAATAATATAGGTACATTAAAAAAACTCCAATTTTACGTATCATTGATTTAGAATCAATAGATACAAAACTAAAGCTGTTGTCCTATTAAATGAAGTATTTATTATTGCTCTAAACTATAGACTGTTAAAAAATTAAAGTCTCGTCGATTTAGGTACAACTTTAATACATCTAAACAGTTGGAAATACACATTATTAAACAAAGTGTACTGGACAGCTTTAAATTCGTATTTAACTGAAATATTAAACAGTAGAAAAATATTTGTTTAACTATTTATTTATTGTCGTATGGTTCAACAACACTATTGTATAGAAAATATTAGTGGACGCTATAACAACAACAAAATACTACAATAAAAGCTATAAATAATATAAATATAAAAAATGTATATTAATAAAATGTAGGAACATAAATAGTAACAGCCAAGTTTTGTACGTGCACTCCGCTTGATGTCTGGACAGAAACTCAAGTTTTAAACGGTTTTGGTAGTAAGGATTATGGGATTAGTCATTTTTACAAAAGTAATACCTACAACGCCATATTTTGGAGAGTAATCAAGATAAATTTAAATTCGTTTTTTTGGTTCATGCAACTTCGTTTTGTAGAATCCGAATATTCAAATAACTAAAAATACCTACTTTTTGAGTTGTTACAGTTTTGATCTAGGTGTGCGATGTATAATGATTGATGAAGTCGGGATAGTATTTGCATTGTCTTGGATTCTAATGTCCAGGTTGTTGCCGCTGCTGTAACCTTATGGAGATGTTTAACTATAACTATATGATTTGCATCGCACACCACGTTTCCAAGTAGTTCATTTGCATCAAATTCTGGGTAATAGCACATTTTAGGTTTCAATTTACATTTTACAAGTAGTCTTTAAACCCATTTTTATAAACACCTTTAATGAATCATACAATCTGTACATTTTTTTTTTAAACTATTTATAATAAAATATATACTTACATGATTATTATGAGGGGGTAACCTCACATTAGGGGCACCTCATAAAGCCGGAGTTAGAGGTAAATTAATTATAGAACAATATATTTGAATACTTAATTCGCATTAAAAACGGGTTTACATGGACATTAATCCCAAATTAAATTAATTTACATCAATTACTGAATGTAAACATGGTAGTTGAAAAAAATCACCTCTGCATTCAGAGGTGATCACCTCTCCCCTCAGTCCATTATATTGACAGAGCTTAATAAAAAGTATTTTTGAAATAATTGTAATTGATCATATTTTAATCATAATTACCTACGCAGTAATAATTAAATATTATTAAAATACTCGTAAGGTGTTTTGTTAAAATTATTGATACATTAAATATTTACATCAGTTTCAGAGTCGTTGAAACTTAAAAGTGTACAAAATTACCCTGAAAATAAATAGACGTATTATAATCAATATTAATTAAAACCAGATTTTTTTATTATAATTTGCACCCTTCATGTTGTCTTTATATTGGTACAACCAATATGTAATCAATCTGTTCAAAATTGAAAACTAGTAACAACACATCAGCTATAACTTCTTAGACAATTTATTCGTTGTTTCGGCGCTTATTAGATTTTGTAAGTTTTGTATAAATGATCTGGGTTATTTTTATTTTCAGCTCATCCAAAAGTCAAACTGTTTATCTCACATGGCGGCTTGTTGGGCTTAACGGAAGCTGTACATGAAGGTGTACCTACTCTAGCAATGCCAATCTTTGGCGATCAATTGACCAACGTGAAAGCCATTATGGACACGGGAGCGGCAGAAATATTAGATTACAATACTTTAAGCGAAATCGAAATATTTTCCAAAGCTAAAGAAATGCTTACTAATCCAATGTATGTTAACAGTGTGTCAATATGCCTATACTTAATTTGTATAAACATTATTTAGAAACAGCATGACAATTTTATTCTATTGCATAAATTGTTTACAGCTACAAACAAAAAGCCACGAAGTTATCAGAAGTGTTTCGCGACCGACCAATGTCACCAATGGAAACTGCCATGTATTGGACAGAATATGTCATTAGACATAAAGGTGCACCACACTTACGATCTCCAGCAGTTGGCATGCCGTGGTACCAATATTATATGATTGATATAATTTCTATGCTTCTAATTTGTGTATTTGCTATTCTTTTGTCGTTACATTATTTTATTTCAACAATCTTGAGTTTGTTGCGACCATCTAAGAAACTAAAAATAAACTGAGTAATATTGTAACAAAAAAAAAAAAAAATTGTTTAAACTCAAATCTATGAATCTATATAACAATGATATAGATTGAATAAGTGATATATTGATATATTTATTTTCCTATTTATGCTTGTTATTGGTAGGTATAACCTGTAATAATTGTAAAACTGGTATAATTTCTTTTTAATTTAAGACTAGCACAGAGAAATTACCAAAATGTTTCATAACATTTTAATGTTGCCAAAATAAAATGAACAGCGGATAAATGTAAAATGTTTTTGTTATATTAAAATAATTAGACATTTTAATAAAAAAAGTAATTAAAAAAAAAAAGTAAGGAATATCTACTATAAAGTGTATAGTAGTTAACTAATTATCATACATAACAATCGATCATATACAAACTCCTATTTAATCATAGATTACAAACATTTACTTTGTCTATGATTAATAGTTGATAATATATAAATGGTAAATTTAATTTGTTTCCTTTTGAACTGTAGTTTGATCAATTAACTTTGCCACAAATTGTCTTAATTTATCTTCGTCTTGTAATCCAACAATTTTTGACAGCACTTTGCCTCCTCTCATAGCAATTAACTCTGGTACCACAGACACCTAGATTGAAGTACACATTCATTAGTACAGACACATAGTATTTATACTTCTATTTAAATTGTAGTTCAAATAGCCATTGCAAATTTACACCATATTCCATCGCGATTTCAGCGTTTTCATCGATGTCCACTTTTACAAGACTAACTGCACCATTTTGTTCACCGATAATACTTTCGATACGTGGCTGCAGCATTTTACAAGGTCCACACCACCTGGAGAGTATTTAAAAATTAATTAATACTTGTAGTTGTAAATTTTCAAAACATTTTTAGTTAAAACTATTATAGCCTATTGTAATAATTTAACTTCTATAAATATATTACGATTTTAGATGTAATTGTAGCTTAAATTGCCTACACAAAATAATAGGGAAGTTGGAAAAAGAAGGTTTACATTTCAAACCAATAAACAATTAACAAGAAAATGTTATGCAAAGTGCATAAAAATTATGCCTTTATATGAACAAGTAGAGTTTTTTTATTCAACAAAAAATGGTGTTATTTAAAAAAAAAAGTTTTGGAGACACTAGCTAAAGTTTCTTGCTATTTACTTTTATACATCTACTATAAAAAGATGGCAAAAAATGTATAGCAGTATGAAATTTGTTTTTACCTGTAATAAAAAAAATTGCAGTTTTATCTATTCCAAAAATAGTTGGTTCCACTGTTTAATCCTAATATACAGGTGTCTGGTATTGTAAAACAATTACTTCAAGTACAGACTAGTCAAAACTTTTTGAATTTTATGAGTTACCTAACTATTATATTGATGATTTTTAACCATATTATAATACTGATTTTGAAATTCACCTCTTAGTTGTTTACAATACACCTTTATTTTGATAGGTCACATCAAGCTTCAATTCATATTTTAATGTGGGGATTTTATTAAAAGAAAATTTGATAAGATATATTTTTGAAAAAAGGAATACTTATACAAATACGTACGTAGCAAAAAAATCAACGACAACAGGCTCCTTGCTGTTTATAACAAGTTTATTGAAGTCTTCTTGATCTTGTATTTTAACGATACTGCGTCGAACTACAAATCATTATCAGTTATGTAACGAATAACAATAATCAGTAGATTGAACAAGTAAATGTACAAAATTTAACTCACCAACAGAAGAGGTAAACGTCCGTTGTATGGCAACTTGGCAACTTTTTGCAATACTTCTTGAAAACATGTTCATTTAATTTAATGTTAATATAAATAATATAATGTAATAACAATATATTAAATTTTGTCTTTCGCAAAAATGAGAAAATTAAATGGAAAAGTGAATAAGTATAATGCAAAATAAAAATGGAGTCATTCGTCAATTTTTTAACTTCTAAGGTTGCATGTCGGAATGATAAGTGATAACATAAGTACAGAGCGAGCAGCGAGCACGGTCTTATAAGGCCGTGGTCACGGTAATAGATAACCGTTATCCATAACCTTGGCCGTGGTACAGTGTACGCCCCTTGATAAGCACCTCCATCAGCTGTTATCAATGAGCCGCCAAATTGCAAGAAACAGTAAAACCTCAAGACATGTTCAGACTATATAATTAATTAATTATTCGATAATTAATTATTGTAATTTCATAACTTATATGAAATACCTTAGGGTCCTAACAAAATACTCCTATTAGCTTAATTTAATTTGGCAACAGTCTGGTCGTTTCCTAAAAAAACTAATTACCTGTTAGGTAAACGAACTTTTTTATTATTTTAGGTTATAAAATTTAACCGCCAAATTGGTCATAATTTGAACGTTATCACTTGTGACTTGTGGTTATGACACAAAACAATACACATAATTTATGGGGTATGTTCTTAGCGTATCAGCCGCGCAGTTTTGCCGGTGGTCACTGGATGAAACGCTCAGAGTAATAATACTAAACTTGTAACTCGGACCAAAATTCGTATCTTCGTGATAAGCCAAGAACATACCTTGTTAGTTTTTCTTGGTATATCATGATAATACCTATCTTTGGACTCGGAGATTTCAAATTAGTAATTACGTTTATTTGCGTTTTTTTCGTTGTACTTTTTTTTGATGATTTAAGTTTAATACATTTAAAAATCTGGCAAAATCTATAATATCTTAGTTCGGGATTTGCAGCTGTCTAGGCTTTCAGGAAAACATGAATTTCAGTAACTTACATAATATGGCTAAACACATTGATTTGCAAGTGAAAACATTGGAAACGAAAGTGGCTAATCCGATGGGTATGATTTATTCAAACAACTCTAATCAAGGCGTGAAAATACTTTCAATGTTAAAAGACATGTCAGATGATATTGAGAAAAAAAAGGTAGATAAGTGTTTAAAGAATAACAACTTTAAACCTCATAACTTGAGTTTAATAAAAACTCAGTTTCTAAAATGAAAAACATTTATTCATGAAATTTTAAGTACAATGTTTCCCAGACTCGAGTCTTGCTACTGGTCTTAAGTAAATTCATTGTCTAATATTATAAAGAACTAAAAATATAGTTTTCTTTTGAAAGTATGATTTTTAAGCTGTACTTTTTATATTTTTGTAGACTAATATTGAGCAAAAAGTACTAGAAGAAAATACTAATTGGGCAGCAATGGTAGAGGATTACAATTCCGTAGCAAAATTCATATCGGATGTCAATGGCAAATTAAATGAATATGAAAATACTTGGGCTGCACAATATCCAAACTACAAGCCGTTTGTGTCATACAATCACAATGAATCCGTAGGAGTTGAAACAGAATTTCAAGAACTCGATCTTCAAGAAGAAAAACACATCGACGATCAGTATCCTTTTAAGAAATAATGGTTCCAAATACTCTTATGGTAGTTAACCTAACCGTTGTATATTTTGTAATTTTTTTCACTTAGCATAACACATTCTTTCAAGGTATAAGTTTAACATACCAGGCACCCTTTTTTTTAAAAAAATTTTTTCTGGTCTACTTTTTCCGGCCCGTAGTGGTCATTTTTTTTTTGCTGTAATACCTTTGTCTGATAATGATGAAGATTGCCTATGTCGTTATAGGCAATCTTCAAACGTCTGTAACCTCAAAACTAAGTGCGAGAGAGGCATCATTTTTGCAGATTCTTGATCAGCATTAAAAGTACTATCGAATAAAAAAAAGGGTACTCGGTAAAGTAGACTTGTTCGTTTTCCAATACCAACTTAAGGATTAAATTATTTCTCCTTAAATGGTTGTAATGTTTTAATACACGAACATTCAATGTAGTATAAAGTTCAATATGGTTTGAGTCGGAAGCAGACTAGACATATCATAGTAACAAAAATGAGATGTATATCATCGTCGTCATGCAAAAACTGACAAGTGTATTTTAAAGTTTTTGTAGTATCATTTCTATATAATAATATAGTTCAAATAACACATTTTATAATGTTATTTCACTTGTTCACATCTTGCAAATGTCAGTTTTTGCATGACGACGACAATATTTTATGTCATTGCTCCGAAATTTAAAATCTTCTTAAATCAATTTTCCTTTCCTAATCTGCTTTCTGAGTAATATCTGTGTATTCTTCATTTGCCGTATAAACGGTTAAGTTAAGAGTATAAAATCAATAAGTACAATTCAATTAATATCTCTTAACCACACGCCCACACGGTGTATTCTGTACACTAAACTTTTATTAATTTTGTTTTTATATTTATTCATTAATCTTTTTCAGTTATTTTATAATCTAACCTTGTTTTTATCATTTAAATAATTGTTAGAAAATAATTTCAGTCGTTGTTCAATGTTTATAGCAGCATTAATAGGTTCCATATTACATTTTTTTTGTACTGTGGACGGATTATGCCGCGCGTATTTTATGTATATTTCTAAATTATATTTATTTTATATTATTTGTTACTTGTAATAAGCATATTTTTCCTTAATTAGTTTTAAAAGATCATTCCATGATAGCAGTTTGTGTAACATCACAATGTCGTAATGATTTGAAAGACAACATTTTAAATTTTCATTGAATATATGTACGTAATGGTAAAAAGTTATTAGTTAATAATACAATCAGTACGACAACTTGTTATTATATCATCCACCAATCGCCATCTTTGTCCAATTTATTGTTTATTATTTACACATACTAGTGAGATGACGTATAATCTGTGTCAACCCTTCCCAATAAACCGCTCAACTAGCATACTACTCTCAGTCAATGTCTAATTCTTGTCTATAAATAACTGTATTAAGTATTAGTCACTGTGTAGGTCAAGTCTGCCAGACTCGAGTGCTTTAACAAAAATGTTAAAAATTTTTTTTTTATAAAATGTAGAAGATTTGGTTCAAAAAATTCTAATTTTTTTTAATTTTCTTTTGTAATTGTTATAAAATATATGCAAGTGTATGAAGTAAAATTGTAATCATATTTGAAAAAATAAAGTTTTATCAAAAAGAGTAGTATCGATTTAATGCTATGAATCTCTTGGACTCATGGTAACCATCTACATAACATATTTTTCTTACTTATATAATGTGATTAACATGTAAAAAATGGTATGTATTTTAATTATATGTTTATTGTTTAAAAAGTAGGATTCTATCTATGTAAAATAATAACTAATGTTATAAATGTATTTTTTATTAATAACATATTTTAGTACATGAAATTCTATATATTATGAGACAACATTGATGGCATAGTTATTAAATATTAATAAAGAATAAAGGAACAAATAATTAATACACAATGGTTGAAAGTTTCACAAAAACGTAACACGACCGCAAGTAATATATAAACACAAAAAGAACTTTGGTAACACAAACTTTGATCTTCTATCAATACATTTTATGATTGCATTCATTATTCTCTGTTGGTTTAAAGCTGTCTTAAATCTTGGCCTAAAAACAAATGAATTATTAGCTACCCATGTTTAAACAGTAGATTTTTTTTTGTAATTTGGTCACATTCAACTATTTTTTTGACGCTCCTTACAAAAATTAGCACGTTGTATGTAGTTTTCGAACGAAAATCAACACTTTGTGTTTATCCAAGCCGAAGTGTTGGTTAGCAGTTTGAAACGTTCCAGTTTTTTGCAAGGAGCATTGTAATAGTTACGAGGAGTTCATTTTTGATAAAATCGAATTTAGGTAATAGGTAGAAATAATATGGATATAAGTGTATGATAATAAACTCTGAACGTGAGCTATGGGACATTCCCCAATATGTATAGTTTACTAGCTGCCTACTTACTTTAGTCGATTATGTTTTTTAATACCATCTTGGATAAGTATCTATTTTAATGGTGTCCAACTCGTTCTCTAGGTAATTCGTGTGTTAATTGTTTCGTTTACTTGTGCATTCTACTTTTAAACCTATAGTTATTACAAATGTAGCGAATTAAGTATATGTAATTTTATTAGTCTTGAAAATCATACATTATTATATGTGACGTGCGCTGAAAAAAGGAACTCGAGGGTGAAAACACAATAGTCTTCTTTTTACACTTCAAAGTAGGTTTTAATTATATTTTTAATCATTCAACATAAAGTAGACGATACCTCCGGTTTATTGAGGAATTAGACGTAGGCTATTTGGAGAAAAAAATGAATTTAAAGCTTAAACTGTAATAAGCAGTTGTTAGTACATTACAGCGGTGTCTCCAAATTTTCTTGACTCCCTGACATAAATATTACCCTTACGGCCGGACCAAAAAAGTTAAACCATGTTTTTTCTATAAGCATTACGCTAGTGACAGTTTGTTTAACTAATTTACTTGTTGTTTTCAAGTTTTAATTGGATAAAATGTATTTTTTATTAATTTTTAAATGTTTGCTTGTAAAATAAAAACAAGTTTTGCAAAAAATGATTAAAATTACGTTGTTATACATATTATAAAATATAATACATTAATGAAATGTTTTTTTTGTTGGTATTTGTGACTTTTCGTCCACAACTTTTACGTTTAAAAGAAAAGTTTTATATTTTACATTGTTTACAGACATAATTTTGTATTTTTTTCTTAATTAATAAAAAAATTGGATCTAATGAACGAGAAGAATATACTCGTTAAGTTTTAAATACTATGTATTTATGTACTATTATTGCTCGCAAAAGGTACGTTACGCCGTCTAATTGACTTTTTAAAATTTTTAACTCGTTTTTTCCATAGAAACATATTTCCAAACTGTGGGAAAGATAGAAGAAAAACTATTTGGTCAACCGATTTGCTTTGGTATTTACCAAAAAGAGTGTAAATAAATGTATTATATGAACTACTGTGTTTTTATTTAAAAAAAACATAAATTTTCCCTTGTCGAAATCTTTTAAATGTACTTAATTTAAATGATACGGCAATCGGTGTTGTTCAGGACGATTAAAAAATTACAACCATGTATGCATTATTACCCTTTAAAGACCATAACATTAGTCAGAAACAAAACATGGTCATGTTTGACTTTAAAGTTTTTATCTCGAGGTTTTTTAATATAATTATATATAAAATTCTTTACTAGCCCATAAAATAAAACGTTAAACGATTATCGCGATACAATAACCATCGAGAAAAGATAAGATACGGTAAGTTATGGCATAGCCCGTTGAAAAAACACATTTTACTTCACTTAAGGTCGGGAAATAAACTGTTGTTTTTGAAGATTTCGACTACAAGTAATTTAATGTCATGTAAATTGTAAAAAATCACTTATATTATCTGTAATATTTTATATCTTTATACTTTTACTTTAAGATTCAAGTATATATCGCCAACAAAGAAGAACGTAACTAGATTTTTTTTTCAAACTGATAACACTCATTACAGTTCTGCGACGCATAAACTTAAAACTAAAATTAACCGATAAACGTCATAAATTAATAAGGTATTTAACAGATAAAAATGGAGTGATGTCATGCACGTTGTATTAGTTTATCATAGATCACGTTAAATGAACGAGGACAGCGACTAATCATTTTTTTTTTCTTAACCTCGAATGGATCCATCGTGGCCTAGCGAGTTAATGATATTAATATGGATTATATATTATGGAAACTTAAAAAAGCACTGAATAGAATGAGCGTTGTAAAATATCATGTTGCTCATTCGATAAAAATCGACCTATAATTTTCTGTTCGGATGATGTCCATCGTAGCGTTCTGACAGCTGTACAGAAATTTGCAGTTACATTCACTGAAATTTGGATAGTATGTAGTTATTAAGCCTAAACTGTACTTTGGATATTACTTATTATATTGTGGTCTTTTCAAACTTAACAGCAGCCAAGCGATATCAGAGCAGCAATTTGTTTAGAACGGCATCAACGTTATTCATAAAGTTTTCCACTAATTTGAATATAATAACAACAGTATCATGAACTCAGCTCAAGGAATTAAAAAGAGGTTTAATACTTAGTCAACTTGCAACAACCGATGTCTGTCTATCGACATAGTTTGATTAAACCGACCGTTTTATGTAAACGAACAATGGAATTTGTATAATTAAAAATGTTATTTAGTTTTAGATTAACATTTGAACGAATATTATCGAATATCAGTTGATAATTGATTACTATAATTTAAAACTGTTGACAATTTTTTATGAAGCACATAAGTATACTAGTTCGCTATAATACATTTTCTTGTAACGTTGGTTATACAAGAATGAATTAGAGAATTGTTAAAAAAAAAAAACACCATTGCAAAACAAATAACCATTCTCAGATAATAAAGCAAATTAATTAAATGTTAGCCTTTAAGCTTATGATTCTATTTTCTAAGTAGTGCGTTCTCTTATCTCGTTTGAGAAGTGAATGTACCTAATGACAATATTTCTTCTAAGTTCTATTTTCACCCGTTATAGTCTTTAATATTATCAAGTTTAACTAATAATAATATAAATTCGGTTACTACAGGGGAAAAGTTAAAATCACCACAGCAAAAGATTTATACAGTAAAAAATAAAAACTCGGCTTGACGTTAAAACTAAAATATAATTTTTTTTTTGCGGCACAAAAGTTGCAAGTAATCATATTTTATTTTATTTGCAATGAATCAAAGTGTAGTTATGTGTCACATCGTTCATTATAAATCATGGTCGTTCGTAATGCCATTAAGCATGGTGTAACTTCTTGTTCGCTAAGACTCTTATTCGGGCTCGAGAATATGCTTTTTTTAGCCTTGCATTTTTTATAATAATTTACAGTATGATAATTCTGCTCGAGTAACAAAGTGAGAAATGTGACAAAGTGACAAAGTGATTATCAGAAATTTAATTTAAAAAACTAAATAATCAACTAATAAACAAAACCTTTTCAAAACACATACTTTTTGTCAATCTAAAATTTAGAATATTTTAGTTTCATACTAAACTAAGCGAAAACTTTATTAAACATTTATAGGACTTCTATGGTAATAAAAAAAAATGTGTATCGATATTTTATTTTTTAATAGTTTCGTTCCTTAAAAACTTGAATTTTATTTTCATATCAGTTTTATGATTAATTAAGTATAACTATTTAAAACTGATTACCCGAGTTCGTTATTGAAAATTGTCATGGAAAATTATTAATTTTGATTTTTACACATTATTTGCAACTTAAGTACGAATTTTTTTCACCGTAGTTACTACGAATAACACAGTTATAATATAAATTACATATTTACAATCATTAACCTTAAGAAATATTGTGTTATTCTTTTGTAATTTGAACATGCAGTTTGATACAGATCGGCCTCTTTAAATATAGGCAAAGCTCGTCTTAGTAGTTTTTTTAAAATAATTTTTTTTGTTGTTTTTCTTTGAAGTATTTCAAATAATCCAATTCATTTGCAACAATTAGGCGGTGACAATTGTTGATTTCGAAAAAAATAAGGTTCAATTTTACATTGAATTTTAACGTTTATGCAAATTTTCATTGTGGTTTTCTCACATTACCATTTCCCTATAAATATTTATAGAAATGCAAACTAACCTGTCGTGCGCACATTATTAATTGCTTCAGCGATTTGGGTAAAACACGGCTTATGAGATTTTAGTTAGTAGTACAATTATTTTCTGATACTTTTTAAGCTGTAAACAATATATAATATTATTAAATTAAAATTCGCCTAGCGATCTCATCTTGTCGAATAACCGTCAGTTGTTTTAGACAACAGTGTGATTTCTTTCGCAATCGGTTATACATGTAATGATACCTGTAAATATAAGTACCAGTATATTTTAACCTGACCTAATATTAGTGTAATACCTTTAATAATAATAAAAACTTGAAGTCTGTGTCTGGGCTGCATAATACTTAGCTGAAAATACACAATCAAGTTGAATTCAATTTCTACCAGAAATTGGGTTAAGGGCTGTTGGTTTATTCGGTTACGGTTGATTTACATATAAAACAACCACATGACGAAATTCAACAGTTGGTTGTTAAATTGTTTGAAATTAGTTCAACACTGCAATTGTTTC